AGGGTGGGAAATCCTAGGCGCTTCTAGGGAACATGCACCCTTTGTACATGACTGTCTGGATCACAGCTCGTATCAAGCGCGTTCCAATTGAACTTTCCCAACAAATTCGCTATTCAATATTGATCTCGTCAAATCGCCAAAGGAACCTACAGTGCACTTTCCTTATTTTTTCTCTACCATTGAAAATGTGGCTATATTATACTGTTTCTGTCAGTGACATAGTGTAAATATGCTATCAGAAACTGACTCTTATACTTAATTTAACTGCTATAACTTTTACAGTAAATGTGAAAGCATTTGTGACAATTTGATCTAGCCTGTAAACTGGCGTGACACTTGTAACGTAGTTATTTGAGAATAAATATATTATTACTATCATTATTATTATTATTAAGGATTCCAAATGATGTTAAATATTTTCTCAGGCACACCGTACTGTCGAAGAAGCATCCACAGTGTTTTCCTGTCCAAGCTATCGAATGCTTTCTCTTAGTCAATGAAGTTGATGTAGACTGGTGAGTTCCATTCCATTGACTGTTCCACAATGATCCGTAATGTTGCGATTTCGTCGGTACACGATCGATTCTTGCGAAATACACCCTGTTGGTTTTGAAGTAGGGCATCTAGGAAGTTCATTCTGTTTGACAATACCCTATTAAAGACTTTGCCTGGTATTGAGAGAAAAGTAATGCCTCTGTAATTCTCACACTTGCTGAGATCGCCTTTCTTTGCTATTTTGATGAGGTATCCTTCTTTCCAGTCTCATGGAACTTGTTCTTCATCCCGAATCTTGTTGAAGAGAATGTGAAATACTTTTGCGGTTGCTCCCACGTCTGCATTCATCGCCTCTGCTGGAATGCTGTCTGGTTCAGCTGCTTTGCCTCTCTCGATTTGTCTGGTGGCCATACTAATCTCTTTAATTGTTGGTGGGTAAACATTGATTGGGAGGTTCGTAAATGCTGTTTCGATGTTGGGTGGGTTCAGTGGAACCGGTCGATTCAAGAGTTCCTTAAAGCACTCTACCCAACTATTTCGCTGTTCTTCAGTGTTGCTGATTGCTTTGCCTTCCTTGCTAGGAGATGTCTTGAATTCATTCAGTTATACGGAGAAAGGCTGTATTAAACTTCTGTGATATTGTCTGCCCTCTTGTCCAGTGCTTCTTTAGTTTCATTTCCATTCTGGCAATTAGCAAGTGGTGATCCGAGGCTATGTCAGCTCCTCTATTAGTTCTCACATCCTCCATTGTCCTTCCGAAATTTTTATTGATACATAAATGGTCCATTTGGTTCTAAGTAGTGTGTTCCGGTGAAATTCATGAGGCTTTGTGCATGCACTTGTGTGGGAACCTTGTGCCGCTGATGATCAGTTTGTTGAAGGCACATAGGTTTGCAAATCTCTCACCGTTTTCATTCCATTCCCCCAGTCCATGTCGTCCCATGATGTATTCACATCAAGTGTTATTCATCCCAACCCTGGCATCGTCCCATGATGTCTTCATATCCAGTGTTGTCCATTCCAACCTTCACATTCAGGTCTCCCATAAGAATCGTCAAATCCTTTAGTGAACATTTCCCAACGATTTACTGCAACATTTCGTAGAATTGATCTTTAACGTCGTCATTGTAGTCATTGGTAGGTGCATAACATTGGATGACGTTCATTGTAATGTCCTCTTTCTTTGTTTTGAAGGATGCTTTAATGATCCTGGGTCCATGAGATTCCTATCCTATTAGTGCCTTTTGTGCATGTTTGGATAACATCAGTGCAACTGCTTGTGTATGTGAAGCATTTTCCTCTTCATGACCAGAGTATAGCAGCAGTTCCCATAAAGCTAGTCTCAGTTGTCCTACCTGTGTTCAATGTGTTTCACTGATGTCGAGCACCTCTAGGTTGTATCTTTTCATTTCTGCCGCAACTTGAGATAGTCTTCTGGTCCTTCACAATGTTCGAACGTTCCATGTACCTAGAAGAATGGTTGCTATTGTTGTCAGTAAAAACATCGGCCTCGTGACTTCCGAGGGAACTTGGCTTTCATCACGCGACGTCATAATTCTTCCTCCAACTCCCAGGGCAGAGTTAAAATGGTTTGAATTATTTTTTCTGGTTAGCGTTTTTTGGTAAGTTAGTTTTTGACGGGATATGGTCGCCAACCCCATGTCCAACCCTCCTCCTTTACCCGGGCTTGGGACTGGCAGTAGCCCCGAAGGTTCTACTGGCGGAGTTAACCACCAGCCCCAGTCTTTCTATATGATCGTGGAAATAGGTTAAGTTTATCCAGTCTCTCGTTATACTGCAGATTTGAGATTCCATGAATCAACTAAATCACTATTCATTGAGTCTCTTGTAACTCTTCACTGTGTTATTTTATGCGGGGGCTGGCAGCTTGTATGCAATACTCGAGTTCCAGACAAACCATGTATTAAACGACAAATTGTCGTAACAGGAACTTCTCCAGTAGACAGTAACCCGCATCTTTATAGCCACACAAGTTCATGGTTTACTAACGTCAATGAACTAAAGTAGCACTTAATTTGATTTGATGAACGTTTGAGTTTTCTGATGAATTCGGAAATGATTCGGACAAATAATGAATTCACATTAGAAAATTAGTTTGACCAGCTATATGCAAATTTTATTCCAACAAATGCTTCGAGGAAGTCAATTTAGTTTTCGTTTCACTCACATAATTAAGACATCATTTTCAAAATATATTTGGTGAATTTTCATTGAATTTTTAATCAGATTCTGCATGAATTCGAACAATTTATGTATGAAATAACTGTAATTTCACCTCGACTCGTTTCGTGTTGAAAAAACCGATTGGAACTTGATTTGACGCAGGACATTGGTACTGTCTCGCCAAACAAACATGAAAGTGCGTCGAATTCAGATTAGCATTTTCACTGACACCACTTTAATCTCTTCGGAACCACTTAAGGGTGATGGGAATTTCACTTCACGCCTTCAGAATGAATGCACTCAATCGTGTTGTTAGAAATCTAGGCGGTATTTAATGTAACAAGTGACATTCTATTACATTTAAATAGTGAAAGTTTAAATTCGAAATATAGTAGTGTTCTGAACTCATAAACTCTGCTTCCATTTCCAGATCTTTCTGTCTGTACCTGGTGTGCTTAAGAAATGTTGCACCACTTAAATAATCGACTTCTTTCACTGCTTGGCTCAGAGAGGTGTGTGTTAAAAATGTGAAATATGTTGGCGAGAGATGATTCATCAGCCAACACTACTTCTTTCAAGTATAATACACTACTCTTTGGTAGTTCATCTGAAGTGTTAATTTTGTCAGTGATGGTTGCACTTAAAGTTTGCGTGCAGCCATTCATACGCACAAACTTTCATATATTACCGATATACTTGTCCGATAGGAATAACCATTTATGGATAGCCAGTTGATTTTCAGAAATAAAATGAAATAGTTATTTTCATAATATTTTTTCTGTAATCTTACCAACAACAAGGGTTGAACTTATGAAGTGATATATTTTAGGTCTGCATCTCGTACCTTTTCTGAAGACAACTAGCTATGGTCTTCTTCCGTTTTTTTTGCAATCTAAATTGATTTGTTGATGGATTAGGACATAGGTTCAAGAGATTTTTTGACAAAATGTCGATGTTTCTTTAGTAATCTAGGATGAATTTCAATGGCCTGATAGTTTTATGTAGATCATGTTCATTTTATATACCAAGGAGAGTTAGTTGCTCAATGTTTGAATGAATAGAATAGTTTATAAGCGCTAGATGGGAGGGTATATCTGGCCTAAATAGTTTAAGAGTACCTGTGTCAGTCTTTCTTCGTTGGCGATGATATATTTGCTCAAATCTCCTTCGCATCTGCTTTGATTGATAGATAAGGGTACGAACATCCTCACCAAACCACAGTGTGAAGTTTCTCATGTTCCATAGTGTAACCGAAAGAACATATACTGCTGTAACGTTTGAGTGCGAATTTCCCAACACCTCTCAGGCCTATTTTCAGTAGTAGATTATAAATCTACTACCCTATCTAGTAAGGTTTGTGGTCATATAATTCTTTGTATATTCGCTTTCCAAATGTTTCATATGACTTTAGTTGATGTACTGTTGCTGACAAGGCTATGGAAATCAAGACTACAACTACATGGTCACTAATATTTAGAGAGGATGAAGATTGTAACGTCCTTGTCATAGTGGGCCAAAATGAGATCTTGTGGGGATGATAAGGAGTCCTGACCACACCTGGTTGCTGATTTCACATATGTACTATCCGAAATAAGTGTCCGAAAACTCACCCCTAAATTGTACCATTTTTGTTTCCTGAAATCAAACACGAAGAACCACTCTAAGATCAATTATTTAGTCCGTTTTACAAGACCTCATTCTTTACAGTTAGGACAGTAATAAACTATGCCAATTTATAGCTTCCACTATCTGTATTAAAAGTGACACTTAAACAGTCCATAAGTTCCAACCAACTTGCCAAAAAAACTCTAACCAGAAAAAAAATTCAGATTTCATGGTATGTATTATTATTAACGGTAAACATGATGGTGCTCCCAGTCAGTGAAGCCACCCCCTACATTGTGCTTCTGGGTTCTGTCAACTTTCACGAATGTGAAATTATTGAAATTAAGTTTCTTGTTGCCTGCATGTCTGACTAGCCAAGTTCTGTGACGGCAATATTACTATGTTTGGTATAAACTATCTGTACATAAAACTTACACCAGTCATTTGAAGAGCACCGAATATTGTGAAAGGATCACTCAAATGTTTCTATGTCATACCTTAAGTGACCTCTGTTTCGTTCTCCAACGAAGCATCACCACCAGAAAATTTACAACCCTGTTGTTCTTTAAAACAGAGAATTTCACTTGAACAAGAATAAAATAAGAACTATGAGATGGCATTTTCCTCACATAACTACAGATTGCAAGGAATAAATATTTTTTATTTCTGATTTTATTTAGAAGCTTGTCCAATTGCTGTTCTATTTCAAGTTTGGCCTTGGCGCCATTTGGCTTTATATCTCCAACTCTCCCGTCATTTGACATGAATTAAAATGAGTCGTAAGAGTTAATTTGACTACTTGACCGCATTAAATTAGAGAAGGATGCGAACAAAGTGGTTACGGTTGTCGCCTACTTGTGTCAAGGAGACAAGTCGAAAGAAATATCATACACTGATGCCAAAGCCATTGGTAACGGATCGTTTGGCGTTGTGTATCAAGCCAGACTTCTGGAGACTGACGAAATCGTCGCTGTTAAAAAGGTTCTTCAAGACAGGAGGTTTAAGGTAATCGATTTTCTTCTAACTCTTTAATTCACGTTGCTTTGTGGATAAAACTTTTGTGTCAGTTTTTTGGGCTTCATGTTATCAACAAACAGATAATAGGAATGTTTTTTTACAGTCCTTACGGCTTCGTATATGTTTGTCAGCATAAATCTTCATCGGCTATTTGTAAATCTGTCATTTGAAGACAGTCGTGTTTTAGTCCTTTTCCAGTTTATTCACAAGCGTCTGGCCGTCGTAAGTCAATTACCAATAGGCGTCGAAACTACTCACGAACGTTGGTTTACTAAGTTAGTTATTTATTGGCGAAATATTTTCATTTCATCTTAGTTATTCAACATTCTTTCACTCAATAGCGGGTAGCTTTCTAAAGTACACATGACTACTTATTATCTACAAATCTTTTTCAATAAAAAAGATATAACTCATAAGTTGATTGCTTATTAAAACTCATGTATAGACCTTATACAAACACCACCTAGCATGGGCTTGTACCTGCCAGACTTACTGCACTTAACAACAGCGAAGCAAGAGAACTCGTTGTAAAGTGTAATAGTAATGATAGCCCCACTGATAGTAATTCAGAGTGTAAAGTCGGGGGATTTTGAGATGATGGAAAAAATTTGTAGCCCAGGTGGATGATTGTGGTGGAGTTTCATTTCCTGAGTTGTATGTTTTACTTATGGAGCTTTCATTGTCCTGCTGAACATCAGCACTAACTGATTAAAAATTCGTCCTCTCAATTAGTGTCTCAGTTGTATCTTTCTCCGATTATAGAGCTTAATGGTGTTGAATACTTTTTATCCTTTGACCTCATCGGTTGCTACTAGTGTCTTGTATGATATGTGTTGAGCTTCAGTGGATGTTTCCTGAGATTCGTTTGTTTTCTATCGGTTTTCAGTCATCAGGTTTGCCAACTTGGACTGATCTACACACGAGTTAGGTTCATTATCTATCACTGACTGATCAGCGTATGAAGCAAAACAAATATTTAGGCAAACGTCAGTTAATGATGTCATTCACTGCAGTGAAATCTAACACTTAACTTATATTCTGAGTGTCAAGATTTAGTGTACTGATTGTCAAGTGTAATTTCGTCATAATAGAAAATCTAGTCAACGGTACTCATTTGGTGTTCGGTTTACTCGTAGAACAAGCTTAATTACGTATCGCACTCAACATGGGATTAAAGTATGCACACGTGGCTATGAATTAGACCATCCACTCCCTCTCAGAAATGAAGATTTATTATGAGCACCTATATAACGGTTACATCAATTTAGTGGCGAGTCAGATTTTTTCTGGGAGTGGTTCTAAGTTATTTCTCTTCCAAAAGCTTACGCATAGAAATGGCTTCTCAGCGTCAATATTTAATAATCCTTTGACCCAAAGTTAACTTTTTTATTTATTTTCAGAATCGAGAATTACAAATTATGCGCCAACTAGACCATCCAAATATTGTGCAGTTGAAGTACTTCTTTCACTTTGTGGGTGATAGAGTAAGCTGTTCTATTGTGTTCTATGTCTTTATTTTTCTATCTCATTTCTTACCTTCGGTTTGTAATTTATTCGTTTTGTTGTATCTACAGAGGCTTTTCTGCTTAATATTTGTTAAAAGTATAACTTTCAAAACTGGTTGTATTTTCAGTTATAGCTTGTGTGGCTTTTTTCATACCCACTGTCCTTTTAGTCACTATCAGTGTTAAGGCCTGGTACAAATCTGTATCAGTCGTAGTTGCTTCGTCTCACCAGTATATTAAGAATATATAAAGAAAATAAAAATAGCTGAGTGTGTTAACCATAGTAAGAAATTGACCTAAGGAGGATATTTCAAAAACAAACGAAATCAAGAAATACAAAGTATGATACAGTATTAAAATGCAAGTTCAAAAAGAAGATGGCAAAGAAACGTTTATATGTCACCGCAACCGATTTTTAGCCGTGTAATTTAGAATCCGCAGTCACTAATTGTAGTTATTCGGAATTCAACCAGGTAACTCTTGGTTTCCAACCAGGCTGAGATGGATAGTCAAGAGCTTCATAGGTTAATCTCCATTCTTGGTCTGACAGGACCGAGGTATATTTGTCGTTGCAGTTTATTATGACTAAAATAAAAATTAATTAGTCTTTAAAGTACCAACTAGCTAAATAGGAGTCAGTAACCTGGTATACAATCATTTTAGCAAAGAATGAACCGTTATACACTGAAGATAATCCAATCAGTCATAATTAACATTGAGCCTAGTACAGAGGTGTGTCAATGCAGGTTGCTATGATGCACCATTACGGTTCGATAAAATTCACAAGATTTATTGCAAGAGTTCCAAGTTTGGTGATATCAATGATAATGCGAAGCACTAAACAATGAAGAACACGATAATAAGTAATCGTTTAATTCTGGAATAAAAACTATGCAATAATATTAAATCTCAAAACTTTCTGAAGAGTGTTAGAACACTTGCGCCGCTGAGACTGATTCTAAACAATATCTCCTAAATTCTACTAATAATCCCATGGATCCCAACCAGTCGGTCATCATTTGTTGACGCGTTGCAGCCTTACAGTCATGACTTCATGAACATGTTACATCTTTGTATGATCTCCCCTAGACTAAGCATACGTAACACATCCCAATCATTCCGGCCTGTGATACACAATCTCATCAGTTAGTTTGCATGGTACCCTGCTCCTAACCTCAACGTCTCACATGATAGTTTCACCATACAGGCAAGCGAACTGCTAACGAGTATACTCCCATTTTCTTCTTCAGACAGACATTTCATCTATAATACGAGTAACGCGAGTTGGAAAAAAATCAGACGAACTTTCTGATTTTATATCAAGATTTCATCAAACACCAACCCATGAGAACTAATGAAACTTCTGAAATAAGTATTATGAATACCCTCAGCTACTACTGACCAAAACCAGTCTTAAAGCAAAATTTGGCATTCAGAAGTAGAGAAACTCATCTCGAAAATTCTTGCATTGTTACTCAAGGGAAGGGTTATTTCTCTTTTTATATTAGGCACGTAAATTTGGAACTGATGACATATTAGTTTCAGGAGGGCTAATATTGATTTCTAAGCTTCCAGTTAACTAATTTTCTGTCTATTTTAACGGTCCATTCTCAAATCTTTTTATTAACTTTCCATAGAAAGATGAGGTGTATTTAAATTTGGTCCTTGAATTCATTCCGGAAACAGTTTATCGTGTTTCAAGAAGATATGCTCGTCAAAAGGAAACAATTCCTCTTTTGTTTGTAAAGGTAACTTTTGTTTTTAGTGGTTTTATCCCCATAAAAATCAACTTTGCATCTTTGATAGATTTATTCAGTTCCCCATGAAAGTTCCTTACAGTAGTAAATGATTTCCATTCTTTTCCTTATCACCCTGATATTTAACCACTATGATTCAGTAGTTAGTTGTTTTAATTGATAGTTCATTTCATATCTACCTGTATTTGTCCATTACTATCTTGATCCAACCTTTCTTAATCTTTTTTCCACCCTTGTGTCAATCAACTCAGCGTGCTAATAAAGCTGACAAATATACGTCCATAACATACTATAATCCTCTTGATTGACGAGGATTCACAGCCCCATTATATGCTTTATCATTTATAAGAAGTGCAATCTAGTAAATTAACCTTAACATTACTTACTCACTTAGCCCGACCGTAGCTGCTACCTTGACATGGTAGTCGAGTTTGTCTACCGTGATGACCAAACTGAGCTATATTAGCTGGAACCTATGTTCCTGTAGGTTCTACCATGCCAGGCAGGTCGATTGGAGGACGATGAGACAAAGCAGCAACTCAAGGTCTGAGGGCCAAGTCACACTGCTGACTGTAGAGGGCTGTGACAGCATTAAGATGTTCTCCTCAGACAACCAGCATCTGCAGCGGTGCTGCCTTCTCACAAGGAAGGAAGGGTTAGAAATGGTCGACCCTTAAAACTTAACATCACACCTTACCTCAAGAATTTCCGTCTCTGGCAGTAAAGCCTTTCAAACAAGAGCGGAGCCGACACTTCAAGAACTTCCCATAAAAAGGCTGTGCGTGACTAGCCTGAAGCAGTTGTCCCGTGGGCTCTGCCGTCACTCACCTAGGTCTCTAAGACCATCACTAGTCTACCTTTTCAGGTTCTTCAACAAATACCCTTCCACAGTGTGGGCAGGCGGGAAGTGACATCCGCCCTCATACCCGTAACAGCACGCGAGACTAAATTGATCACAAACAAATCCTTCCTACCCCCCGCTAACATCTCTCTTATCGCAACGACTAACTCTTCTCACATTCCTTTATCACCACGTAACGCTAATGCAAACGACTCGAGTTCACGAAACATTTCCTGTTCTCCTGAAACTCCGTTCTAAATTACATGTTGGAGCATTTAATGTCCGAACATCGAGTCAAATAAGGCAACAGGCTTCCTTAGCTAAGACTTTAGAATCTCGTGCCATCGATGTGTGCTGCGTCTCCAAAACGCGCACACACGATCCTAGTAAAATCATTGATTTGACTTCACGTTGTCAAAATAAAGAACCAACTTCATTTAATCTTCGTTTATCTGAACGCCCTGATGCTGCTTTTCGAGGTCTGGCTGGCGTGGGTATAGCATTGAGTCGAACCTCCTCCAAAACGTTAGGCACTCTGATATAGTAATAATGGCTGGTGACTTTATTGCTCAAGTAGGTAGACTCTGAAAATGAAAGACACCTGGGTGGATGTTATGGTGTCGTGGCTCGAAGAGCAGACAATAGCGACCGTCTGTTGCAACTGTGCTCAGATAACGGCCTATTCCTAGCAAACACTAACTTAAGGCATAAGGAAAAGCATCTCTGGATGTGGCGACCCCCAAAGTCGTCACAACGCTGGACCCAACTAGATCACATCGCCATCAGCTACCGGTGGAGGGGTTCGATAGAGGACTGTCGCTCATTCTGGGGCACATGTCTAGATTCAGATCATGCTCTAGTGTTAGCGCGTATTTGTTCTTTGAGGCTTACTGGACGTAGGAAAGACAACGCTTATGGCAAACTGCCATCGGAATTCTTTACTTCAAGTGGTGTCCGTCAGGGATGTCCACTCTCTCCATTCTTGTTTAATTTTATCATAGACATGCTCCTAGATATAACCTTATTCTCGTCTGAATATTCAGGAGTGGACCTTCTACCAAGGAAATCGCTTGCTGACTTAGAGTATGCTGATGACATAGTCCTATTCGGTCAAGACACTGACAAAATGCAGAGTCTTCTGACTACCCTAAGCAACAATGCAAGTATGTTCGGGATGCGGTTTTCCCCTTCAAAATGCAAAATGTTGCTTCAAGATTGGGTTGCATCAGCACCTGAACTATTGATAGGGAGTGAATCAGTCGGGCGTGTCGACCGCTCCACTTATCTCGGGAGTGTCGTCAGTGCTGATGGTCTGACGACTGATAAAATTTCATCACGGATACAGAAAGCTCGATTGGCTTTTGTGAAGTTGCGTCACTTATGGCGCAAGCGAGATATCCGTTTCCTAACCAATTGACAAGTGCACTGCGCATCAGTTCACTCCGTTATACTATATTCGATCATCGATGTCTTCGAAGCATTGCTCGTATATCCTCGACGAGCTATGTTTTGTGGTGTAGGAATGGGTTGAAAGAAAGCAAGGGGCGGCCAAACCAGAACATGTCAGGAATCTATGAAGTCACTGACAAGTGGACTAAGTCATGTTGGTAAGTGTAGTCTACCTGGTTGGGGTCTGCGGGATGATGGTAACCGATGTTTAAAGACCTTAAACGACATGGCTCGAAATCGTTTGCAATTGCATCCATTCATTGTCTTGTCTCCAATTCGGACCTTCTAAATTCCTCATCATTTCTACCTTTCTCTTTCTAAAGTTACTTCTCGAATCGTATCTTCGAACCCTAATCTTCTCCACAACCGCTAATACTTTTACTATCTCTACCACTATTGGATTTGAACTGACAGTTACGTCTTTGTGCTGATGGGCTTTGGGAACCTGAACTTATGTTTTCATGTACGAAGTTCTACTTTGTAAATGACTTGTCTTGACTCACTTAGTAGTCCCATCATACCTTGGAAATGTTTCTAAAATAATTATTTCTGGATACTGTTAACCAGAAAGTTCATTGTATAAACTAAATTTGTTCCGCTTTTGCAGTGTTACATAACAAACTGCTTCACATTATACGTATGTTCTGACCGGCAGTTAGACAACTCCGTTTCACTGCATATGATGGGTTAATAAAAGGTCACCAGAGCTTTTTTCGTTTGCCTTAAGAGTCCAACAACCCTCTAGGGTTGACGAGACTATCAACAAAAGTGATGTAGTCATGCTATTCAACTATTACGGTCCTTATATTCTAACTAGACATTAATATAAAACAATTCTAAGCAACATTCTCCATTTTTCCCTTAAGGTGTACAGAGAAGTAATTTTAGCGTCTTTATCCAATCGAACTAAGTTATCTAACCGCCAATCTCTAATTTTTCAATTACATAGTTAATTATAGACCTATTTTCAAAGACCTCTGGAATGAACTAATCAGTGTTTTCTGCTACCTCCATTTTCATATATTAGAAATTCCCATAATTAGATAATAAACACTTCGTATTACATAATCTATAATCCTAAGGAATTTTATTCCAGCGTCTAGTTTTCCAAGCTTTTTGACTTACTGCTTTTTCTGAGACTTTGATTTAAAGTATTATTATTCTCATCATAACCAGTACATCTGTTATCACGTCATCCATTTGTAATTTTCATTCCATTGCTATCACTGACTCATCAATTGCCTTGATTGATTTAATGATTTCATATATGCATGTAGATATTATTGTATACTAGCGTAAAGCCTGTTGAAGATCTAATTGAAAACTATTTTTCGCTCATATATGTTGTTGTATCTCCATTTTCATTGGGGGTTGAAGACTGGATATTAGCATCATATTTAGGCAGTTGATAAATAGCGGAAGTCATTTGTATAATTATCGTCATTTCAACTGCTTAGCCAATAAACGTTCATTTAAAATAAGGTCACCAAACAACCTTCAAAGTTTCACCATGTTTTATATGGTTTCAACAATATAAGCATTTTAGGACTAAACAGTTGACGTAAAAATTTACAATACACAAGAGCAGCCGTTTTTACACGTTACTTTTACAAACAATCCATTTTTTATGGACGATGCAAATCCATGGATACGTATTGAAAATTCCCGAACATGAACATTCACATTTTTGCGAGCTGTAATACAATGGTTTATGAACTTGTTTCTCACTTCATAAAGTGTTATACTGAACAACATCCTATCACCAGTTGATGATTACATTTTACATGTAATTGTTCATGTACAAATTGTTCTTATTAATTATAAATTCCCTTTGTTGTTACCCTGAAAAAATAATTGAATCTAGTTATTTTTATTAGTACTTTGTTTTATCTAAATTTGTTTTGTTCACTTTGATAATAATGCCGAATCACTATTTTTTGAATTATCATACCCTTCCCTGCTAATCAAAGTTCCTCAAAATGTTTTTTCTATGGATATTTTCCTGGACATAAAGTAGTACATGTATAATTGTTTTCCTAGGTTATGTACATTGAAATTTGATATTGTATAACCCTTTCATTTAACGGAAGGCAATAGTTAGTATAGAAAAAGTGCATGTGTTTTAGGAATAGTGGAGATCGACTATTTTTATATAAGACTTCCTCTCTTTTGGTATAAGTTTATGGCCCCATCTAAATTCTATCCTCCTGCACATATTTCAACCCTCTTAATTGACTAATATGCCTTACTCTTATTAAAGGTATTTGAAGGTAATCTATATAACATCTTTGTTCCTTTCTGCCTCAATCTTTTTCTCAACTTCATCCTCTATCCCATTTTGGGAATCAGTATTAACTTCTCGTTTATATTATGCTAATTATATTGTGACAAACAAAATTAAATCTCTCATAGCAAAGACCGTGTCAACATAAATTTTAATATATTTAATGATGTAACAGTGTTTTTCTGACTGTAATCGATTGAGTGCAGAGTTTCGCATTACTCTTACGAAATTTTAACTCTTCGACTAGTGAATGTTCGATGGCATTTCCTACATTCCTTACCAAAAATGTTTTAAAATGAAAACCTCATATCTACCAAGTTCATATTTTCACTTGATGTAGAACGATTCATATTTACTGAAAGTATTTTGCTAAATAATCTTCATTCTGTACAATGAAAGTGCATTACACCGATTAAAATCAATAATGACTTTTTCACACTTCTCTCTATGAGTAACTGGAAATGTTTCCATTGGTCCACGCTCGATTAATTATATTTTTATGTTGGTCATAATAATGATTAAATCCATAAATGTTACGCAGGTTAACGTTGATTTCTTCAATGCACTATGAGAATGATTCTCATTAGTGTCATTTGAACGTATGCTTCGTAGGTTATTCTCCTTAGTATTTGTGTATTTTAGTATCGTGATATGCGATCGAATAAACCAAAACTAGGATTCTGAACGTGGTACGTGATATAAAAAATGCTTTATCGGTAATTACACACTATTCCTATGTACAGATGGGGTTATTTATTTTAAATATATCTGTGGCCAAAAAAACCTGTGACTGGATATAAGCTGTTGTAACAACTTTTGTGATGTACTTATTGGTTGAAAGTTAGTCTTATAATCTACGTTACAACTGATACAAGCTAAATAATGTTTCTAATCAACTTCCGAACAGAATACAAAGTAAAAAGTTTTTGCAAGGTTTTGATGTTTTGAAGTGAGACAAACATTTAGATGACACTACTCGTCGTATGCCGCCTACATAATCGTAATTTTTTGTGGAGGATTAATTAACTTACTAAAACGGTAGAAGAAAAAAAGACAAAACAAGTAGAGATGTTTAATCTTATAAACGTGACTCGCATAGGAAAGTAATAAACAGTCTAGCTATTATAACCTAATGTTTGGCTTGACCTCAACAATCCAACATACTATCTTGATTTCTGAAATCAAATAACAGAAGGTATCTCAGTAGTTAAGGTGTTTAAATTTCAACCATTAAGTCACATATTCGAAACCTTGGATTTGGATAGTTACTTATTATCACTAACTCCATAAGCCAAGTATACTAATTCGTACCTGGTAAGTGGGTTATCAAGAAAATAAACTAAAGTATGTAATCCAGTGATAAAAAGAGTAATGCTTTATCTGCTTAATCAAAGCTCCATATTTTAATGGAAATCGTTTTCCAAAAAATGTAGATATTTTCTTTTAAATATCTCAGCTTACAGACAAAAATCTAGTTTCTAAACCCAATAAAATTATTTTCTCTTTACCCCATATTCATGGAAGTTAATCGAAGAAAGTTAAGCCAGTCATCGTTTGTTGAAACTTGTCACTTGTAAGGAATGACGTTGCTATATGCTATTTTTTTTTCCGATTTCTCATAAACTTCTGTTTGTATTTTCTTCCCCAGCTCTATATGTACCAACTATTCCGAAGTTTGGCCTACATACATCATAAAGGCATTTGTCATCGGGATATAAAACCCCAGAACTTACTTTTAAATCCGGCTACAGCTGTTTTAAAATTGTGCGACTTCGGAAGGTTAGTTCACTGAAACGTGTATATATCACCATGTAGTAGTGGTATTATTTCCTGTTTATAATAGTTTTATTAATTGAGTTTGAGGTAAACACTTCCCTATATTTGACTTAGCTAAAGACTAATAAGTCCTATAATTCCTTCAGAAAACATCAAATTACTAGTGTCATATGTACGTGTTCCCCTATACATGTTACTAAATCGTCTCAAATAATTCAGATCTCCAGCCACCTTAGAAAAGGAACGACTCGATTATGAACGACGTTTCTTGGATAATAAAACAATGCACTATGAAACATAACTGTGGTTTGAGTATTACTACTGGAAATATTGATTTGTTTTCATTGCATGTTATGCAGTAACTGAGCATATTTTTGAATTCTATTTCAATCGGATTATACAGGGATGTATTAATTAAAAGACTTGATAGAACTAGAGTTATTTATATTTATCATGCTTTTCAGTAAAATCAATATTCTGATTTGTTTCATGCAAAACGTTTCCATCTATTTCTCTCAGTGAAGTTGATGCTGACTACTTCAATTAAGGCTGAAATATAGTATGACTAATTTTTACTTAGCATTTGGTTTAAACTACGTTCTTATCGAAACTTCAATTCAGCATTTATTCCATTATATTTAGGATATTTTACATGTTTATTATTTTTTCCCAACTTTAATTAGTTAATTGTTTTATCTTTGTAGTGCAAAGGTTTTAGTTCGCGGCGAACCTAACGTTTCTTACATATGTTCTCGTTATTACCGGGCTCCTGAATTGATATTTGGTGCTGTGGATTACACATGCCAGATTGGTAAGCTGAGTATTCTGTGCAGACAATTTCATGTTCAAATTTACCGAGCCACCATTTTTAAGCGATCAGTGAACAAGTGATTGAACTATATAGAATAGGTTCTGTTATCAGGGATCGAGTAATACTTCATTCTTAGCATTTCTCCATACTCGATATCTTTCTAACCTTGTGATAAAAAACGAAACAGTATCAACATCTATGAAGGAGTTCAATTATTTATGAAAATACAGTTTAGGGCTGAATAATCACACTAGCGAATAGCCAAGTAAAACTGAAGATTGCATTGTTTGTAACTTTTGGTGTTTAATTTAAAAACCTGGCCTTTTCATTTCTGCTTTTTATGAAGACTTTGTTAAAAGAAGAAATGCATTATTTAATTTCCATTTTGCAAAAGGAATTTAGAATAAAGGTATATTGCTTCCATATATATATAACTCAGTCAGTCAGTTACAACGCAGAACTCCGTACGTACGTACATCAGTTCAAGTTGCCATACCACATTAGCACAGAGATGCAATTGTCAATTCAAATCCCATAGTAGTAGAAGTAGTAGAGGTATTATCAACAATCGGAGAGATTAGGGTTCGACGATATTAAAGTATAATCTAGTGACATAAACTTATAAGAAGAAAGGTAAAGATCATGAAGAATCCCGAGGATTAGGATTTGAGAATAGCTAAATATTGGATTCACCTGCGCCATTGCAAACGGTTTTGAGCCATGTCATTCAAGGCATGGTGTTTAACTGGTGACATCATATCCTGTTCACCATAATTAGTGTACAATTTTTGGTAATCGCACCATACCTTAGTGTAAACTGAATAACACCGTCTTAGCTAAAAGTGAAAGTTTGATATTTTCGACTACTCCGTACATCACGTAATCCATAATCATCTGGGATTTTGTCTACTACCAGCTGCGTTTTAACTATCGGTTTCTTTCACAATGAATATGTTATTCTTATTTCGAAAAGACAGTAGTATGGTGGTCTATGAGTAGATCATTATTCCATCAACAAATTCACTTCACACATGATTTTTATGACTTGGGCACGTATTACATATGTCATCGTAGCTACTTGCATAATGAGAGTCGTTTTCTAGAACTTGGATTACCAACAGAAAGCGAATGCTATCAATTAGCCTAGAAAGGCTATGTTGACTTAGCTCTTGTTGACACAGTAAAACTTTATCTTACTGTTAGTATCCTTGTTGCTATAACTTTTTTTTCTGCACAAAAATCCTTAATTCTTTCCAATTCATTAAATCTATAAATATAGATGTCTGGTCAGCTGGTTGCGTACTTGCTGAACTCATGTTAGGTCAGCCCATTTTTCCTGGAGAAAGTGGTGTAGACCAACTTGTTGAGATTATCAAAGTTCTAGGTACTCCGTCACGTGAACAAATTCACGAAATGAATCCTGACTATCGAGAATTTAAATTCCCTCAAATTAAACCCCATCTTTGGTCAAAAGTAAGATATTATTCGCGTTGTTTTGATTTTTAATAATTTTTGTGTACCAACTGATGAGTAGTTCTCTGGTTTTGTGTATTTCTCGTCCCTATGAGTAGCATTTTTTAATCTCTTGTCGAAGATAAAACGGACCAGATACTAAATGGATATTGGTTTCTGAGTCGCCTCACACTAATATAAACGAAAGATAATGACTCCACTAAGTATTCAAAGTACTGACGTAACCATCTAGTTCATATATTATCAAAGCTTATTCATGCTATAACATTTGGGACATTTGTTTCTCCAGGTCTAATTGAATCTCAATAATAAAACAATAGTTACTTATCAAACGTAATCAGGAATTCAATGAGTAAAATCTGCACCTGAACGCTAAACCAGTTCTTTTAACCGTTTCAGTGTAGTTACAATGATGTGTAGTGTTTAGGATTCAAAATTTTTTATAAATAGATACGATGTGCTTGCATTCCTGTTAACTCATTGAGTCCAAGAATATTATCCCGATTACTATACAAATAAAAACAATTGGTAAGTTTTTGAAACTTGTAGATAAGATGTGAGGTTTGCTGAAACAAATGGTAGACTTATTAACAATTAGCTCTTATTGTTATAGCCCATCGCAATTTAGCTATTTTACACATTTATGATCTTAATGTATATTCGAGATATAATAATAGTTATTATTATTATTATAGACTCTGACAAGCAGTTAATTCCACTACAAATAAAAAATGTGGGGTTATTACTGAAAAATCGTGCATAAATTTTTAATTTATCACTAGTGGAATGTTGATCGGTAAAACACTGACTACACCTTGTCATTTCTTTGCTACAAAGTAGCCTATCTCATAATATCGTCACTGACTGAATAGCTTCTCTACTTGATGTTGTGCAGCTATTGGGGAAAATATCCAATCGATTAAAGACATTGGAACAAATGATATTTAATGACTATCAATTTCAAGCCTTGAACTAAAAGTTAAATTTCAAAATTTCATTTTAATCTTTGTCGTTGATCGGTTGCAATCATATGACCTGAAGTCAGTCAGTTGCAACGAAGAACTACGTACGTATGTACATAAGTTCATGTTGCCATACCACATTAGTACAGAGACGCAAATGTCAAATCAAATCTCATAGTGATAAAGATAGTAGAGGTATTAATGGTAATGAAGAAGACTAGCGTTTCAAGATATTATTCAAGAAGTATAATTCAGTGAGATAAGGTTAGAAAGACAAAGGTAGAGGTGCTGACGAATCCAGAAGATTAGGATTTGAGAGAGCTCAAAGAATGGATACACTTGCGCCATTGCAAACGATTTTGAGCCATGTCGTTCAAGGTCTCTAACCATCGATTATTATCATCTCGCGGACCCCAACCAGGTAGCCTACATCTACCAACATGACTCAGTCCACTTGTCAGTGACTTCATGGATTTGTGCCATGTTTTGGTCTGGCCGCCCCTAACTTTCTTCCAGCCTACTCCTACACCATGATCTGAAGTTGGGAGATACAAATTCATAAACGGTTTAATTGGTCATTGCTCGAATATCAGCATTCTCCTTTGCAAACTGATTGTCAACACGTGTTAGAAATGTGATAGAGTTGACGGGGTTTCACCAGCAAGCAAAATATTAGGATGCGATATTCTATCATATAATTTGTGAACTGTACGTGTTATCTGCGTTATGCCTTGTGTTGAATGCTGTCGATCAACATCATTGATACAGATACATTCGACATAATATTGGATTACTGAGGTTTACTTTTTCCTCTAATATAGTCAATCTTTTTTGATATTCACTCCCACTTTTTTAAACTTTCTCTTAGGTTTTTCGTCCTCGTGTTCCGTCAGAAGCAATTCAGTTAGTGTCCCAACTACTCGACTACACACCTTCAAAACGTTTAGAACCGTTAGATGCTTGTTTACATTGTTTTTTTGATGAGTTAAGGCAAGAAGAAACTAGACTTCCTAATGACAGACCTCTACCTCCGTTATTTAATTTGACACCTTATGGTGAGTATTCAGATTTCCTTATTATTATTATTATTATTATTATACTGATTAGTTATATAATGCTGCAGCATATTTGTTTAATTCTTACGGATAAAAAATTGCTTCTCTACTATCAGGCTATACATTGAAGCATCGATAACATGGTGATGTAAGTGAAAGCATCAAAAGCTTAAACATTTACTGCCAACAAACATTATGATTGGTTTGAATCAAGTCATTGTTGTGTCTACCTATTTTGACCATCAACTGGTGTTGCTATCTTCATATGTAGATATCCTCTTCATTTTTCTAGCTTAATACTTTCGCTATAATAATATTATAAAGTATGTATTCTAATGTAAATCTGTATGCTGATTTCGCTTTATTGCTTATTTCTACTCTATTTTTGTCTGTCTCGATACTGGTAGAAATTTTACAAATTGCAGCAAAGTAACGAGAATGCATCGCACATTGATAGCATACATTAGTAGGGATTCAATGTTTGCATAGCAGTGATTTTTATTAGTGTCGTCTTTATCATTATGTATAGTAGCAGTGTATAACTTAGTAAAATAATTTTTTTTTATCTAAAATTTAAACAAAAAACATACGTATAGAATTGAACAATGGAATTCTTATGTTATAACAATATCACTTTCATATTTTACAACTTATTATCTATGATAACTATTTAAATACTACAAATACAATATTTGATAATTCAATAAATTAATAGGAGTTAAAACACCAAGGTCAATCAAATAATCTGTTAAACAAATTATTATCTCAACTTAGTGAATATTCAATTGTTGTTGATACAACTATGGTAGACACTTCATAAATTATCTGTTTCAAATTAAAGAACATTAATCTGATGAATTTTCCTATCAATTGTTATGATCAATGTTGCTTAAAGTTGCTGAAAAAAAAGTCTTTTCATTGAAATAATCCTTTTCTATCGTATGATTGTCTAATATTTCTGTTGATTTCATTGATATATTTTTAGAAATGACTATGCGAGATGATATGTACAAATTTCTCCCACCTCGAAAAACTGGAGGAGATGGGGGATCAGAGTCACGTTTACCACCTGCTTCAAGTCTTTCAGTCGCAGAACATCATAGTATAGATAGAACGGATACTGTGTGTGTTAATCTCACAGGAAACAATCACAATGCTTCTACATCAGAAGGGAGTAAATTATCAGATTCAGAAATTCAATTAGGAGTTGTAGCTCCGTCTGGTAGTTCGGATAATATACAACTCACATCAGATAACAGTAACAACAATGATAATAATAACAATATTGATATACCTCAACAATTGAAGGATTCCTGCCAGGAAGAGTCAGAATCCCGGAATGTCCAAGGTAGCAATAGTTAAAGATAATTATCACATTTATCCTGTCTACACAATTCGATCACTATATTCGTCCTCATGTGACATTTATTCACTTTGAAATTCAATATCACGAAGTGAAAAGGCAAAATCATTTGACTCAGGTTTCTTGTCAAGTTTATTCCTATTGAAATACGTACAAATCATATACATGTACAAAATTTTTGCCTGTAAAATTTATGCTGTCTATCAAGATAATCAACTTCTCTCTAGATGACAATCATCATAACACAGGTAGTAATTATGGTGATGAAACAATTTGTCTTATTTCTTTCTCATTTAGGATATCATTTCTGTACAAACATATTCTCACCTATTTATGCAAACACATTCACAAATTAATAATCATTTCTCGTTTAATTTCCTTCATGTTCACTCGTTTTCAGTCAGTGAAACAGTTAGTATTTACATATTTTGTGTGTGTGTGTGTGTATTTTTTTGTTTATTATTCATATATACTACATGTAATAATGTGTAATCTGTTTATTTTCAATACACTGGTACTTGCTTCATTTTTCTCTGACTATCCTAGTTTATTTGTTTCTGTGTAATTGTTTCCTTTTCATTTGAAAAAAAAAATAATAAATGGATGATCGTTAACTTGAAAAAATCTGTTGTCTTCTAATTGTTTCCGTTTTTTTTTATATTGATAATCAAAGAAAGCGTTTGTTTATTGAATGCCACAATGTGTAATGTTTAAAAATGTGTTTTTCGAGTGTTTATTTCCTCCTTAATGTTTGTTTTACATTCTGTCAAGTTCTAATGATCCTCATTTTGTTTATGTATGTATATCATTCCTGTTATTATTACTGCATGGAGCGCCAAATACACATTACATATATATATATATATATATATATATATATATATATATATATATACTATAAGCAAAAACATATTTCTGCCTTACACTACAGCATTTTCGTCACTGCTTTCCTATTAGTTCGTCTTTCATATCATATATATATAGAGATCATAATTGTAGACAAGTATATCATTTTGTAATCATGATGTTTAGTTGAAGCCTTTTAAGATTTTTTCCGTACATAACATTTTATCTTTTCTTGTAATAGCTATGTGTATGAATATCTTTGTTCACTATAAACTCAACAATTACATAGCCAGTCTGTCCAAAAATGTGAACTTATCACTGTAGAAATGATCTGTGTCGTGTGGTAAATTTATATGTGAGAAGAACAATTATCAGCATTAAAAAAAACTACTGGAATACAGATTGACATGTAATTTCACATTCACTGATCTCTCTTTATCTTTAAATAATGCACATTTTGATTAGTTATACGAAAGAAATATTTGTTTATTTTACGTGTTTACTAATTTATATGCACAATTGTATCTGCGTTTTAGTCTGTCATAACTTGTATAAACAGTTTTTAATTTCCTGCGCGTAACACTAATGTAATATATGGATCAATATCAAATACATATATATATATAGTAAAACTTGTGTGCTCTTTTCTATCATTTACATGTAATCATTATCTCTTTTATTCAATTCACCAACATATAAAATTATTCATTGTAGTTCTGTCCAAAAGTTAAGCAGTTATAAAAATTTCATTGCAGTGTTAATTTCCTCTCATATTTGTGTCATTGAATGAATACACAAATATAATTTGTATCATTTTGATAATTGTCATTCAGTTTATTCATTTCAAACAGAACAAACAAAGAAGATTAAATAAAGAATTTGTAAACTATATCAACTTTGTGCTTTTTCTGTACTACATTTCTATTTCTTCTCTGATATACAATGAAAAGTAGATTTCTAGCTGTATAGTTTTTCCATGTCTAAAGTAATCAAACAGTTTATCATCTGTTCAAACTTTTTCACTGTTCATTGATGTAATAAATATTTACACGTTAACATCTTATGAAACGTAACGTCATGATGTAAAATAATCCATCTTAATTACTAGTGTATGGGTTGAAATGTTCATTTTAAAATTAAATTAGCAATTTGGTATTGTCAAATGTTATGCATTAGATTTATCTAGCTTTTGGTGAATTTAAGAAATTGTATTCACTTATGTTTCTTTTTTCAAGTTGTCATTATCACCGTTGCATGTAGTAACAATCTTAAGATTCTTTTTTAATCTCAACATCATCTAAGAGGTCTAAAGTATTACGTATGTGATCATAATAACCAGGTTTATGTAAGTGGAACATTTTATCTCGTCATTGGCAAACAGTTTCGATTGGTTTGAGGAAGTCTCCATTCTGCGGTTGATCTTATGAACCTATCGTTCTTACTTCTAATGCTTTTTTAAGTCAATTTACTAGAGGTCTCATCTTTATCATTTAAAGATTACAGTACTGTCTTTATTCTAATGAATCAATTAATTACCACGTAAATAAATACACCAAATGTCACATCAGTATAAAATATATCTGTCTCTTACTCCCTACAAATTTCTGCCAATGTTCCAGGTTGATACCTCGTCTCATCCTGTGCGGTACAGAATGACTTGCTTCAATGATTGTCTTTTTCATGACTTTTCAACTCCATTTTTGACTTACTCGAACAGGTGTTTTTCCAATGGGTTATGTTCATTAGTAGCCTTCAATATTCATGAATTTCCGGAGTTTTCTTAGTTTCATCAAAATACCTTAGCATCTGTTTTCCTACGAATAGTGCTGATATTCAGTCGTACGTGGGATTGTTTCGAGATGTATATTCCAAAATATGTGAATAAATAAATAAATTTAGTTTTCATAAGTCGAAACCTTACCTATCTGCTCTCTCTTGCCACCTTGGAAGCCAGATTTTAGTATGAAGAGTAATTGAATATTAATATGGATTTTGTTACTACATTGGTTTGTTATTTACAATTAATTTGTCACTGAGTACTGACCAGTGTCTTGTATACTATGATCGAACTTCGTGGATTTAGTTGCAATGCGACCATTGATTTTAATGACTCGACCACACCTGCGGTATGTCGAGATGGATGGAGGTAATTGACAAGAAGCCACTAACTGTAGTTTTCTACTCTTTGGTACTCACCAACTCCGCCTGGAGCCCTTCTGGGGTTACTGCCGGTCCCAAGCCTAGATACAGAAGAAGATTTTGTCACTAAAAAATCACCAATCAGAGAAAACCGGACTAGACTGCGAAATCATGCATGGGGGACAGCTCGATCTCACCCTTTCTCTTGGTGATCGACTGGATTATGAAGATGTCAACATCTCAATGGAAACATGAGATTCAGTGGACAGCCCGTATGCAGTTGGAGGATATGTACTCCGCAGATGATCTAGCCCTCATATCCCGAACGCAACCAACACCAAAATCAGAATTTTCAATACTAATGTTAAGACTTTATAAGGCAGAAACTTGGAAAACTGCCAAAGCCATCATCCAGAATATACAAGTATTCATTAACAGTTGTCTACACGAAATACTTCGGACCCGTCGGTCAGACACTATCAGCAACTACCTACTGTCGGTGAGAACAAACCAGATTCCAGCGGAGCAAGCAGCTCTAGAAACGGATTGGAGAAAAGCACTTAGTTGGGTCACAAGACAAGCTCTCACCTGGAATCCTCAAGGCCAAAGGAAAAGTGGAAGACCAAAGAACGCATTACACGGAGAAATGTAGAGATAGACCTGAAAAGAATGAACAGTGGTTGGATATAACTGAAAAGGAAGGCCCTGGACAGTGTAAGTTGTAGAATGTTGGTTGGCGGTCTATGCTCCATTGGGGTTAACAGGCATAAGCACGTAAGGTACTCACCGACACGCTGTACTTGCACTCTTGGCAGGCTCGATCCTATGTCACCCAGCCTTACAGTCAGAGACTTTACCATTGAGCTATTCGGCCTCAACTGACATCTCAGAATTTGTGAATAAGGTTTTATATCGTCAAATATTTTCTTTAGAAATGAATAACAATTTCATATTAAATAAGATTAAAGCTTCATACTTGAAAAGCAGCCACTTATAAAGGCTTTGTTGCTCTCCAATAAAATATTTGTAGTCTGGTTAGTGGTGGGAAATCTGAAGTAGTGAAAAATCGACCTTGTCGCTTGGGTGGTAGCCTTTTATAATGTTGCGTTTCTAGGCTCAAAATAAGATCTGATAGTGTTGTCTAAATTAACAAAGAAGGCGTCACAATTAAACTATTCAAATCAGTGGTCTCAACACCACCAAAACATTGAACAGTAACACTTGCTGTCATATTGTTCTACATAATAAAATTTACGTTTGTTACTAGTTAGTTTTAATGTACTGAATAAACTTTCAAATTGTTTTGGGGTTGTGAGTTAAATATTTTTACCTAAATTCAATATTCCCACTTAACAAACTACCAAGTTACTTAACAACTCAAAGTCAAGCCCTTTTCCATCATATTTTTGTATTGATTAAAAATTTCATTATTTGTCATATATTTATCAACAATGTTTGTGTTCATAATTGAGAAGTCACCTACTAATATCGTTTCCACTCAATGAATCATGAATTACTCTGACAGATCAATAATCGTCAGTGATCAGTTAAGCACACTCAGGGCATTTGTCGTTTTCGCTTGACAATTTCCATTTACAAATTAAATACGTATTTCATTGGGTAAGTGGAAGTCAACATAACCGAGAAAGTATCTGGCGAGATGGTAGGATTGCAATAACAATTTTTCGTTGTAGTTGTGTGTAGTAAACTTGAAAACAAAATATCTTGTGATTTATTGACCAAATTATTAAGAACAATATAAACGATCGTATACACCACTTCTGTGTACTGTGATCTGATTAAAGATTTGGTGTAGTTAATGCTCTTCCAATCGGAGTTCGTTTGCACGTATGCTTTTCAGTAGAATGGGTTGTATTTTACAAATGATATTTAATGATAATGCGTTAGAAATGTTTGGCTTAATAATTAAACTTATCTATATATTTTCTGTTGTACTCACGAATTTCTTCTGGAATTATGGAATCATTATTCACATGTAAAAAATAAAATATGTAATTGTGAATGCAAGTTAGTTTACTAGATTTCTTTCTGTGTCGAACCCATCAGTTTCCTGACATATTTTCACGTTTTTTCTATGTAACCTTATCATTACATGTGAATAAACTCAAGTAGAAATTACTGACTTCATTCATCTTTTCATCACTATAACAAATCATCCCCTAAGACTAATTCTCTTACACAGAGTTTCATTTACCTTTGTGTGAAAAATCACATCGAAATTTTTAATTTTGTGTTTGACCTTTAGTTAGTTACTTTTCTTGTAATTTTCAATTAATCCAATGATTCATTTATTTATTAATTATTATTAATTTTCATTACATATTGTACATGTACACCTTGATTTCCACCCACTTTACATATACTTTTAATATTATGTAAAACTAGTTCATGGCATTTATTATGAATACGTACAGCTCCAAAATAGTGAAACTATCGAAGAGAAGATCATATTTCCCGTGACAATATTGGTTGTGCCATACTGTTGCACAGACTAGTGGCTATTTGCTATTCAGTAGCTCAGTGGATAACTGGTTCCAAGTTCTGATAGGAATATCAGCACTGAACTGCATGTACATCTAGTCGAATAGTTTCAAGTGCGTCTCTTGGTTTCTAATGCTACCTACCCCCTGTTTAACATTACTATTCTATTTATTATTATTATTATTATTCAATTTTTTATTTAGAAACTAAGTGAATTGTATACATGAACGAAAAAATCTTGAAAAGTGAATTCACTAACAAACATATTGATCGAAGGGTTTGACGGAGTGTATTCGGATGTATTAAATTCAAAGTAATAAAATTACATGTAAACTTGTGGCAAAAAACAAACAAGAAAATCATAAAACATATACAGAAATATATATAGAAATTAGTCGGTAAGGCAGAGAATGTGATTCCACAATCTGTGTTTGTATACAAAAATCTAGCTTTTACACCATATATAATCAAGGTTTCTGCTACCATAAATGAAAATCGCGGATACATGCTGTTGAAGATCCGGTTTTATTTTATACATGGTCAGAAATACCGCATGGTCAACTTGATGTTTCAGAACGGACGGTTTGATACTTTTGCATGATCCTTAACTGAACTACACGGAGAGGAGCTATTTCGTCTATTGGTGGAAATCATGAATTCGATTTGAAATATAATTTTGATGGTAACTATTATCGTGAAATGACTTCGGTTGCATAACTATCACGAATTAGCTGTTGAAGCTCATAAACGGTACTCAATCGCTATCCTACCTGAGCTAAAGATTCGGAATCAACAATCATATAATTATATGGAAATACTGTCTTTAGAAGTATGTGAATACCATCATGAACCCCTTAAGTCTGCCTGCCAGCATAATTGTGGCTGTTATCTTATCTTCCGTCCTGCCTATGCAACTTGGATCCTGTTTCAGATTGGTCACACTGCTTAACCTCCAGAGGATACGTATAGAATTGCCACTTTGTTACCCTACTTGTCGGGATTCTGTTGCCCTAGACATACCTTGCGTTTTAACGACCAGCAGACTGATGCGATACAACTGACTAGAACTTCTGAAATCAAATATCCACTGGAAAGTGTTAGTGATCACAGGATATATTTTTTTCCGCACAATGTGAGGCACGGAAAGTCTATTTCGACGATTCACGAACTCGATGACACATATATCCCAGACTCAAAATTTGATAAAGCAGCAGAGACAGGCAAACCTGGTGGTACTGTTGTAGGTCAGAAGCAGTAGCTAGATCTGGTAACTGCCACGAGCTGTTTGCGTGCCTGTAACTTTGTGCATTTCTAAGGCATCTTTACTTCTCAATATTTCTAAAACATAAATCTACGACTTCACAAACTAAAGATATTCCTCTTGACATAGTCTAACTGTTTTATCAACTTATGAATCTTTCCTAGCTTTGGCTAAAAAGATCATTACTTAGTTTGACAATAGGTAAGCGAAGTCAAGTAGTGGGTAACAAAACTTAATCAGTCAGTCAGGAACGGCGTTAATCTTTGTTTGTACGTACAGCAGTTCGGGTTGCCTTACCACATTAGCATAGAGATGCAATTGTCAATTCAAATCCCACAGTAGTAGAGATATTAGAATTATTAGCGGTTATAGAGAAGATAAGGGTTCGGAAAAATTACTCAAGATGTATAATTCAGTGAAATAAATTTAGAAAGAGAAAGATAGAGGTGATAATGAGTTCCGAATATTAGAATTCCAGAAGACACAAAGAGTGAATGCACCTGCACCGCTGCAAACAGTTTTGAGCCATGCCGTTCAAGATCTCTAACCATCGGTTACTATCGTATCGCGGACCCAAGCCAGGTAGTCTACACTTACCAACATGACTCAGTTCACTTGTTAGTGACTTCATGGATTCCTGCCATGTTTTGTTTTGGCCGTCTATAGCTTTCTTCCAGCCTACCCATTCAGCACAAAGCATCGCTCATCGAGGCAGTCGTTGATTAAGCATACGTAACACGTGTTCCAGCCATCTCAGCTGATGATGTTTCAATATTGTATCACTTCCGTTAATTTTGAATTCTGATGCAGGCTTTTGAAGGGCTCTGGACTTCTAAACGTTATAATTCATTCGATTATGCTGTTCAAATACTCAAAACAGACGTGATTTGAAAAAGAACAGATAGTTTGAATATGAATTTGTTCAAATGTATTACCATCAGTTTCGGGAATAGGAAAATTATAGCTTGTTGAGAGAACAACAGCAACAAAAATAAATATTGTATACCAGGTGGAAATTTAATAGAAAATGCACATTCATTCAAAGTCATGAGTAAGACATATTCCTAACAGTTTTAGAGATGAAATCATCTGCAACTACTGTGAAATCAAAGCAGAAGGCTTAGCTAATGATCCTTGATTAGCATGATAGATAATAAATTATAATTAAAATCGACTTCTTATTTATTAATTTTTCTTAAATGATTATTCAAACAGCTGTTAACTATTGATCCTGCATAAAATACACTATTTCACGTGTGACAAATTTACTAAAAGTTCATAATAATTTTTCTACTGAAGAAAGTAATCAAAGAATCTAAATTTCTTTCTATTAACTAAATAAAAAATCTTAATGAAACTGTACACAAACACTACTACTGATCATTCAAACTTCATCTATAGAGAAATTATTTAGGTATTTGAGAACCAATTCTTTTGACTCATCAAAACAATATGTTGTTTATTTTATTCCATTTCATGAAATACAAAGTGTTTACAGACACATTCAGTCAAACGAATTCTATGTAGGATGAAAAGTGCATACTGAATTCCATTCCTAGCGAAAATTCTAATCTGTGTTGTTTGTTTAATTTCAATATTCAAATGACTTATCCAATTATTTTATAATATGATCGAATCAATATGATAAGTTTATATTCTGTATGAGATTTTTCATAAATTGAATTTTAACATCGTGTCATCATGTATCACATTGTTTTTAGTTGATTATATTCAATATATTTCATTGCGTAGTTGTGAAGTTACCTGGATTGGTATCAATTCTATGTCACAATAAGCACATAAATTTCTTTAATATCTGAAATTATTATATTGTACTAGACATATAATTGTTATCATTAGTCACGACATTTGCTAAAAATTTTAATAGCCAACTGGTATTATTAACGCTTTCATAAATATGAATAAGTCTAGGGATACATTTAATAAAACAGATAAGACTTTTTCGGAAGTTTTACTGAGGAGCTTTTAGGTCGGAACATACGTAGGGAAAGGTCAGTTAGAACTTATTATTGGTTACGAATTTATATCAACTAGGAGCCATAAAAAACAAGCATGAGGTATCGGATAGAAGTTTTGTTTAAGTTTGAACCGTATACGAAGTCAAGCCAAGAATTTCGACAGCAGCTATGACACTTTTTGACAACTGACTCGGAATCTAACAGAGATTATTTTCTAGTTTAGGCAGTTTAGCATATTGCGCGATGATAACCAGTGTTAAGTATTTCATTATTGAGCTCAAACGATCACTGCTTTTGATCAGAATTTAGGAAATTCATCTATCAGTCAGTCATAGCAAATTATTTTAAACGTTTAGAAAGTTAATATAACAACGCGGTATGAATACGTGTGGAATCTGAATTTGAACATCAACAATGGATACATTCAGCTGATAAGCTTCTAATATGATAAAACCTCATGCGTTTTTCACTGCCTATCACAATTCGAAAGCATGTGAACTGACATATATTAAAATTTTTCTATCCTGCATAGTGACTGCTGGTAAACAGATTTACAATAGCGTTAACGAGTACCAACTGGCTTGAAAAAGGTCCTAAGTATTCTGTTAACCGCCTAACATTGAGTAACACTATTTGGTTTCTCATAACTCTGCAATTAATATTCATCTGTAATGAATATCGTTTGCACTTCGTGCATAGTGCCTGAAACATCAAGTTAACCAATAATTACAGAATAACGTTCAAAGATAAAAAAAATAATATTGTTCAAATGTTTACATGAACTAATACTTCTAATTACATAATTTTACTTATTCACATTTTGGACTCCAGTTTTATCAATCCTTTGATATATAAACTAAGTGGAAATCTTTCAGTAATAAACTTAGCCATTTACATTTATAAGGGTAAAAATTGACATTTAATTTCAATCATGTGAAACAGAATGACTGACAACAATTTTCATAAATGTGTAAAAAAAAATCATTGACTAATGATAAACATTCAGAAAAAAAAATGGTCATAGGGTTTTACATAATTAAATGAATACAAGTCATAATCTGTGTATATATAGAGTAATTTATGTACATTATACATATATATTGTCGGAATGCGTTTTTATCCTTCACATGGATCAGTTGATGATGTTGATGTAAACGAGCGATTGCGTTGAGCTTGAATACGCTTGCTTCTTCTTCGTTTTCCTTGTGTTATGGAGTCATTTTCACGCTTAACATCCATAATATTCAATGTATGCATATCGTTAATCATCATCTCAGTTGCACTACTATCACCTGATGAATCATTGTCAACAACTTTTGTTGACCTCTTCGCAGTTACATCAGTTTTAGTATTATTACGTAATTTTATATGTACAGATTGTTTTCTCGAAACGTTAGTTGAGTTTGACGAAGTCCCTGCTTTACGAGATTTACGTGATTTTTTGTGTGAACTAACTGGTCTATTGAGAGCAATATCTTGTGGAATTTGTGTTAAATAAACGGAATCTTTTCCAGTTGGTGTTTGATTTAATGCAATATCGAAGCATTGACAATATAATTGTTCTACACAGATAAATTGTATAAAGCCAATACTACTGGCTACTGCAATCCATGTTGCACTTGTTGGATTCGGATTGAAACGAACCTGTGAGAAAGATGAAGTAATCCTCAAAAATTTAACAATAATAGAAAATGATTAAGTGATTTAAGGAGACTTTATAGATATATATAGATCAATCAGAGTTAAACGTTAACACCGTCGGATGCCGGTCCAGTGGTCCGATGGTTAGGCGTTCGCGCACAAGACCGAAGGTCCTGGGTTCGAGTCATGCGATGTGCAGGAGTCGTGGGTGCGCACTGCTGATGAGTCCCATACCCGGACGAAACGGCCGTCCAGTACTTCCAGGTTTCTAATGGTGGTCTAACAATGATTGATTGATGATTTCAAATGTGTAAAAACACAAACCTCCAAAACTCTGCCTGAAAATAAAGACCTTATAATTGTTTGAGTTAATTTTAAGTTGAACACTCGCCTGTGGTTTACAAACACTTAGTTGACATTTATAAAACAAATATGAACAACGTTTCCTATTGGTTAGCTTGTAACACACAGCGATAGGGAAAACCTTACAGGTTTGGTGTATGCTGCAGCTTACTAGCCATTATTCGAAAAATAAGGTGTGTTTTCTTACTGTACATGTCACGTAGAACGAACTCAAAACATGCAAATATTTGTATACAACATAACAAACAACTATATTTTGTAGAGAACATCAGTCAGAATCTATTTTCTAGAGGGTATGGATAGTTATTTTATTCAGAGTCAACTGATAAAAAAACCAATGATTAATTTCTTTAACCTAATTGAGGAGCAACTATTTATGAGAAATTTGATGCGTACAAACCAAAACTATTTTATAATCAATACAAGGTGTATGATAATTGCTCAAAATATGGTGGTAATCAATGATGTGATTGGAAAAAGTATTAAATATCTCTATAGTTCAATTAGTCACATAGATTGACATTATGTAAGAAAAAAACAATAGTTTATTGTGTTAGTTCAATTTAAATAATCTTCAAAAAGATTATATCACCATTAGAACAAGTTCATTCATATTATTTGGTTGATTAATTGTATTAATTGTATTTTATATGTCATGTCATAGGTTGTAGATTGTCATAGATTTGTGTTTTGTGTGTGTGAGTATGTCACATGAGGAGAATATTCATTGGTTAAAGAAATTGCTTAATTGTCCACTTATTTAATAAAACAGAATATATACCTTTGAAATTTATTCCCAGATTATAATTAATTGATCATTGAGCAACAAACAACATCATGTTTCATAGATCTTAGCGATATGTGAATTTGATGTACGAAGTTGCAATGGGACTACTGGCCTAGAAATTTAAACATCACGTTGTCAAGCTTACCCATAGAGTTTATGTTAGTTTACCCTGATCAACAAGACTTGAAATTTTCACAGGACTGTAAGTCCTTAAAGCATTCGAACCAGGATATAGTCAAAAATATTGTTCAATGTGGAAAATCAGTCACTACGGGACAGTGTATACATGCCCATTGACAAGACACATAGATTGACAGTTTTCTATCTATTGCTACCTTTACTCATTGAACATATTTCATTTCTATAAAAGTTGACATCAAACAAATTTGTAAGAGTTAAAATGGAATTGTTTTTAAAAAAATGCTTTTTTAAAAATAAAAAACAAAAATCTTACTTTATTTATTCTCAACATGGGAGTATTGATAAAATCCAATTCAGGTTTCATAGGTACCTTATCCTAATTAAGAATAATATATAATGAAGATAAATAAAATTTTAGACAATAAATAACATGTCGAGTTATAAAATCAAGAAATTTATTTTAATCAATCAATAAAAAGTGAATTTACACATGTAAATAGTTAGAATCATTAAATTTTATTTGCATTAGGCATTTGAAAAACCGTTTTTAGCAATATAAGTAGGCTGAGAAAAATATTTCTCAAAACCTTTGAATAATCGAAAGACCGATTGCAATTAAATTTTCATTAAGTTAAAATCAAAAGATTTAACCGCATCGTATCAAGACATAAATTATAAATGTGTTTTCCAATAAAAATATTCATATACAACTGATGCGAATGAAGGTCATTATACTATATTTGGAACTAGCAAAACCGAACTAGACTGTATGAGATTCAAATCAATGAATATCATAGAATACATTATAACTAGGGCACAATTGAATTATATTAAAAGAATGTCAGTTAGATTTGTTCAACAGCTGGTGAAAATGTTTGCTTCTCTGTTCAGTAAATTTGTTTTTGAACAAGTTTCTCCAAGGAAACCGCCGTTAGAAAACTGTGACTGAATGAGATCTAAATCAATACATTAGTGTAACATTCATCTAACTATATATTTAAAAAAAAACAAATAGAAAGAAGAATTTCTACGCTCAACTTATAATTCCTTAGCTTTCCAAAAACGAAAATATTCAATCGTCAATTCATTCTGTATTCTGTATAATGATTATTCACGAAAGTGCTATCCTCATCAAGAATAGTAACATTGTGCACTTAGTACTAAGGTCAAAGAGTGTGTGCTTGAGTATCCTGAGGCAAAAGGTTAAAACTGCTAAATATTGAATTCTAGTAACCTTTATCATATAACATCTTTTACGTAAATATCAACAGATATATATATATATATATATATATATATATATATATATATATATATATATATATATATATATAAGAACCTATCAGAAAAATCAATTAAACTGTTAATCAATATGATGTTAACAAATAAATAACCTGCTTAGACAACAAAATTATAATACACTAACTTCATTGTCGATACAAAATAAGGGAATAGACATCCTACAAAATCTATCCATTTATCATATATATGTTATATCTCAGATACAAATGAACAGATAAATTATATCTACATAAGATAATGTTAAATAATGAACAAATAAGATTAATCATCAATGAAAATGTTGTTTCACTAAAACCAAAACCACAATTTGATTATATAAAAGAAAAAACAAAATGAAAGGCACAATGAATTGATTTTTTAGAAATGTTTTTGATGATGTTGATAATGATAATAACAACCATATATCTCAGTTACTACTTAAAATCATACTCTTATGCATTCAGTTTGATTAGGTTTAATTACACAATAACAAACAACAAATAATCATTTTTTTTAAAAAAAGATATATAATCATGGGACAAAACAATCTTTGCATAAGATAAGATTAATGTGATAACTGATAATGAGTCGATCAATAGAAATAGAAATATTGACTAATAAAAAGGTATGATTTACGTTGGTGATAGGTTACACAAGAATTAAGCCTAATTTTATCGACTTTTGATTGACCTACGAAATAGGAATTGCTTATGTTTCTTTTTGACAATAATAATTTTAATAATGATAATAATATTAATACTGTCTTTATTCAATACTGTATGTTTAGTCGAAGATGGCATTCTCAGGACGGAATATTTCAACAAGTTTCCTTGACAGAACAATTAGTGATTGACAGTTGGAAGTACGAATTGACATCTTGTTAACGTTCATTATATTCTCAAAAGATAGCCAACCACCCATATGTGTCTGATTGTACTAATTGGAACCTTGTGAAACAACCGCTCGTAAGATTTTTAAATGCACACCTGAATAAACTATAAGATTATTAGTAAAGTACAAACTTATTCGATTAACTAGTAGTTTTGTCATCGGTATCAGTTTATTTGGTAGTTTGAGTGAGCAGTTATCATTTGACCAAATCGTATTATTGTGCTTACTTATTGATCAGCATTCTATTGGTTTATTTCAAGTGTTTAAACCGTGCATCATTCATCAAACCACCGTTGGTATATGCTTTAGTATATCTATAACACGGTAAAATTAAGAGCTCAGATATATCTTCCAGCAGAAGTTTTCTGGGTGACTGTTACGCGAAATCTGTTGTCTAACTTGATACAACGTTTGCAAAAAGAAAGTTTTAATCTGCAGTTTGGATATATATATATATATATATATATATATATATCGTTACTGAAATTATTGTCATTACCTCTAACAGGATCCGTATTTGATAATTCGACCAAAGATTATGCCAGCACATAGAGTGATTAAGTCCACAGTGTTTACAATTGGGTGAAGGGAAGATAGACCGTCGAAATTCTGCATCGTCTAGTTCTTCATCTGATGCAACGGCAGTAGTGATAGGAGTATTGGTTGTAGTACTACTAGTATTAGTAGTATCAGTAATAATTGGTACGGGATCAATTTGATTTTCATTCATAAATGCATTAATATCTATTATGTCAAAATCACAGCTAGTTAAATCTACTGATTCTTCCAATTTCTCTTCAATTTTCAATGGGCTACGATGAATCGATTCTTCTGATGGTCGTTTTTCCATAGTCCATTGACATAATGGTATTCTCATCTGTGTGAATTTATTAAGAGTGTGAAATTAGTTTGCTTCAAGATTATTATGCTTTAAAGCTAACAAAAAACTAGTTAACAACATAAAGATAACCCTAAGTTATTTTTAATTTTTCTAAAAATTATGTAATAATAAATAGGAATAAATAAATCAATAATCGAGTGCTTGGATAGGAGCAACATTTTATGTATGAGTGCTAACGATACTAACTGGTTGAACTAACCAAAGAAGGCGGAAGAGTGTTTGAACTTCGAGTGAAGTGACTGAAAATTGAACTACTTAACCATGAAGCTATAATTCTATATTCAATCTTGAACAAAGCTTATCATTTACATACAGGCAATAACTTAAAAAACAGTGTAATAGTAAGGAACAAACAGAACCATTTGAATTTTGCAAGATTCTATTCCACTTAACTGAGTCTAATGAATATTTCCATTTGATCAGCTTATAGATTTTGGAAACAACAAAATATCAGCTGTATACGATAAGTGTCATCATACGTGAATAAATAATTAGCGGCGTAAACTATTGGATCATATACATTGAAATATGTTCAACAACAAACTTTGAAATGTTCAATTTAATGTCTACAATTTCAATTCACACCTGTTAAAACACTTTGCTGATGAAAGGTACAGAATATACAAGTGTTCTGTTGCGTACATAACACTAAATTTATACAAATGAATAAAAATATCAGTATAATGTGAAAGGTTAATTTTCTGTATATATATGACACGAAAACTATTAAGTTCATTATTTCTGAGTGTTAAATGGCAACTCCTTCAAAAACGCGGACCGTCTAATCCTCTAAATAGCATTAGAATAAAAATAATCAAAAGCTTATCATCAACAGGAGGATCGATAACAATCAAAAAGGAAAAAAAAAAGTAGCATCGTCCAACTTTGAAATTTCTAAACAATGTGCATTCACGACTTTATAAGTGATTAAAATTAGATTATGAAGTTTGAGCGGTAAACATGATATTTTGAGACTTGTGAGTAATGGTTTCTTACTAACTCGTTATTCGTCAAAATATTTAATATATGATATGATCAGTTATGTTGTTAAGTAATCCGATATCATCATTTATTGAACTCGTTAAGTGATAGATAAATACAATGCAATTTAATTTCAGGGATTTATTCTTGATTGGATTCAATCAAATTCAATAACTCAAGAACTCATTGCCAATTTTCATCAAGGAAAAAAAAATCAATGAGAGTAATAAACAACTTTATTTTTTGCTCATTGAATATATTTAAATAAACGTCACAAAAGATAGAAAGTGTTTTGTATTATAAAATCACTGAGGAATTCAATTTTTAATGGAAATGGTTTTTGATTTGAGAAAAAAAAATAACACTAGTATACATTAAATAAATATCGTAGGACCAGGGAAAGAAAAAAGCAGAACTAACGAAACCTAATGTATTAGGCGTTATAAATTGACAGAAACTCCTCTGTCATATGACAAAAATGAATCAATAATGCTTTTTCAGTGTTCATTTTTTGATTGTTCGCCAAATCAATTATTTGCAATAAAAGGGCATTGAAAAAAAAATAATTTATCAAGAATATCAAGAATAGGAAGAGATAGTAGAGAAAGATATAGATGAAGTGTGACAGAAAAATCTGTACGAAATTAACATGTATAAAAGATAAATTCATTAGGTTTAATTATTTATTTGTTTATCATTTGAACGAGATGATAAGAAAACACGATAAGGAGAATGCAATAGTTGTATAGGAAGTAAATCGTCATCTTTATTTTTATAGTAGAAAACCTAAAACTGAATATTAATGCATCATATCTAATTAATACCAAAATCAACAACAACAAAAATAATTCATCGTCGTTAAGTAGGACAATCAAACATTAATAAAATACTCTACCCTTAAAGTTGTTTAGCTTTATAGTACTAACAGGAATATCTGGACGTTTAGTGTGGTTTATCGACCTATGTACTTTTCTTATACTATTAGCAGGAGTAGATTTGAAATGCAATCAATCAGCCTGATTAGGTCTGATCAATATAATTAGACTATGAATCGATTTATTTTGTCGTGCGTTGTCTAGTCTATGCACACCTTTGTACAAATAAATGAAAAGTCCTATTAACTTATAGTGTTATATTTAGCATAAAATGTTTAACAGATTTGATAACATCATGATGAACAAGACAAATATTTTCTTGTCTTAATAATTACTTTAGATTGATTCACACATTGCCACAATTTAAACCGTGAAAACTATAACAGGTGTATACTTGTGCATGATGTTTAACAACCACATTATAAAGTAGACTGAAATTTGTTAGTTTAAATATTTGATGAATTCGATTAAGAATATGAAATCAATTAACAAACAATTGGATAATGAAATTAGTACTTTTAAAATATTTTTGCTTAAAATTAATTTACATTGTTTTAAAATAATAGTAGTACATATGTTAGACAATTGAATTATGATGCTTTCATTCACAACGATGATTCGATGAAATTTAACTAAGCAAGGTCAAATAAAAAAAATAATGAACGGAGGAATTGAAAATTACAAAGAGAATGAGGAAAGAACAACAAATTCTAGATTAGCATGATAATTAAGATGATGAGAACTGAAAATAGTATGAGGTTTTATGTGACTGGATGTATACACCAACTAACTTGGTAGCTAAATAATAACTGATAAATTTCGTAAAACTTATGGGTTCACTACAGTTTACCGACTGATGAGTGTCATGCTAGTGGTAAGCGATATAACAAGTTAATACTGTTTAAAACTATAATTTAGAGACTAGGTACAACAGACACATCAATATCAATTTGTGCAACTTCGAAATAGTGCTAATGCGGAAAATGAAAAGACATGGCACTTAAGCAAAATGAATGAAGTTGACGCTATAAATTAATGTGAATAATCATAAGATTTCCTAAAGTACCAAATGGAGTTAAGTTTCAGTTAATTGAAAATGTGAAACTATACCAATTTATGCTTTGGAAAACCACTAAGTTTTAAGAGAAGTGAACAAACATTATTTAAGATCTGTTAAGTCGATCTAAATCCAACAAATATTCATTTCAGTATACTTGATGTATACAAATATTGAAGCACACTAAATGCTTGTTAAAAATATCATTAGTTTATATGAAGGATGTGAAGATTGTTCATAAATGCTAACAGTCCTTACCTCATATATCGATTCGACTTGTCAAATCTAACGTCAATTACGAACTACAAAGGCTGATATGAAATTTGAGTGTTTTATTATTGTTTTCAGACTAAGGATTATACATTTATATTTTGTTTCTGTAAGGGATAAGCTTATTCGTAAAGTCGTCTCTATGTACATCTACCAGTTCAGCTGCTCTGGTAGAACAAGTTATACAGAACATGGCCCAGTGTGATGACAGAAATGCCGATAGAAGTCCCATTTGTGGATATTAAATTAATTCCAATCACTCCACCGATCCGCAGGTTGATTTTATGTAATTTCTCTGAATCTGCCAACCTTTCATCGTATACAGCTCCTATGAGATGAAACCAGAGCTGCATGTACAAAAGAAGTGACTTTAAACTACTAGTATTATTTTTTATTGATATTTTAAAATATATACCCCGTAACTTTAATTATTTCTCATATTCCTATGATTTTATTCATAACTGCTCTTAATAACATCTCATTTCATATAGACTCCTCTATTATCGATTGTTGTTGAAAAAAACATTATTCTATTTACATCATAATCAGTAGCTAACTTGTTAATTTCATAAGCCCTTCTATTTGTACACGTACAAACTTTTATGGTTATTATTTACACTGCATAATCTAGTATTATTATCTAATTAGTACAACATGTTTATTCATGGTACATTTGTTCTCATACATGATCTTTTATTGTGACCATTTATCAGTCATTCAACAGCAACGTAGAACTTGCTACGTACGTACGTACATCAGTTCAAGTTGCCATACGGCATTAGCAGAGTTATATACCATTTATACTGCAGGTTACAAATTTTTTATTACATCATCATGTTTTCATGAATTTAATATTTAAAAAATTTCGTATATATATGAATGCACACTCTCTATGACATTTGAGCCATGGCAACTTGAACTGATGTAAATACGTAACAGGTTTTACGCTGAAACTGGCCGACCAACGATTGTATAGGTTGGTAATAAATTCGTAGGAAATAAACCCGTTTACTAAGCTTTGTGATTTTTAATTATAAAATTTTTATTGATTTCATTTGACCTTATTTAGATTTCTTCATAAAATACATATTCCTAGGTGTGACCGTGTATATTTTTTGGACCAAACAAAAATAACCAATCCAGGAACATGTTACTTATGATCAAAAGTAATGAAAAACATCCTTCTAAACACCAGACAGCAAGAGTGTGATGTACTGATTTTTTGTAACAAATTGAAACTTGAGATACACGAGAATAAATATGATTTTTGAAAATGTTATCGCTTTAAAAAAACTACTTATGTAGTCACTTATAATCAAAGTCAAATAATATAATGGAAAAGATAATAGTAAAATAAGCAGGCAACAGAATGGAATATATATATATATATATATATATATATATATATATATATATATATATATATAACAATAGTTGCATTAAGAGGTCAGCTTAGCTCATTCTTCTCCAAATGTGAACTGTGGTTCCTCATATAGGTGTTAGTGACTCCTTATAACATAAATCAATGTATAACATAAGCGGGTGCGGTGACTCAGTAAAACCCCGCTTTCTTTTCGAGTGAAGAAACCGAATGCATTGGATACATCAACAGCCTACGTTGAGAGATATTTGGGCCCAATATTTATTTACGTAATGATAGCAAAGAGTCATTACATCTTCGAAACATTCATTTTTTTAATGATATTTCCGTCGAAAATAAGGTGATTTAAACCGGGCTAACACCAAACAAAATCTTAAGACTACTGACGACGGTAGAAACTCTCGACCATAGCTGCCACCTTGACGTGGTGGTCGGGCTTGCCTATCGTCGTGACCCAACCGAGCTATATTGGCTGCAAAATATGTTCCTCAAGGTTCTACCATGCTAGGCAGGTCGATTGGAGAACGATGAGACTAAAAGCAGCTACTCAAGGTCTGAGGGCGAAGTCACACTGCTGACTGTAGAGGAGTGTGACAGCAGTAAGGTGTTTCCCTCGGACAAGCAGCATCTGCAGCGATGCTGCCTTCTCGCAAGGAAGGAAGGCTTAGAAAAGGTCGACCCTAAAAATGTCACACCTCACCCTACCTCAAGGATTTCCGTCTCCAGTGGTAAGGGTGCCCACTAAGGGCTTTGAAGAGCGGAGGTAACACTCAAAAAATTTCTCATAAAAAGGCCATGCGTGGCCGGCCACAAGCAGTTGTCTCTTGGGATCTGCGGTCAAGTTCCCAAGTCTCTAAGACCAACACTAATCTACCTTCCTTTTCAGGTTCCTCAAGAAACAACCTTCCAAGGTGTGGGCAGTCTGGAAGTGACATCCACCCTCATACCTACGCTAATCTACTTTATACTCAGATAACCTCCTATTTCTGGCAAACACTGCCTTTATGCATAAGGTGAAACACTTTTTGACCTGGAGACCCACAAAGCCGACCCAACTAGATCACATCAATATAAGCCCACGGTGGAGAGGCTCTGTTGAGGACTGCCGCCCATTCTGGAGCACTTGTGTAGACTCACCATGCTCTAGTGCGAGCACGTATATCTTTGCGCCTTACTGGACGCAAAAAAAAATATCTCAAGGAACCTTCTTAGGGCTCTATTTAGTGATAATAAAGCTAAGAATATATTTCAGGAACAACTAGAAAAACAGATAGACAGCCATGTAGTAGGTGATTACCACCCTGAGACGGCTTGGAATGAGATCAAAAAGGCTGTAGAAACAGCAGTGATATCGGCTGGTAAGGTATACTATAAGGTAAGGGAGAAGCCGTGGATCTCAGTAGCATCTACCGAATTGATGGATGCTCTAAAAGCTCATCCCTCCTGGCTCTGAACATGAGCGAAGTGCGAAGTCAGCTTAGGCTCAAGCTGATAAAAAGCCTACGCAATTATCGAGAACAGTGGTGGGTAGCGAAACCGAGATAGACGGAAAAGGTAGCAGCCATAGGCAAAAGTAGGCAACTATTGAGGCTCATCAAGGGAAACGGTATTAGGCATTCGACTGTTAGTAAGACAATCTCGGAAAAGGATGGGACTATTATTCATTCTCAATACAGGAGATTAGATCGATAGGCAGAACACTTTAGGGATCAGTTCAACTTGCCTTCAGCCACACTACGGTTACCTAGGATCTCCAGTCATCCTGAATGGCAAATCGACGTAAGTCCCCCGACTCCTTCTAAAGTTAAGAAAGCGATAGGAAATCACACGAACTCCAATCAGGTAATCCACATCTACCAGAATGGCTCAAATGAATAGTCTATGGCAACTACCTACTATATAGGTGCGAAACATGGCCGAGAAGAGTAGAAGATATTTGTAGTTTACTGGTTTTCGATTGTAAATGTCTTCGAAGCATTGCTCGTATACCCTGCGACAACCGAGTAAGCAATGCTGCAGTTAGGAATCGGGTACTAGGTAGGAATGGCAGGTCAATAGATGAATTATTGAAACTTCATCAGTTGAGGTGGTTAGGACATGTGTTACGAATGCCCAAACACCAACTGACTCGACGAGCTATGTTTTGTGGTGTAGGATTGGGTTGGAAGAAAGCTAGGGGCGGCCAGAAAAAACATGGCAGAAATCCATGGAGTCACTGACAAGTGGACTGAATCATGTTGGTAGATGTAGGCTACCTGGTTGGAGTCCGCGAGACGATAGTACCGATGTTTAAAGATCTTGAACGACATGGCTCAAAATCGTTTGCAATGGCGCAGGTGCATCCACTCTTTGTGTTCATTGAAATTCTAATCTTCAGAATTCCTCATCATTTCTATCTTCCTCTTCCTAAAGTTATCTCACTGAATTATGCTTCTGAAATAATATCTTCGAACCCTAATCTCTCTGATTACTTCTAATACTTTTACTACCTCTACTACTATTGGGTTTGAATTGACAATTATATCTCTGTGTTAACGTGGTATGGCAACTTGAGCTGCTGTACTTACGTGCAAAGTTCTACGTTGTTGTTGTTGATGATGATGATGACGGTATAGACGATATGAAGAATCGGGATTGGATTAGTAGGTACGATGGATTCGATTCATGAGACTGTCCGAGTGTACTGTTTGCATAAAGCACACATCCTCAATTAGCAAAGGTGTAGGGCTGCCACTTGGTTAGTGATAAAAACTACTTGTTAGTAAATTCTGTCATGAAATTTCGGTAATTTATCAGACAGAATATACAGACATTACGTACACTTCTAAAGCATCAATTTCAGTTTATTGGGATAGACTATAAAGTACGATGAGAAGGTAGTACTTTCAAAATTTAATAACACACTGGATACAAATCTAATGCTTTGAAGGATGACCTCTATATAAGAGGCTCAAAGTGAAAATATAATCACTATGCTGTACATGCAAATTTAATTAATCAATTATGAATGAAATGAAATGAAATTATGCAAATAATCCACTCAAGTCGATTCTTGAACTTTGTATAACTACTTAGCGGCATATAAATATGGTAAAATTAAGATAAATGCTGTTAACCTTTTTAAATAATTTTTAATTAATTTTATTTAACAAATAAAATACATTGTTGAAAGGATGTTGTGGTCAATGTCTATTTTCTAGCAAAATAATGCCGTTTCTTGCAATGAAATTTTTCATAAGGCTATCAGTTCCATAAAAGGTAACCACCAGAGACTGGGTTTCATATGCTGATTCATTGGTATAAACTATGTACTAGCAAAAACTTCCCTGAAAGCTCGAATATATTGGCATAAAACCGAGTACAGTAGATTGTCTTTGGTTACTGAATTTTATTGGTCAATTAAAATTTATCTAGGTAAGAAAGGGTTTTCAATATAGGAGAATATTACGTTTATGACCACTTTTTGTTGTCCCGAACTTCATGACAGTAGTATATTCACATTGCTTGCAAATGCTACAGATAAAAATTTAGTCTAAAAATCTATACTACTTATATGGCGTTATTCAGCCATACACTTCCACATGTTTACATACCGAATCTTTGGACATCATATTGAGATCCAATGGAGCAATGTTCATTCTGTATGTATAACTGTGAATAGACACGCAGTGGTGTTAGGATGAATTTTACTAGTTGATCTTTCATAAGTTATATCACCTGTTGATATAAATTCAGAATCAGTTGATTACACCGTATCTGGGATCCACTATCATTAAATAAACACTAACTGTATATAGAGATGAAAATAATCCCACTAATAATACTTATAAGTTGATAATTGATATTTAACAGATGTCTTTGTTATCACTATGCTAACATAATGAATAAAAGTAGGACTACAATTTATTATGTTTTTCATTGGAACTACGAAAGTTGCATCTCGAAACTTGTCACTAATGGGCACACGATTATACTAACCTATCCTATGGGTTCACCACCAAACGAACTTCCAATATAGTAAACATATCATTGATTTATCACGACCGGAAACGATTCTTACAATGAAATGGAAGGATAAAAACATACTTTAAATACTATCCACTATTTATATCTGAGCGTATAATACGTGAATACATATTCAAAAATATCTCTACAGGTAAAATAAACTTAAATCGAAGAAAATTAGAATTTTTTTCAAACAATCTAACCTCAGGCATATATTTTGGACGTGCTGGATCACATTTCCTTTTATCCAAAGATTCAGCAATCACTTCAATACGTCCTCTGTCTGTACTACACACAAGTGCATTGAGAGAATCACTGAAATCCACACTCTATTAGCCAATATAAAAAAAAAAGAGTAAATGGGAAAGACGGAACAGATATAGAGAGAATAACAACAATCCTTTTGAAAAACTTACAAAAACAGATAATGAACAATAATTACAGCATAATCTAATTCTAAATGATCATATAAATAATAAAAATGCTGAACGATAAAAGTTGTTTTGGATTAAGAACAACTGAAAAGAATTTCATCATACAGCAGGTCAAATGTTTAACTCATTATATTATGTCAAAGTTAGAAAAAGAGAATTCCAAGAGTAAGTATGTCACTTCGGTAATACTTTCATTTGACGTAGGCCACCTACTAATGAGCACAATATGATTAAAAAAAAGGAACGAGTTCTTGAATTTGTGACCATGCATATACTCTGAATTTCGACCACGTGGATGATATTTACGATCCTCTAACATTTAATAAGCATAAACATATAAGATACAACTGTCCTCATTTCTCAATAGCTTTTTATAAGTTGTGGTGCGAACCAAACAGGGGGCTATGTAGAATGAAAAACGCTATTAGTAGTAAGTCGAAAATTGATGTTAATAAGAATTCAGTAAAAAAATATCACAATCGATATCGTTGACTGATTTTAATTTAATTTACAAATGAATCTACGTATTCTGCAAAACATTATTCTCCATAACCATACCTTTTGAAACAAATATCTCAATCCTAATAGTAGTAGTATTTTGATAGATGTTATAGTTAATGCTCAATCTCCTGTCAATTTTTAAACAAACCACCTGATATACTTCTTCAAAAGTGTCAATAAATTAATCAATAGTAACAAGTAGAAAATAAAAGCTTGTTTATCATTGCAACAAATCAGGATATTTTAAATCAAGTCACCTAGGGATATGATGAATTTGAGACCTATTGAAAAATCACCGATCACGCTATGTAGTTATGAATTTTTCTGCAGGCAGAAAAGGATTGAAAAATGTTATTCAAACACTTAAGCATTCAGAATTCGATTATCTGTGGTTAGATAACAATGTATTAAAACTGTCATTTATTTTTATGTTCGTAATTCCAACTTTCTCACATGAAGTAAGGCTTCTTTGTACGAGAATAAAACATTTATACTAATAGCATTTATCAATCAGTACTGTATTATTATTCGCGGAACAACACATGACTCAAATGAAGTCGAAAAACACAACTTATTGAATGAATTTCCAGCGGTTAAATGTTAAATTTTGCAATGCACAAAATTCTGGTTCTCGATATACTATTGGGGACTGAAGATGAGAAAATAAGGTTTCCTAGAATGAACGTCATTCTGTCTATGCTACAGTTTTACGTTGAGAAAGATGAGTTCCAATCAGAAAGTTTACATTTCACTGAGTTCTCCAGCATTCTACTTTTGATAAACAATACGTTTAAACAGGAGGATGGAACTTTCCTAAATTTGTGTCGCCTACAAAATTCATGTGACCAACTGTTAATGAAAATACTTATCTTCTGTGAATGAATAACATCGAAATATTCTTTTGAACGCCTTAAGGTTACTTTCCGCATTTATGATTACCACAAATTAAGAATTATTTTCAAACTCCTAACATTACAAATCTTTCCCGCTCATCAACCCGATAGTTCACTTTGTACTACTATATGTTAATGTTTTGTTCAGTTTACTCATTTTATGTTCTAGTCAGTAAATTTAGGTTTGAGTACTTTAACACTCAAGCCGACACTATCATATTTGATCTGGGGTCAACATTAACAGCAAAGAGATATTCCGAGGGTGTTATAATAATGAGACATTTATTCCTGTAAGCAATCCAAGACTACTGTTTCGAAAAAGCCTTGAGTGCTTTATTCAATCATTAAATTAATTACAGTGATGTACTGCTTACCATCAGTTTTACTGTAAATTGCACTTATGAGTGGTGACAGTTGTGTGGTTTTCTCTAAGCCATAGTAGATAACTGTGAGTGGATCAAGCAACATTTTAATTTGCTTATTTCTTTATACGTTCGACTAAATTTGTAATTTTTAGGAGCTTTACAATAAACCAGTTCAGAGATAACTTTTACTAGTTTTAATCTTCATTTCCTAGTGATTCAATAGTAGATAATAAAATCTTAACAAACAAATGTTAGGAATTTTTTTATCTCTAAAACTCCTTAAAATAAAATTTTGAAGTTGAAATTGTCGTTCGGTAGTATCATAAAACGTTAAAATGTAAGCTGAGATTACTGCATGAGGGTTATCGACACTAATGCGTTATTCATACAGGTATGCAAAGTATGTTTGAACTTACAAGTGAACATTTAGTGCTTGGATAACTGGAAAATCATAAGTAATGAATTATATATATGATGGAATAAATAAATGAAATCAGTCAGCTAAATAAAATTATTTCCATTGTATGTTGTCAAACATTTCCAAAAAGCTTTTCTTACTGTAAGTGACTGGACTCCAAGTGGTATTAAATAGCTACAACCATCAGTTGGTTCAGCTGGTAAAAACTGACTAATACAATTATCCATTATATCAAATAGTGCAGGCCATCTAGGATACTGAGCATTTTTAGACGCTGTTGAAGTAAACCATGTTTCACGCGAATTAACTAAAAATTCCCCATTACTAATCCAAATTCCTTCACGTCCCATAAAACCATGCGCTGGATTCCAACTGATTTCACTTGAATCTGAGGTGAAGCACACAGAGTCATTCAAATCCCATATACCGCCCATACGTTCTAAGGCTAAATAAATAAATAGTACGATGCAAGAGTTGGATAAATTGTTTAAAGCCAAATATATTTCTAATCACTTGTATTTAACACGGAAAGAATGAGAACAAAAAAGTAGAAATTTTTTTGCATCAAATAAGATTGCGCTTGATCCAAGAGATCAACGATATTGGGCAGTTGGGAGTATTTAGAAAATTGTTAGTAATGCTTCATGTGACCTATGTAAAACCTTTAAAAATTTTTTTAAATTGTTTGATACCATTTAATGTTTTAATTTAAGAGTAAATCAAAATGAATTGATTGATAATGTGTACATAAACGCCACCTATACTATGATTCACGGAATTCAGAAAAAAACCACCATCCCTCCAACTGTAATGAGATTGTTTTGTTGAAACCACTTGAAATGTGTAATAGTGAAAGATCAGCTGGTACCCACAGCACCTTTAAGGAAGGTTGTATGTTCCTGAATGTGAAATTTAATTATTCAGTTAGAAATTTACAAAATTATCTGTCAAAGCATCTCATTGACTAAATATTTATAGCCTTACAAATTGATATACAACAAGAACATGAAAAATGGCAATTTTATATATTTTCTGAATCTCTTCAGTTACCAAAATCTATTACTAATTGAGATGAAATGTATTTATAAACTATGCTATTAATCATGCTTTTAAGTTTAGAGATACGCCGATTAAAATATTTATCGACTACTCCGAACACTGCTGTCTAGCAGACGACAGGTTTTAATAAATAACAGTGATCAGAGATTGACGTGAGAGTAAAGATGATGAAGTCTTATCTAAAGAAATACTGAACCGCGAAGAAAATATACAACGTGAGCGGTAAAAGTTGATTTTTAGGAAAACTCCCAAGAGTAGTGAAGCATCTTAATGATGCATATGCATAGTCACACACTGAAATTCTTTCTTCTTACTTGTATTAATCACTTTACAATTCTCGATGTTTTTGTATATTTCAAAAGATTTAATAATCAGAAATTATTTGTTCTTAACTTGTGTTACGATCTCATAGCAAATCAATCTTTGTTGAAATTATTTTTGAAACATTTTTCACCAACACAATGACAATAACCGAAAAGAAAGTTAAGAGAAGAGAAAAAACCTTAAGTCTAAAAAAGGAATGAAAGAAAAAAAGTAAATACATAAATAATAATACGATGTCTAACACTTAGTTGTCATAGTCGGTCAGTCAGTTACAACGTAGAACTTCGTACATGAATACATAAGTTCACGTTGCCCTATCGTATTAGCACAGACACGCAAACTGTCAATTCAAATCCCATAGTGGTAGAGATAGTAGAAGTATTACTGGTAATGGAGAAGATTAGGGTTCGAAGATATTATTTCAGAAGCATAATTCAGTGAGATAACTTTAGGAAGAGGAAGATAGAAATGATGAGGAATTCTGAAGATTAGAATTTCAATGAACACAAAGAGTGGATGCACCTGCGCCATTGCAAACGATTTTGAGCCATGTCGTTCAAGATCTTTAAACATCGGTTACTATCGTCTCGCGCACTCCAACCAGGTAGCCTACATCTATCAACATGACTCAGTTCACTTGTCAGTGACTCCATGGATTTCTGCCATGTTTTGGTCTGGCCGCCCCTAGCTTTCTTCCAACCCAATCCTACACCACAAAACATAGCTCGTCGAGTCAGTTGGTGTTTGGGCATTCGTAACACATGTCCTAACCACCTCAACTGATGAAGTTTCAATAATTCATCTATTGACCTGCCATCCCTACCTAGTACTCGATTTCTAACTGCAGCATTGCTTACTCGGTTGTCGTAGGATGTAAGAGCAATGCTTCGAAGACATTTACGATCGAAAACCAGTAAACTACGAATATCTTCTACTCTTATCGGCCATGTTTCGCACCTATATAGTAGGTAGTTGCCATAGACTATTCATTTGAGCCATTCTGGTAGATGTGGATTACCTAATTGGAGTTCGTGTTGGAGATTTTTGATGATATGACCCAGAATTGTTGACAATGAATCAGGTTCATTTGCTCTCTATATTGAATTCCAGGACTGAATGTCTATGACAATCTTATTTTGTTTAAATTTTGAATCTGTTTGCTACCTAAAATTAAGCTTATCTGATTTTTCATGAGCTCGTTTTCTCAAGCAAACTGTCGAACCAATGAGTTTGCATTTATCTTTATGGTTAAAGTAAGAAAAATTCACTAAGCTCAATGTAAACTTAATGAGCAGTAATACATAAGTAACAAACATAATTTTGTAAATAAGTGAGCACAAGGATTTTTTGATGGGATTTTTGTATTCAAACGCGGTAATGAAGTATTTACAAGTTATTTATTCCATTACATGTAATTTTTTCTATATCTATGTGAATGAAATAAATGTTAGGTTTTTTCAACAGCTGTTCAGTAAGGAAATAGAATATACGGAAAGCGATATAAAAACAAGCATTACGAGAAATCACATGATCCAATGATGTCAACATAAAGCAGTTACTCGGACGCACTAAACTATAGTGAAATGAGTTAGGTAGATCAAGCCATAATTGCATTTAAATAGACCACTCTATAATATATTTCCAGGTAGTGAAGTCTGCATCCAACTACTTCAGTAAAATCTTTAGTGGAATACTGTTGATAATAGTAACCATAACCTTTCTGTTTGATTAACTCTTCTTTAGTTAGAAATGTAACACTAGCAAACATCTCTCGAAACATACTGTCAATCTCGCTGTTGGATAAAGAAATGACTGAGGTTTGTGATTTGTGACATGCTGTTTCTTTGAAGCAGACTAGTTTGTATTCATCAGGAAACAGGTTCTTAATTGGATAATCAGAAATACGATCCTGATTGGTCGATAAAGTCAGGGAGGCAAAGGTACATGGAAATTAAATTTCACATCTCTAAAATCCAATTTCCGTTGACAATGCATTACTCGAATTTCAGTATTCTTTCATACAAGGTATTTCTACTGTTTTGTAATTCTCGTTATGATTGCTACTAAACTTTTTCATCTCTTTTCATGTTAATTTTATTATTTTCATCTGGTTATCTTGATGTGGTCAGGCAACTTAAACCAACAAACATCTGTGCCAGGTTCTGCGCTGATGCTGATTGAGTGAAACGTTCAATATTTAGAAGAAAGTATTTATGATTGATTTGAAAGTATCTATGGTCTTCAACTAACAATTTCTGCCATATCTAAAACTCCATTCATTTGTTAAAAATTAGCTAGACATGAGATTAAAAGTCAAATTATTACCAATGCCTAGAATAATAATACATGTATTTACCTTGTACATACAGCATTTTTCCATTAAGAGGATGAAGAGACAATGCTGTGATTGGACTGCTTGTTAAACGTGACATTTTTACTGGAGCTAAATGATTATATTGAGGCGAATAAACCAGTTCATTGAGGCTACTCAAATTATAATAGCCTACATGACCTAAATACGAAAAAAAGCAGTAATTCAAAAAGTCAGTGCAGATATGATAACCAGCACAAGTAATCAGTCAATCAACTACAGTGAAAAACCTAAAGACCAGTGCTTATTGGCTTATGCGGCTTATGCTTAACCTCCAAATTATCAATTTTAAAAACTTGTAGATCATAACTTAATGGGATATTGGTGTATTGGAGAAAATCATAAATTATAGTGAAAACAGTTCCTTGGTGCTCCTAAAATTTCATGGGTTTCTGATAAAACAGTTTATATGTAACATCTCTAGGACATCGACTGACATAACTTTCCACATAGGAACAGTTAAAGTGATCAATACAAAAGATGGTTAGCCGAGGCAAATCATTTTTTAAATCTCAGTGTAAAGCATGATAAGCCATAGGCCCAATAAGTCCGTAGTTAAGTAGTTTTCAACCAAACATCTGGTTCACAATTACGTTATTATATTTCACCGTATTACCTATATTTATTCTTATTATTAACTCCACAGCTTCGACTGACTTCTAAACCTATTCAAATTAACAGTATATGGTAGTCATTTCAGGGTTAATAATTTTACTCTACAATCTTAAACATATACGTTGTAACTCTGAATCGATATGTGTGCTTTAAACGTGTGTATTTCTTTAGAATATTAAATTGGACGTATAACTGCAGAATCTCATGATAATTTATCGAAAAGAATATTCTTCATTCATACACTCGTAACTTGAAATAATTAGTTTTGAACAGTTAAATACTAAGTAGTTTACTTTGAATCATAAACGTCAGTTAAGATCAGCAGTTACATGTGAACTTTTTATGAATTAAAAAATTTCTGTGTTTATTGTAAAAAAACTTTACGCAGTTTGATAGCAAATTTTTCAAAAATCTAAGTATCAAAATGAAATTTTATAGGTAAGGGAGATATAACTGACAAATCATCTATATTTGTATGTATATCCCTGTTTCTTGATAATATATTAAACTGAAGTATTAGATTTTAGGTGACATTTATATCGGTTAACAACTTGTTTAGGCTTCATCAGGTGAAATATATATGATATATATTTAGTCATTATCTACTTCAAATGATGTGGTTGATTGGAGTAGTAATAACACATTGAACTACGCCCACACTATGAACTAAGGTCGTGGACATGAGCTTATATGCAATTTATGGTAAGCGCTACAAAAGACTGCCTCTTGTTTACAAACCTTTCTTTTCTTTTCTCAAATTTATTTTTAAAAATTGTCCCATTTAAAATTTAATTACTTGGAACTGGTGTCTAAATGACTGCAGATTTTATGCCGTCAACTCAAAGATTTCACTACTAGAACGGAGCCAGTGACATCAAACTAGTAAGCATCCTATGTCTGACAAATGAAACGCTTATGTTATCAAGTTACTAGACAATTACGTTTATTAAGATAAAATACGATACAGTAAAAAAAATAAATTTCCTACCTGTTGTATAACCCACAAAAAGGCGATCTGGGAATTCACGGCGAATATGTAAACAAATTGGCCAACCAAGCCAATGAGGATTTTCTGTGAAATTAGAGGAATCAGATTTTTAGGTACACACATATTAAACTCATATCAATATAGTAAGCGGAAACTAAATGAATCAGAAAACAAATTTTGTCGAACTAAATACAATCAACACTCATTATAATACTGCCAATGGATGCTTGAAAAGATCCCAACAACGTCAAACTGTTGAAACACTATAGTATTTAACATCTGGAATTTTTTACCTTTCATAAATAGACCTCGAAACAGAAGTGTCTTGGGTTGAACAATCTAGTTGAATATAAACAGTAACCAAGGTTATGTGAATTTGATACAAAACGACCAAATAAATTTTGTTTATTTGGAATAATGTATAATATATAATAAAACTAATAAACGTCAACAAATGTAAATGTTAAAATCCTTGTCATAACAGAACCCTTGATGATATGTGGAAATAGCTCAAAGACTTGAATTTCAATTATCAGAAATCAACATTTATCAATGATGAGCTAATCAGAACTGTTTCTACTTCGGAAAACTGTCTACATTACGCCTAATTAAAATAGCAATCGATACCTTTTATAGATGGGGATAGTGTGAAATAACAATTTTTCGAAAGCGTATAAGCGAATTGTGAAGCAGATGAATTTTCAACTCCGAAATTCATCGGACAAGTTGGTATAGCAAATATACGAATAAAGCCATCTTGACAAGCAACAATTAAATGACCAAGAACTCGATCTACTTCGGGAACAGTTGTCATGCATGATCCAAACAAACAAGCTTTATTCAGTAATTCTTTAATGCCTGAAAAGGGTGAAACTGGTACCCAGCACATATCGGTAATTCGACCCCAATCATGTGAAATAATAAAGTGGATTTCAGGATTTAAATTACTTGACCTTATACCAAATAAAAAAAGAGACAAAAACGAAATGACAATGAAGTCAACAAACAAAATTAGTTATATCGAAAGTGAATATACTCATGCTACTGAGGAGTACCTCATTTTACTCCGCCCAATAAAATTGGGATGACATTTTAACAGTAACTGGTATATAACGATATCTTGTAGAGTAACTGACTTTTGTATGCCCATTATCATAAAGCTACTATCATTTCATCATCTTAGATGGCATAAACTAATATCGTAACGAATACTTGCATTTTTTTAGTATTAAACCACACCGAATAGTAGTACCCAACAGTAATCACTCAATGACAAACTGATTTGTCATGTGTTTTGAGTAGTAGTTACAAATGATCGGCATTACAATCACAACTGTAAAATCTCTAGTGTCAACAAGAATATGTTATTTTATCTGAATTTAATACATATGCGATTACCAAATAATCTATCAATATCGAAATCCTGCAAAAAAGAACGACCTAATGTAGTAAAAGACGAAAGACCATATCTTGGAGTTTCTAGAATAGTACAGGTTTAACATTCAGAATCCCAACTTACAAAGGTAAAGTATGTACAAAATCAGTTTTAAAGTGGTAAAAAACATATATTTGTAGATTAGTAACCACCTTTAAGCTTAGTCATTACATTTTGATTACCGTTTACAGTGAGATAAGATAGCATTTATTCAGCTGAGCATATGAAAATAGGTTGAAATCTAGTTGTAGTTGCGTATTCCAATGAACTTTTCTACCTGAATGAAATATTCCCGGTTGTATTCTTAATAGAACTTCAGCTATATATTACTTTCAATAACTTAATGTTTTATTTATTTTTTGTACTTCCCCTCCCTACTCTATCTAACAAGTTCATTCCATTATTTGTGGCCCATAGTTATTTTGGTGCCTGTTTGTACCAGAATTCATCTATATAAGGTAAATGAAATAACAAGTAGTAAAGATTAGAAAACGAGAGGTCCGACTTGCATTTACGTGCAGTGCTCCCAAGGTAGCGGATAGCAAGCTGAAGCAAACACTAGGAGGAGATCGGGTTAATCTCCCACTCTATCTAAGTCCTGGACTGCCGAAAAGAGGAGAGCTGTAGAGTTAAATGTGACAGTGAGTTAAGAGAAATTTCCTTTCGGAACTATCTGGATCCTATCCAGGTAGAACCATTAGGTCTGAGTGGGGCGGCCAGAGTGATGATCATGAATTGTACCACAACCAGTGCGCAGTAGTCGATACGGCACCTATTGTGGTATTGGCATGAAGGATTATATCGGCAACTGACGACTTATTTGCTATGCTGGTTCGACCACTCGAGAGTCATTCAGTACAACCGATATAACTGAGCTACGGCCTGGAGTAAACGCATCTACACCTAGGTGCGTATAGGAGCACATGGACTCCGGTCAAAGCACTTGTTACATGCACTTAACGTATACTTGAGTGCAGAAACTTCTATGCTTGTATGTATTTGAAAAACGCGTAGATCCAATCCAAACACTTTATATTTGTATATAAGGTATACTAACAGCCGCGCCCATCTATGCCTTTGCGCATGTCACTGGAGTAGGTTGGTACTAATTCCATCTGCTCCACTAGCGGTAGATCGTAGTAAATTCATCCGCTGTACATACAATAAGTAGACTGTAGTGAAAACGTTTACCTATATGTACGAAGGGTTTGCAAGATGCCAGTCTAGCATAATTGGATCGATGTCCCTATCTATATTTTGCTCCTTTTGCAAATCTTACATTTTTATTCACGAAAACCCTTCTTTTTCATCTCTAAAAGTCAATAAGCTTCCCTCTTTGTGAGGCAGGGTTAACTAACAAAGAGTAGAGTAAAAAAAATTATGATCTTCATAAATTCTATGGTTATTAGTGATTGTCTTTCGTTCTAATGAATACTTCCATGGAAACTTGACTGAAGTACCTGTACAAATCCTTCATACATAAACTGTTCTGATAAGACGTTCAAAATAAATATGCTCATATTATTAGTATCATTACTTTAGTTTATGTATTCACGTTCTCAAAAAAGTGTGTAAACTAAGTTATCAGGCGATTTCCTATGAAAAAGTGAACGTACATTTTTGTCAGACCTAAAACCCCACAATTCCATATCTGTATTAATCCAGGACAACTCATCGTATTATCAGAATAGAGCGTTTGTGAATCTGGTGTTGGAATGGAAGAAGTGGCAAGAAACGAGCATTCATTTGCAATCGATTCACAATCCAGGAGTGAAGAAAGACGTGGAGGACACCATGAAAGACAAGTTACTGCTCCACCAGCATATACTAAATTCGAATCTAAAATCCATTTATTAAGCTGTTTGTCAACATACCCTTGTCATATTCAAACCTTTTTAATTTAACTGAGTTTAATTCATGAGATAAATATATAGGGCTGATTGGAGGCTCTGGAAGGTGACTCTTTTTGATACTATAATGTTAGTTCATTTGAAACGAGTAGCTTACTAAATAGGTGATCGTAGCCATGCACTCGAGGCTGGATATAGGGCTTTTTTCCTACACATGAATTGTGATTTATATCCACTGGTAGAAAGTATGATAATCGAATGATTATTACCTGGGACAAAACAGAAATGGATTTTGTGTATTACTGAATGTATGTTTCAGTGCGCCTACTGACTGCAGAAATTTTTCAGGAACTACAGATCTCGGATCACGATCTATATGACCACGACAAGATCTCATATATTTTACAAACGGAGATCTCAAACACCCTTTGTCACTCAAGACAGAACGTTGAGCTTTACTTGATAATTTTTTGCGTGGTTCATTAATAAGCGAGCCTGGTAATGAAGAATTTGAGGATGAAATTTTGGAGTCGTTAGATCCTTCAACTTCATTTGCACTATTCGAATCACTCTCCCCAGTTGTGATATTATTGTTCTCACTCTCAATAGCAAAATCTGACGTCTCACTTTCAATATTTTCCGATACAGAGCTATCATCAGAGTTTTGGCGAGCATTAAGTCCAAAGATTGCCTTGAGACAAGCTTTGGCAGATGCTCGACGAGGCTTTGTAGTGGCTGTCATGCTTGCACAACCGAATTGGAGTCTTCTAAATTTATATTCGCAGGTGAAACTAGAATTTGTGAAATGCTTGCATTTCAATAGAATTCCTTGGATTGTTCTCTAAAATTATACCAAAAATTAATGATTCATATGCATCTTAGGAAGGTAAATAATAAAATTGCTCAACGATGAGTTATCAATGGCAAATTTCAAAAATAATTTTCTGCAGAGTAAAATAGTTTCCATGTTTTGTAGACATAGTGAGCATTCCTCTAGTGACAAAGATGGACGAATATGGAGAACTATTACACAACCTTAGTTCCGAAGCCAAGTTTCAAAAGCACAAGTTCAACTAGGAGCACCTTTTGCCTTCAATATAAGCGAATCGATGGAATTTACTAGTACTATTACCAGCCATCTATTCAGATACAAGATTATTTCTATCCCAAAAACTCATCACATATATTTAATACAGAAACAGCCAACGTCAAACATGTAAAATAATGCTACGATAGAGCAGTGTACTACAATACTTATATATATTGCTACGGATTATATACTTCCCTTTGTTTTTGAGCTTTATATGATAGGGGTTTGCACTAGAACACATTGAATCTGGAGTAAAAGTAACTAGTACCTGATATTAGGCTATTTCAATGAGGTGTATAAACTGAATACATTTGTTCTCAATGGGATTTCATTGTCTGCTTCTCCTGATTATGGTGGAGCATGCATCAATACATGTATTACAATTCAGGTAGACCTACTAACTATCCGCCATGAACTAACTTTGTTTCAAGAAAAGAGTGAACAGTTGAAAAAGAAAAAATACTCCGATAGTTGTAACTTTTACGGATCTTATGCAACATTCAATAAGATTTTTTACCCGGATCTTGAATTGGAAATGAAAACTTTAGGAATCATTTGTCAAATCGAGAGCTAAATTAATGACTTTCGCAATGATAGGACCCGCAAGATAGTGAACGGCACTTCATATACACGGAAATTTGTGGGAAGCACAGTTCTCTAAGAAATATACATAGGTTCTCCTTTTCTTTCTTATGTAAAAAAAACTACCAGGAGAGGGGAAGTTAATCATCCCATATTTTGAAGATGATATTGAAGTACGAAGATCATTGATGATAGTGGTATGAGAGAATGGTTCAAAAGATTTGAACAAGTATAAAAATCGGTGTTGGAAAGAGGTGAACTTTGGCAAACGTTTAATAATATCAGTAGGTCACTGTAACAAATTCCCTGAAAGATTGAAAAACAATATTGAATCGTCTGGCGTCTTGCTTTTGGCTTTGAAGCACGAGTTTCCGAAATTCTCTACCATGAGACGTACAATAAACCCTTGTTAATTTTAAAACGATTGTGTTTTCACAGTACTGCAAATCGTGAAAATTACCATTGGTCTCTAAGTACAGACTTACACCCTAACAAAAAGAGAGGTATATTCGGGGAAGATTAAAGGGATGAATGCGCAAATAAAATTAAGATGCCAATTTTGAACCCATAACGTCGTATATATATATATATATATATATATATATATATATATATATATATATATATATAGGATCCTTTTACTTGAACGTCACTTGCTTCACAAGGCCGAAGAAACTACTAACCAAATTGTAACGGAATAAGGATTTCATAATTTGGAAAATTCGACGGAAAATCAATGGAATGTCATTTACTTGCACAGTATCGCTCAGCAAGACTAGGAATCAAACTGACCTAACTAGGTTTAAAAAGTTGCCAGTTTCACATTCAGATTTGTGTATTGAGGCCATGAGGCCTATAGCTTCCGTTGGTCCTTTTCTAGAAAGCTTCGCAGGACGTCTTTTCTTGAATGAGTCAATTGAAGGTGCTGACACTACTACTACCGTTAACATATTCCAACAATCGATGACTCGGTATTAAAATGTGAATGCCACAGATACCTTGTTCTTCTCTAGTTCTTCAAATGTATCCAGTGTCTTTTCCGTGAGCTGAAGTCTTCGCATAAAGCGGAGAGTTTTGTCAGCACTGACTACATCTCTTATGTAGTCTGAAGTGCTTTTCGGGCTCTCACGCTATGCGAAGACATTCAGAAGAGATTTTCCACTGAGGACGTAAACTGTTTGTGTCACATAGGGCAGAATTTTCATTATGTGAAATTTCGGCTATTTGAGTTATAACCCGTTGTCTACTGCATACTCTTCTGTTGTAGCAAGGTCATTTTTAAGCTCATATGAATCCTCTTCTATATTATGAACCTCCAGACCTTTGCATCATCTTGATCGATTATTGCCGCCGAGGTAATTTTGTCTGATATGGCACTATTTAATATCAGTAGGAGAATCGGACATAAAACAGCTCTCTTCTAAACTCCTGATTTGACATTTACCAGCTCATATTCACTCCATTTACCCTAGCACTGAACTTTCTTTTCTGTACATTGTTGCTGAGGCAAGGTAGAAGCGGATCAATAAAATCCGATTCGGAAAATATTCTGAGTTGTCCTGAACTCGTAAAAAAAATTAGAATATATATCAGGTCCAAAATCATTCGTCAGTTTTAGATGCATCTCAGCAATCAAGATTTTGCAATTTCAGCAATTTAGTCGGTCAATTTACATGGGTCAGTCTTAGATGACTGGAGTAAGTTTTAAATTTCATCCGAGCATGTACCATCTCTGTTCATCACACGGTCAACATATAAGCCCTCACATCAACCTCTTTGGATCGTTAGGGAGACTTTGATACTGAAACGGTGAAGGAAACGACTCTGGGACTTGTTCTTGTCAACGGGTCGCTATTACCGGCAAATTCGAAATACACGTCACGTAGTATTATAGAACCTGTCAACTCTCGAGCAATACGGGTTTCCGGATAAGCACCAATGTTTAACAGTAGCTTAAGATTACCAGCTATCTATCAACGCAGTACTGATAAATTGTACCAAAAGATTGATAAAATCTCTATTGGAGTTTTGGAGAAGTTGTCGGGCTTTGAAATAACGAATGCATTGGAAGAGTGGATTTAGATCTTCCGCTATGGCCGAAGACAGACGTTAATAGTAAATAGGACACGATCTGAATGGAAAATGGTCAAAAGACAGCAGTTCGGCAACTATTGTTTCTTCTCCACCCACATAAATTATCTAGAATTCTAATGCTGAGAACAATAAGTGATGAGGCTGATCACCTTAATCGCTCCGCTCAGCCCTTCCACAGTTGGGGCTTAGAAATTCATTACCTAAAGTGTGTTAATGTGCATCAGACAGGGCATTTTTCCAGTATGCCACCAAGGGTGAGTCGCTACCACACGTATATGGACAAGAAGATTTGTCTAAAAGATAGTCACGACCTGAGAACGATTGCATATTATAATGCAGCAGGTGCTGGAGGTTTTCGCCTGTTATAGTTCATTCGCCATGCATTCAAATGCTTTAACAAGGGAAGTTTCAGGTTTATATCCCTCATCTATGTGAGATATTAACTAGATTATTGCATTCGAGAAACCTGTCTATGCCTGGCTGATGATGCTATCATACTTGAGCTTGTCCATTGTTTCGGAACTAAGTTGATAAAGGGTCTTTTCAAACTCCTCTTGTTCGAGCGCTTGAATGGTCTGAAACTATTCCTCTTATTGTAGAATACGGGGTGATTTCATATTAACATTCTGTATCTTATATAGCGATTAGAGCGATTACATGTAATTTCTGTGAACATTCACAAGGATTAGGTAACCAAGTCACGACTGAACAGCTTAATGATTTGTAACTTAGAAAGCATGAATTGTGGAAGTGCACAAACAGCCGTCCTCTGTATGTTTTCGAAATTTTCCGTTCACCTTTTACAAAGAGGCTAACCAGAACGTTCAAATTCTTAAGTAGTAAATTCAAACCCACTACTTATATCAAAGATAAATAACTTGGTTATAGTAAGTCTTTATTCACGTCTTACTGAACAGCATAGTAGAGCAGAGAAATCAGCATAAAAAAAAGCAGGTTTTTCAATATTTAAATAACGCAATATATACTATATGTGTAGCATTTACTTAGTATATAATGCTTACATAATGTAGGAAGTATCTACCAAATTTAGACATGATTTTTTTTAACTGTGACTGATGTGTTCGGCCAGTTTGTAACTGCTTAACCTAGGCTGTCTCATCGGACTTTTTATAGGATGGACTCTCACTGGAATGCCAGTTCGATCCATTTAGGGGACAAAAATACCAGTTTATTGTCTTACCTCATTGATTAAACATTATCAGAATGTTAACTTTCGCAACGGGTCCTTCTATGGTATATCAGGTGTGACCCAGTCGGAGTACTGTTCTCCACCACGCTATCGAAGATTCGTGATGAATTGTGTAATCTCGTGCGGTGGCCTTGTGAATCTAAGTCCTCTTGGACGTGCACGCTGAGAACTTGTGTCTGCCCTTGCTTAAGGACTACTTCGTTCACAGTGATGTCTGCAATTAAGACTCGGAGGTGACGGAAGAACTGGGAGGGTAGCCTTTCACTTGGTGTTCGACTTTAGGAAGCCTCTTAGAAAAACAGTAATAAATGAATGTATTATTCTATCTGAAAGATTTGATTTCACGGCAAAAATAAATAATATAAGAAATTATGAGTACACCAAAAGGCTTTAAAGAAGAAGTCTTCAAATGTATCAATAGGAAGTGATGATACCAACCATTCTACCATGCGATTCTCGTAATTCGTGACATAATGCGAGGAATAAGACTCGAAACGTGCATAATTGTACCTTGCTTTTTGTACATTCCGTGAATGGCACTTCTGATGATCAGTCTTCGATGAAAGAAAAATATCGTTCAGTTTATTGCCAGCCAGCGCACTGTCACCTTGTAGCTGTAAGTAAATCAACAAACTAAAATAGTTCTGCAAGTCCAAAATATTGATGCTGACTAGGATAGGTGAAGGACTGAAACAAATAAGGTGAAACAAACCTTTGGCTGTATATTATTAGCTGGATGGAGTAGAAAAGTAACCAGATACCTTTGGAAATAGCAGGTTATCAGAGGTGTATGCCAACTTCTAGCTGGTCACATCTTAGGGTCACCAACATCCGACCACAATGTGGGTGAGCTGTAGAAGCAACTTAACTCCTTCAATGAATACTCTTATAAGTTTTAGAAATCGATTCTGGCTTCATTGGTCTTACTGGACATGCCGGAGCTGAAGGTACTTGATCAATCACCCGCACCAATGAGTATGCAGGCCTACATATCTCTCGCAACAACTACTCAGATCAGATCATATACTTCTCTACACATGGGCTATCTTCCAAACATATCTGCTTATCCATCCATTCATGACTTATGGTTTGGCTGACTTTAAGACCCTTGTTTAAGGAAGCTTACCAGATTACAGCCTTTTTAAATACTGAATATCCACCATATCATAAGCAACTTATATGATGAAGGTGAGTAGTGGAGATATAATGCAAAAATTTCTTTATAACTTTCTTCGTTCCGACAGACTGCCTAAAGGCTTAGACTCAGAAAAACCTTAAGGGAAATGGTTGCTCTAATTTTTAATTTTCAATTCGGTTACAAAACGTTTACTAATCGGAAAATTTTGCGAAGATATGGTGACAACTTTGATATTATGCAAGCGGTCTATGACACCAGCCTCTGCTTAGTCAGCTCTCTGACAGATGATTAACAGGATACCGAAACAGTTTGGCGTAGGGATCATAGTTTGTTGTTTAGCTCATGGTAACCAAGGGAATAATCATTTCTGTTTGTTTACCAATCGTATTATTAAAGGTGAATGGGTGACTGGTGATAACATGATTCCGATCACTTGAGAGAAATATCAAAGTTTGACTGGATTAGTGTAGTTTAAGAATGAAAATTGTTCGGACCGTCCGCTAGTTTTTATGTTCGAATAGTGAAAAAACTCCTTACCAATAAGTCACTGATTCATCATAATCATCCGTCGTTATCTATTAAACAGTATGGAAAAAAGCTCGATATTTTCAGCCCAGCTAACGTTGCTGACGTCAGTCTCTTTCGGGCCTTTGCTCAGTTACCTATAAGAGAGTATATGTGGTCAGATAAAGCATCACTAAGAAGGTTTTATCTTCTACACCTATGAGTCGTGCTCTCTTTCTCGGGCGCGGGTCTGAAGAAAGTATCTAATTATTCAATTTTAGGAGTGTGAATTAAACTTCAAGCGTTTGTACATTGAATTGAGCTGCTTGAACGACAACAATAACAGCGGACAAATTAGATAGTCTCGGTGTAATCAGATTTACGGAGAAACCTGGATCCGTCAACGAAACCTAAAAAAAGGTTTTCAGGAATGTTTGCCATCGATTACGAAGCAACGTTCCTGGATCATAAGAGGATCACTGTGTGTCTGTCATGCTTAGGTTCAAACAGTGACGAAGAAACCTTTGATAGCGTTTATTGTTCACTAGTGACTCACTACTCATTTACCTTTGTCCGAAGTGGTGGTGAGTTTACATGTCATCCAGTTTTATTGAGCGTTTCCGTGACTTATTTTCTGGCAAATGTTTCAGGGCACTCGAAAGTTATCTCCACATAAATTAGTTGACTATTTTTAAAGGCTAACAAAAAGAAGATTAATGCAACACTGGGCCTTATGTTCACCCATCTATGAGGACTAAGGAAGTCCAGTTATTTTGTTTAACGTATTGAGAGCGGGTAGATTTTCGTTCCAGTAACTTCACAAGGACTCAGTATACTGTAGCGTATTCGGTGCAAACTGTGCGATGTATAATGTTCGACAATCATAACACGTGATAGAAGCTGCTGCGAAATTCACGCGTTAAGACTATGTTGTGTATTTGGTAGGATTTCAGCTTAGGTGAAGGTAGTACAGCACTGGTTTGCATTATCGACTACTTATCCTACTACACAAGTCATCTTTGACTTAGGAACTGGATACTGTAAAAAGACTACTTTTCATGAAGGACTCACTAATTTGTACTTATATCTGACCTATTTTTTCATTTCGAATGCCTATAGTTGAAGTTAGCTATGCATTTGTTTTTTGTTTTATCTGAATTATTTGCACTAAAAATCTGTCTCTAAATGTTTCGTAAGCTATTCTGTTTTACTATGGTGGTAAAATATTCACTTCCCCACCTGCTTAGCTAGGATTTTTGGATTAAGACTGTCATCCTAAACACTCAACTACTCGTTGCCCCGTCTACATAATTAATCTCAAACAAAATATTGCATTCTTGACTCTATAGGTGGAATAAAGATTAAGTTTCGTTTCTATAATAGGTTACTTTTTGTTCAACAACAGATTTTATCAAAGGTATGTTAGGTTAGGTGTATGAGAAGTATGTGGCAGTGTTGAGGTTAAAATATACGTCATTTGGGTGCGACGTTGAACTTGGGGTATATGTACATCATTCCAGGTGATTATATTATATTAGCACCGCGAGGTAAAATTATCAAGGCGAGTCTCAGAGTAATAAAAGTATTAACAATAACAGTTTTGGTACAAAAGTTTAGGGACAGAAATGGAAAAAAGTAATGAGATTTTGGTTAAATATACACGTATTACTGTGATATACCATTTATTTTTGGTTTTTGACCATCTACAACACTATGTCTAAATATTGTTTTAAAACACTGTCTGATAGGAGTTGGTCTCTGTTAGGTATAAATAAAGGCTATTAAAATATCTTGGTTCTCGTATTGATAGTAAGTGATACTTCCAGTTTCTCTGTCTTGACTACCCTGAACACTGGAGGTGACTGGCGTTTATCTTTAGTTTGTAATTTCTGCACAATTTACATCGAGTTAAAATAATCTAGACGCTAGATGGAGAGAGCAGTATGCATCAAAAGCAAACTCTTTCTTTTAATTTACTTGAATTCTACAACACTACTTAATGTCCTTATAGGTTCAAAGAATGAACGTGTATCTGATATGGACAAACGCAATTCTCTTTCGGACGCCTCTGAAGTGCACAGTGATATCGGGATATCAAGTTTTAATACTCGTCAGCCAATCTGGTTAAGGTTCTTAAAGGAATATAATCCAATAAATAATGCATGGAGCTGTTTTCAACCTTATCGGGCCACTGTTGGATTGCTTGCTTTTGCCTGGTGTTCAAGTTATTCTGATGTAGAATCCAATATCAACGATTACATCAAACAGAAAGTTGGTTCTTTAAATACACTCGTTTGTTATCTAAGTTCACCAACAATTATGGTTGTCTGGTATATTTATTCCCTCTTATTATTTTCATTCGTAACACAAAACCTGAAATCATAAGTTACGAGGAAGATCTAGCCTAAAGAAAATATAGTTTTCTAAGCCAATAATGGAGAGAGTCCACCCTCTCGAAATGCTTTCATATAGCCATGTGTATGCAACCACTGCCAGAGTAGCCGTACTCAGTGCCTTCTCGTAGCGCGGTGTTGCTTACGCAATCGAGGGGATGAAAAGTGAGTTTCTAGCTCTTTAATCGGATATGAAGGATCCACGTACGGGAGTTCGAAAACCGTGATTGCAAACCTATGATGTACATAGGCTCCAGGATCATAAGAGAATTGAATGGTGTGTGAACCTATTGTTGGCCGTCGACTGCCATGAAACTTCATCTCCTAATGTTTCTCCACTGCCTTGTGGATTAGACTTTTGAGGGAAAGGCTTGGGAAGTGTCCCCAAGAAAACCACGTGCTTTGGTTTAGGCGTCCGGGCAGTATCCCATCCCACTCACATTCAATAATTTATGTAGCGCATAAATATTTTGGTACCTTTTTGTACCAATGTTTATGTGCTTAAATAAATAAAATATAGTTCGTGTTCCAGAGAATTTAACTATACATTTTAAAAATATCCTCAGATTCTAGATACTGAGTTTTAGATTTGAGAAAAAAACTGAAAATAATAACACTAGTTTTAGTTGGAAATCAAATATCAGATACATGATTCAAAGGTAATAACTGAAGCCAAGAAGTGGGAAGTGTAAGATAATAGTGTTTAGATATATAAACAGATAAATACTGATATAACTAGTAGAAAATAACTGGTGCTTTGTGTAGCTAGGTTAGTTAATACTGTTGGTATTCTTTTCATCGTGCCTTTTCAACAATCAAAATTTATTTTAAAGAGGAGTATGATGTTATTCTATTGTTCACTGATACTCACTCTAAACATCTGGAACGTAAACAGGAACTTCAACAAGTCTTTAGTAAATGAATTAATCTAATATTATTTACTATTTCTCAGCATGATAACGTCCATTTTTGTGCTGTTTTCTATGTATTATACTTCAAAACATTCCAAGTATAATCTATTATAGTGTACTTAAATATCTAAAAATAATTATCTCTGTTTACTTCCATATTGTTTCCGTCAGACTTTTTCGCCTGCATACTAGTCTATATTAGCCGAATGAATTGTTGTTATTACTTGAAGCAGATGACAACTTTTTCTTTGCACACACGCATGACACACTATAATTCATATCGTTTTCCCTCATATTATTTTTGGTTAGTGTTTTACTCATCTAACGGCATAAGTTACTATGTTAATTAACCGCACAATTTTCTTACTTGTCTCCTTTCTCATTAGATTTTCGTTTCTTCCTAATTTCCTTCTTTTGGTAGGAACTTTTGTCAACTACGCTTATCAGTAGTCAACTATTTCTGTTATTAAAATCATTGAGCGATATAAACAACTCACTGTCAGTTGAAGAAGTAGATGCTTTTGTATCTGAAAAGCTGAAAAAGGTAACGCGATTTTTCCGGTATCTGTTTTTGTATGACTTCGAAATGTGACGCATTGGTTCTTCCCATCACTTTATATAGTTGAATTTTTTCCTCCTCATTACATCACATTTAATGATGTTATTTTATACAAAGTTCAGGAATTGTCCGTTTTATCGTTAGTGATCACTAGTTATCAAACAACTAAATAGAAGTGAATACTTGAAAGTTGTTCTTAGTCCATTGAAAATCTTTTCCAAATGAATGCTATGGGTTGAGTCCAGAATTTCCTGGCTTTGTTGGCGGGTACTGTGTCTTTCGTCGATACTTATCGACTCGAATTAGAAATTCGACTGGTTAAAATCTTAACATCTGTTATTTTTCGCTTTCCAGTAGCAAGATGTTTGATATCAATCAGCATTAGCGTTCATACCAACCTATCACTTCCGCATACTGTTTAAATTCCATTAGTTCATAATTGGAAAGCTTTTGGTCGCTCAAATATTTCTCATAATTTCTTTTAGTATCTAGATTATTTATAAAGAACCATCTGACCTTCTTTGCAACAGAGCATCGAAAAATAAAATTTTGCGTTAAACTCTGCTTCATATCTTTTCATTTATGAAAACTTGACGCCAAAACTACAGCCTGAAAGACCACAGTTCAAAATAAAACGTTTTGTATGAATATTACATTTAAAGGAGGTGCAAAATTTTATTTCCTTAATATCTTATTGAAAAGACAACTAGATAGCTTTTTACGAAGGTGCATGCTTAGAAAACCGACCTGGAATAGTCAGAATAAGGATTTTCATAACTAGGTCCCATCAACTAGAAGGAGAAACCTAGTTCACTTTTTATCTTTGAAAACCAGGTAAATATCCTTTAATGGCACAACAGACGACGAAATACTTAGATTATATTCAGTTTTAGAATAATTTTGTGAATTTGTCCGCTGCATGTAACTGCATCACGGATTACTTTGTTCTCAATAAGACTTGAACCCAGTAAATATATCTGTAATTGGTGGTCATTTACCGAGGAATTAAATGGTAATAAAAATCCTTCATTTAGTGAAAATTAGTTGTTGCTCCAACCATAAATATTTGTGATTGTTTTTTTTCTATATTGTATTGTATTGGTCACTTTTTGTTATTCAACTGTCTATATTGTTTGAGTTCATGATTGAGTTGTATTTATTCAGGGTTATTATTACCTAAAAAATCTTTTCATTGATTTTTATTATGTGAATAACAAATAGGTTTCGCTCAAAAGTCTGTAAACTAACATAAATTTTATTTTCATTACAGGATTCAGTACTACGAAGTGAAATTACATGTCATCCTTCCGAGCATTTATTCGCATCGGAAATGATTATTCTGAAAGATTTCGGTTACTCTGCTGGCACAGATGAGTGTTCCTCCGTAGTAGATAAACCACAAAGTTCAATCAGGCCACCATTTATTAATCATCGAATTAGTTCAGTTCTTCAAGGAGTAATTTCTGAAATTTATTGGAATTTGAAAAAAACGCTTGCTGCTAAGTGCCCAAATGATATTAAATTAAAGAAAAAGGAATCACAATTGTCTAAAGAACAAACTGACTCCTCGGATGATCTTCTAATGGCTCCTGAAGAAAATGAATCAAAGTGGAATATTCTTGATGAAGTTAAACGAAAAGCTCTAGGTCGTACTCATACATTGTCTGCTTTATCTGCTTTTACAGAACGAACAGGATCAACAAGTTCTGTCAGTGCTCAAGCAGATATAAGGTTAGTTAGCTCGATTTTAAAATATTTGATAAAGTTCTTGCATTTTATTCGAGGATACACGTTTTGTACGTATGAACAAAATTGTGATGCATATTATCCAAATTTTATCGGTAAAATTCGGTGTAATTATAGTTTGTTTAACTACTCTCTTTCATTTTAGGCCAGTCTCTTTGAATAGGAAACTGTTCCTTACTCACATTTCAACAAATCTGAAAGTTGGTAACTCATATAGTCTAAGTATTCACATAATTTACCTGGTTAGGATACCTTAACAATAAAATCTGAAGTCTCGTGGATATCTAACCATCACCGTCAACACTTCAAGCTATTGAAAGTAGATGTCTCCTATCTTACCGATGATTTCTGGTAGCAAGTGAATGAATAATGACTTTGATTTAACAAGGGGATTAATCTTGACCACTAGTACTGAATTCCAATGTTTGACTTACAGTTATAAAGATATTGAGTCACGTCAATTTAGAGAACCACCTTAAGGTAAAGCATTCGATGTATAGGCTTATGACTAGTTTATTGTATATGCAAACGATTTTAAGAAGTGTTTAACAGTGATTTTTAAAAATTCTCAATTCCAGTTTTGAGTGGTTCGGGTAAGCAAGTTGTTTGGATGGTTTTGTTTTGTAATAATAATGATAATAAATTGAAATCCTGTTTCCTGGTCGTTAAAATGATCAGTTTATTGGTGCTTTGCCTACAATTATTCTCTCTATATCTCTCTGTGTTTAATATATCCAATTTTTAATATTAATAAACTTTTCTGAAAGTCTAAATAACTATACTTAGTGGTGCTTTCGTTTGGTTTGACTTTCTTAACAAATTTTAAAATACTGTAGTAAGTAGATTATAAATTATTACTTTCCCCTCTCTTCGTTTAAAACGATCTCATAAAGGTTTACGTTTTTCTTACTTGATTTAGCAAAATAACCATAGATTTCTCGTGTATATCATCTGTACACAAATATTTCCGAAAAACCGGTTAATATTCTTCAGTATATGTAATCATTGTCCATTTTAAAATATAGCTAACCTATTCTTATTCAAGATAACATTTGCTCACGACACGGTTAAATGCTGATTGATCATGTGGAGCTGCAATGTTTGTATGAAATCAAAGCCTATGTAACTGATGAATAATGCATTCAGACATAAATTCCGCATATGTTTTGTATTGTCTTTTGATTTGTAAATAGATAGAAAGATCAGAATGTAAATAAGTATATATGTTTCAGTTTCATCAACACAGCGGTCATCAATTTACTCCATAGATGCAACATTTTCCTTACCTATAAAAATTAGCTTTATGTATCAAGCAATATTCGTGCCGTGTTTAAAATCGAATTCGGTAAATTCTGTCTCTGAGTTCATCTGCACTCAAAATCTGTTTACAAAAGTATCATAATTAAATTTGTTAGTCATAATATCTCCCTAGGCAGTCACAGTCCTGTTGAAATATATTTATTTAAGGGATCTGTATGTATATCTGCATTCTCATCACAACCCAAATTATGCCATCACCAAAAATGAAATATCTGTATGAACCTATCTCACATTAAATTAAGCTCAACACAACTACTGACTAGTCTCAAATGTAAGACACTATCGACAACTAGGCATAAATATATCTTAAAAGAAAGTGAGAAACTGCACGAGCAGATAAATCTGTTGCTTACAAAGAACATAAATGTTGTCCTAGGAATTAACTGTTTTCGTAATAATCATGCTATTTAATTTTAATTATTCTAACTAATGGTGCTAATTGCAGCAGTTAAAAGTTTTGCATGTTTTTTGTCACCGTTTTCATTGTTAAAAAATGTGGCAGCATGCAGTTGTAGACAACATTTTCATTGGAGGTCATTTCTTTCTGCATATTTTCAAGGTTTAATTAGATTGTTAAAGTAAGTTTGCATCAGTAAAAGCTCCGTGTAAATTACTGGTTGTCTACAAAAACGATGGTTCAGATTGCTTTTGTTCGTTAGTGTATGATTATAAAAGTTTGTAATGAAGCATTTTATGTCGTCCTACTTTTTTGCTTTTGCTCTGTCCTGTTAGTATCAAGTTTAGTTGCATGGCTTGAAGACGGTCTGCTAAATTTTCTAGAGTTGACATTAGTTTATTTTTCAGTGTGATTAAGATGATGAATAAATAATATTTTACAACTTGCCATACAAAAGTTAGATTCTTGATAATGTTATTAGAAATCTTTTATGTTAAATGTATCTTGTTATTTTTATTGTTTACGACTTAGTGGTTAGCGTACTCATCTTTAAACTATTGGGTCACAAGTTGAAAGCCCATCCTATCTACTTCAGTTCCATTAGTTGTGTAGTGCCACCAGACATCACAAATAATCTGATTTAAGGTGGAATTCGTGAATCTGTACCTGATTAATGAGTCCCAGGACGTTTAAGTCCAAGGTATCTATGATATAACAGAGGCGTATTGATGGTTTTTTTTAACTTAATGTCGAAATCAAACTGAATCGTCACCAAATCACGTAAGTAAATCCTCTTATTATATTTCTACACATTAAAATTTAACAGGTTTTAAGTCCACAAAATGAGCGTAGTATGAAACAGTGTGTTTCTTACACCACAATGTCCTTTGAAAACTTTTGAAAATTACTGGGAAAGTTTCGTAAGAGATCAGTTTATCTGGTGACTCACTACCCATCACTTGTTCACTACCTTTGAGAAACCTGAATGAATAGTTGACATTAAGTCTCCGGTTAAAGCGAGAGTAAGCGACTAGCTTTGGTCTGTTATATTCTTGAGACTTTTATATATAATGATACTAAATCATTCAACCTAGATTAATACGCATGTATCATGTTCTGGTAAAATGTTTTAGACATGGTATCAGAGCTTTGATGGTAACCCTCAGACACTCAAATTCAAGTTGGTAAAGTGATTTTTGTAAATAAAACCTCTTTGCTGAGAACGGCGTGATCCTGTCTCTTACGATTTTCGTGAATCTATTATGTACACTCAACCAACAGTTCAGTTATTGTTATTCTTCCAATTACTTAAAAGTGAATCACTCGAATATTTGATTTTAGAATATGTTTGTGTCATTACCTACTTTATAACTACAATAGTCCACCTAATGTTTAGAGTAGTATATGTTCATGAAGATCGAATCATTTTTCGTAGGACATCATGGATGCTTTCATCGTGTTCTGTTCCGAATTACGGAAGGTAATTTTATATCTCTAAAGTCCCCTGGTTTGAATCCTAAATTATCTCTCCTCTCTGTACTACCTTATTAGTATTCCCTCTTTAGCTCTCTTGTTTGATGTTTGTCATACTTTCCTGCGAACTTTATGCACATTTTCTAAGTACTCAGTGCTTATAATTATATATATCAAGTGTGCTTTGTATCCCACCCCTCTCCATTTTCTGTTCCCGCGTCTATGTCGCATAAAGCGGTTTATTCATTTTATTGTTTGATTCCTCATTAATAACCTTTCATTAGTTTGTATTACGATTCTTCTTTGTGTCCATTCTTAGTGTTAATATGATGATTAGTAAGATATATTCTTGAAGCATTATTTAATTGTCAAGAATACTAAAAAATATTGAAATTTTAAACAAATAAGTATCAAAGTTAGTATAACAGTTATTCATTGATGAGTGGTAATAACTGATCTCATCATGTTACTTATTGTTAATCGAACACTAGTGATCTTCAAATAAACTTGGATTTAGAATTATTACTAATTTCAAAATATTTGAAGATTCATCTCATGGATAGACATTGGTTAGACAGATGTGCTCTGGCGCTTCTTTATAAATCGTCTATGCATGGTAAAATTATAAACCGTTTTGTAATTATCCCGTGATTATTTTCTCATCCATCACATGCATCATTTGTTAGAATTAAGTGTACTGTTACCATTGTTGTTTTCTCGTGAAATTGTACTGAGTGGCTTCCGATACTTTTATTAATTGTTTTTTATGGTAATAACAGTTATAATACCAATTTATATCTTATCTACTTGTTGTTCAGACAGTTAGTTTATATCCATTGATGTGCATTGTATTTATTCAAGGTTAAATTAAGAGCTTACCTGTATAGATAAATAGGTTTATTTATCTGATTATTGCTTATTAAGTGTTTGTAATCAATAAATCAATATATTGAGCATGCTTCTAGTTCAGACATTTTCTCCGCACCTATTGCTGTGTATTTATTGAGTTCTGTCTTCGTATTTGCTGACTGAAAAGAAAAAGTAACTCAGCTAATGGTTATAAAATGATATATATATATATATATATATATATATATATATATATATATATATATATATTATGCATGCACGTAAACACGTCATATGATATGCATGAACTATTACGAGTTTACCTCAGTCAGTAAACGAGAGCGAGGATCAAGGATCCGGCGACACGACAGCCTATTCTAATCCGAGCGTCCCAAACCTTCATTGAGTAAAAAAAGAAGACTTGATTTGAAGTGGGACATGCATTCTACAAGCATCCAGAAGGTATGAGGTCTGAGTCCAGAATAGAATCAGGATCCCGGACTAGGGGTCCGGGTCCGGGTCACAAAACGTTACAGATAATGCTTATTTATACAGTTAGGTCCGATAGAAAACATGACATTGACAGTTAGGAAGACCAATAGGAAACAACATTGAAGTACGTTACATTGATGGGGAGGACGGTCATAATATTGACCAGTAGGGATTGACCAATATAATTAGACTTACAAAGATAATTCTCTTAGGCTATTAGATGAATATCCTAACAATGTACAATTCAATTAGTCAGATATAAACAAAATGAAACTTAGCACAGATCTACTTTAGACTGAATTGCCATATCACATTAACAAAATAAGATGTCAGTTAGCTAGTCAGTTACAACGTAGAACTTCGTACGTACGTACATCAGTTCAAGTTGCCATACCACATTAGCACAGAGACGTGATAGTCAATTCAAATCCCATAGTAGTAGAGGTAGCAGAAGTATTAGCAATAATCGAAGATATTATTCAAGAAGTAGAATCTAGTGAAATAAACTTAAAAACAACAAGATAAAGGTGTTGAGAAATTCAGAAGTTTCGCAGCCATAAAGTAGGATTGAGCGAAATTCTGCGCAGTACACTCGTCCTTTCGTCACCAGACAGATATCTCGCCTATGCTATAAGTAACCCGAGTTGGCAAAAGCCAGTCGAGCCTTCTGTGTCCGTGCTGAGATTTCGTCAGTCACCAGACTATCATCACTGATGAGACTCCCCAGATAAGTGAAGCGGTCAACACGCTCAACTGCTTCACTCCCTATCACTAGTTCAGGTGCCGATGCAACCCAATCCTTAAGCAACATTTTGCATTTCGACTGGGAGAATCGCATACCGAAGGTTGTTTGACACAATATCTGGACATTAAACGCTCCAACCTGTGGTATAGAATGGGGTTTCAGGAGACCAGGAACAATGTTTCGTGAACTCAAATCGTTTGCGTTAGCGGTGCAGGGTGATAAAGACGTGAGAAATGGAAATAAGAGAGATGTTAGGAAGTATAGGAAAGATTTGATTGTGACCAATTTGGTCTCGTGTGCTGTTACGGGTATGAGGGCGGATGTCACTTCACGGCTACCCATGTGGTGTGAGCTACTTATAAGTAGTATATAACGTGAGTGTCAACGTAATGTCTGGCAGCAGAATATGGGGGAAGATCAAGAAAGGAAGAGTTAGAGAACGATGGAATTTGTATGAAACGCATGAATAGTGACAATGGATTGATGTTTTGCAACAGGAACAGTCCAGTTCGATAGGATGAACTGATATTTTGCAAATGAACGATTTACGATATGGTTTTCCAATTTTATTGAGTAACTCTGTAATTTTCGTTAAATACAATTCGGTTGCCCCACCTGTGTTCTCGTTCACTATACCCACACCGTGGAAGTGTTTCTTGAGGAACCTGAAAAGGCAGCTACATCGCAGAGCCCAAGGGGCAACTGCTTCAGGCTAGTCACACACAGCATTTTTATGGTAAGTTCTTAGAGTGTTAGCTCCGCTCTTGTTCGAAAAGCCTTACCACCGGAGACGGCATTCCGTGAGGTAAAGTGAGGTGTAACATTTTCAGGGTCGACCTTTCCTAACCCCTCCTTCCTTGTGAGAAGGCAGCATCGCTGCAGATGTTGGTTGTCCGAGGGAAACACCTTACTGCTCTCACACCCCTCTGCAGTCATCAGTACGACTTCGCCCTCAGACCTTGAGTAGCTGCTTTTAGTCTCATCGTTCTCCAATCGACCTGCCTGGCATGGTAGAACCTTGAGGAACATATGTTCCAGCCAATGTAGCTCGGTTGGATCATCACGATAGGCAAGCCCGACCACCACGTCAAGGTAGAAGCTACATAATAAGATGAAATTGACAGGATGAACAGCAGAAGAATCAAATAACGTGGTACCAACAATGGCGAAAGACAAAGGGTTGGGAATATGTTTCTAAAATATGGAATAAAAAAATTTTTTTATGAATGAATGCTGGAACCTAATATCTTGATAAAGATGCAAAGTTGATTAATCTATACCATTATGACCGATGCTGAACCCTCTCACTGGTCGCAGTCATCGCTCAAACCTCAACCATCTAGCTCGTACCTACTAACATATCCTATGTCAACAGTTACTGTCTTCCTGGGGAGATGTCACGGTTTGGTTTTGCAAGCCCTTGCTCTTGATTAATTAGTTGTTTATTATTTGGCCATCAAACTCTTTCCATTCCTCTATGAGTCATTCTTCGTTCATCAATTCAATATATATATATATATATATATATATATTCCTTTCATCTTAAGCTTCCTATTGAGTCATAAATTATTATCATATGATTTACTGTTCCTATTTTGTTGACAGTTTATTATTTAGTCTTCCCCTACTCTCAGCCACTTGGCTCATCCACATATAATCGGTTATTTCCATTTATTGGTGCGATTTAGCTTGGCTTCGTATGTATATAAAGGAATGTCTGAAATATAGTAACGAGTCTTGGACTGGTGGTTATCGGTCTTTATTCTTACTCTTCCGTCGCAACAAGTTAGTATTGAACCGTCCTTTAAGAATAGAGTAGCAAGTTTCTCGTCTTTGTAGCATACGGATTACTCAAAGGTCGTTTGCGTATTAGTTAGTTTGAGGCGTTTTAAAAATATCGATTTTCGCATTTTACCTGATGTGGAAAAATATATTTTTCCATAATATGTGTAACACCTATTAAGGCAATCCAATTATTTCCAAGTGTTACCAGGAAATTTTTTCGATACATCAGTCATTTATGAGTAGCTCATTTTCGAAATCCTATAACTGGAAGAAGCAATATTATGATATAATTGTCCAAAAAGACTTACTGTAAAAGTAAATAAATACGACAATTCTTGGGATTTATAGTTGTATAAAAAAAATGCTTTTTATTTCTTAACATATACTGAATTAGTTTTTCTTCTTTGCTTCATTTATATGCCCAAACTGCACTGCCTCTACAGTTTTGTGTTCGAAATTCATTTCTTATATCCCTATGTTGCGTCATAACATTTAACCAATAACTTTAAATAATAACTTCCTTCTAATATAAACAAATATATTTCTTCCGGTGATATCTTTATTATCAATTAATTGCTGTATATCACTTTTGTTAATGAGCATTTGATACAGACGGTTAGATGATGCTTATAATCTTTTTTTATTAAATATACGAGGTTGTTATCATCATTATCGTAATTTGGCATAGGTTTTTTTATATTTAGATATATTAAACAGAAACGAGCAACGGGGCGGTTTAGAAAATATTTAGGTGATGTGTTTTTACAATTAAGTGATTTAGAAATGGCACAAATTCAGTATAACCTGGCTATCGAACATTTAAAACCTATCAATGATACTTTGTGGATAGCAGGTAAGTTTATTCTCTAAATGCTTCATATTACACTTAGGATTTTCTGTTTGATTACATGATGGACCTGGTTTTACGAAGTGAAGTGTAGCAGTTGAATTTGTCCCTGTTGGATTCTATTAGTTTGTGAAATGGTTGGACTCTAAAGTAGTATTTTTCTCGAGCAATCACATATAATAATTGTAGATTATTCGGGAACTTGCTTATATTTCTCATAGTTGCATCTACCTTTCAATCAAATAGGGATTCAGATACGTATAATGACGAACATGTGGTGTCTCGATCCGATTGTTTGATATGGAATCTCTACTAAGCTGGATGAATTCAACACTAAATCAGTGATGAAAATGAACCATAATTACCCAAGTTCGCTCTGGTTACCCCTTACCATAGACATTTGTCATCTGACTCCGATTCATTGACTTGTAACTTGAAAAATCATATTCAAGGCACAGAGGAAGGTATCCTAAGGAAATTGCCTGCTGATGGGTAAAATCATTGTGATTAGACAAATGAAATTTTTTGTATGCAGTTGTGTTAGTTATTGAATTTGATCATTTATAATCAGCTGGGAGCTTAGCAGAAATGCAAGTCAGCTCAAGTTTTCATTCCACACCAACACCGCCAGATAAAATTCACTGAATGATTAGAATAAGTACCCAAATAATGTCATTGTCAATGATAAAGATAACGACTAAATAATGGAGAACACCGTCCGACAATAAAGAATGATTTTGAGGAGTAAAAAGTACGAAGTAATTTTTAGGCCTAGACCTGGGAGAAAGTGAAGAGTGAATGCATCTGGATCTTTTTACCGACTCTAAGTCTTGCCTCTCAGCGTTTTCATCAACTAGTGATTATCATACGGTGCCCAACCAGTTAGTTTGCATCTATCAATGCGGTCGCTGCTGTCTTGGTGCACCTGTTAATATCGTCTGTCTGAGTACAATTATCGGAATAGGCCTTCATGAGTGTTATCAATGTTTTTATTCATTCGGAATTGGTAGATACACTTCTCTTATAATTCAACACTACCATATAATCGATCCACTTCATGTTTTGAAGTTGTACCTTGATAATAATACTCATAATGAAAAAACTAGTTGTAACTTATTTTAACTATTTTAGGTGCGCTAGAAGGCTTGTGTGCAGTTGCCATGTGTCAACATTCTTCTGATCATTCTTCAGTTCCAAGCACAATGCGTTCAAAATTTCTTCATCAGCGTCATTTGGATGATCTAACTAACGGTGAATTAAGGAAATCACATTCTCAGGAATTAGATGTGCTAGGTATGTGTCAATGTTTAGCAACTACTGATAAGTTAAGGTTACATAATTTTAACAAAATATGTCGATTTTATCTGATCGAATTCCCGTCTTGCAAATTTCATTTTGTGTTAGACTCTACTTCATAACCCTATCAATGATATTTGCTTGTCAGTAGGTTTTCCATGTAGTTTCCAACCTTATTGTATTGAGTTATGTCTTAATTAATTTTTCAATACCTCATTTTTACTAGAAAATAAGTCATCAGGTTACTATCAAACCTCACCACTAATATCCAGTAAACTATATGAGAAGTTTAAAAACTATTTCCAAACTTCTTCATTTATATAGGTGAATGTTTGAGATCATTTGGCTTTTCTTAATAACCTTTAATTAACATCAATTGACACTTAATCCATCGTAGGCGTTAGTCACAAAATGTTAGCAATTTTATTTGCTTGCTATTCGCTAATTACCCAGTGTTTCAAAATATATTGTCTGTAATCCGTGGATACACTATCAGAAACTATATTAACTTTCTTTTTACTACCTAAAATGGCTTTTAACATAAGGGATTAGTAACGCACGTTGACCACCTCAGACAAATGAAGCTAATAATTCTTATCAACTGATTTAGAACTCTTTACTAAGTAGTTAGTACCTGACTTCAGTAATATCATCGACAATTAGCTTATTCAGTGCTGTTGCTGTGTACATCATTGTTATGCAGAAATTTATGATTTGATAGTTACTAACTACGTATCTCATTTGTATTCCTTAAGCAGCTTTCCTATCCGTTAAATAATACATCACAGACTGCTTTATAGCATTAATGGTTTTTTACTTGCAGATGGTCTACTCACTTATGCTACAGATGATGAAAGTTGCTAAGGGCTAAACAGAGTTTTTATGCCACCGCTGAGATTTTGTCTTTCAATATAATTTACGAGTCTGTTAAATGAAAAGGTGACAAAAATTTGTCCGTAAACAGTATAGATTAGTGGTCAAAGACGTTGAACTTTCAAAAACGAGGCTGCAAGTTCGAAACCCCCGTCGCCTTTTTCGGTTTGGATATTCGAGTAGTATCCCTAGGCATCATACGTAAAGTGGATCCCTAAGCCGAGTACATAAGTCTGTGCTTGATGAGTTCCAGCTAAACAACGTTTCCTACCTAGAGGACACTATACACATTCCATGACATCTATCATAATCACCAGATGTGTACAGATTTTGTCAGCATTTATACCAACTGTCATCTGCACACATCTGCATCATATTTGCTATAAAATTAGTTAGTAAAAATAAATATGGACAGTAATAATGAGCATCCAATTTCAAGTAACAATTGATTATAAGCCTTAATCTAACCGTTAGTTTTCTAAGAAAAATTTACTTCACTTCAGTCATTGTATCCCATGAAGCTGTCATAATTATGTATACTGATTATGATTAGTGTAATTCTCGTTTAAGTAACGTTGCATAGCTGATAATTAACCCAAACTATTTTATAAATTATAAATATTTGTAACAATGCTTAAATTAAACTGTTATATTCACAATAAATTAATAGTTTACTGATAGAAAAAAATGTTTTTAGCTGTTACAGTCAATCTCAATAAACATTTCGGTATTTTGCTTCATTTGAACAAGTCAGGATAAAGTCCATTTGATTAGATCAATAAAATGGAAATAGTGAATTGATTGTTATTTAATCTTCATTGTTTATTGACTAATGTAAAGTCATTTATTTATTTCCGAAAAAGTTTATATCATTTACCTTGTTGTTTTCTGATTATTACTACAAATTAAAAGTTTCGTTTATATTTTGCTTTTATAGAACATTCAACGTCAGGTTTAGATCTTGCTTCGTCAAAACCACATCAAAATCTCATAATATCATCCAATGATTGTTGTAATTATGCTTTGGAAACAATCGAGTTATACCAAAAGGTGTGTATAGTGCTTTACTTTAATTGCCTTTTTTCTGAAAAATCTATCTTCCGAGTAATACTAAATATCAGATCAAATCCCAGTGAAGTATAGGTAGTAATAGTATTAGTCGTAATAGAAGAAAATTAGGTATGGAGGACAAAATTCGCATAATTCAGAAACTTGGAATCTGAGGCAACTTTAAGGGTGAATTCACCTTCGTAATTGTGAATGATTTTCAGTTATGTCACCCAAAGATTCTAACCATTGGTTACTCCAATCAAGTGCATCACAACCAGGCAGTTTGTACCTATTCGATATGGTTTGGTCCAGTAGTCACTGTTTTCATAGACTGAGACCACATTTTGGCCACCACCATCTCACGTAGAGGTAGTCGGTAAATGTGTCTACGTAATACAGGTCCTAAGCATCTCATTCGAAGAAGATTCATCATACCTTGAAATCCAATGTTTTTCATTTTTCAGAACTTGACAAGACATGCAGTTGATGTTCTAGTAAATCACAAAGATTATTTGTGTACTTCGTACATTCAAAATACCGTCATATGATGAATATCTCAATAAAACATGAGTTATTCAACGAGAAATTCGCCCATGAAAACTCCTTAGATTGTACAAGAATACGCACACCTCATATTGATTGCAATTCTTGGTATTCTAATTTCGATCATTTATGCCAATACTAATAGTTAATGAGTTGTTTCTGAGGAAGATGATTAGATTTGTAGATAGATCGCATCATACACTAGCATCGACTTGAGTACCGCCCTAAGCCAGTAATTGATAAACATATTATACTGGGAGAGTCGTCTTTTCACACTCCAGAGGAACCTAAACTGGCACCAAATTATCGATTCTTTATTTTTTTATTCATTCTTCAGTTGGTGTCTTTTCATGGTATTTAAATAATGATCATTTAGAAAAATTATTATGGACAACGTTACATAATAGCTACAGTATATTACGAATCACCTAAAGTTAAAAATATGAACCACTGTATTCTCAATTAATTGTCTAGAAGTAACAGGTTTACTGTGAGACTTCAAGATATTGGGTTTAATTCTTTGCTTTGTCATGGGAGATCTAAACATCTGTTCAGCGTTACTTCGTTTTCATTGGTATTCCAGTTTGTATCAATCTTGATAAAAAAAGTAGCTTCATGGTGGCCTCATTTTTCTATCTTATATTATACTAAATTAATTTGTAACTAGCACACCATTGATATTTGTTGTTTTGTATTGGTATAATTTTCAACTACATATAGGTTGAATTGAATCCTTATCTTTTTGAAGAGTTCAAATTCAAAGTTGTTCGACTACTTATCTCTGAATCAGTAAGTTTAGCAAGCGATGGATTATGATACGAAATATTTTGTTTACAGAATTGTTTTGTTTTCTATGTTTGAATATAATAGCTTCATACTAAGTCTTGCTTCTTTTACTATCTGAAACAATCTTATCAACTGTTAATGTACACCAGAGCTTCAAATCTTTTCTGATTATCAAATAAAAAAAGTCTCAAAATCAACGCTAACCTCATTCGTCCTCAGCCACCGCCCATTTTGATGTACAGTGCTTTATACACGTGAATATGTTGGATAATGGCTAGAGGCGATCAGTTGAAAATTGTTATTCGCTGACGTTGACTGGATCACATGATGCCAATCATAGTGTGATCTGTGACTATTCACATCGAAAACATACCACTTATGTGTATCAGTAATTTAAAGAATGTTTCCAGTACCTTAATCGGCTCTGACACTGATTGCTATTACACAGGAAACTCACATAAACACTCAATCATCATTTTGTTGCAGAAAATCGAACTTTAAATATGGCGTGCTGTAATTTCACTCCTCCATTTAACATGTGACAGAAATAACAGTTTCGACTTATCTCTGATGACCAGACATGATAACATTGATCATTGATTAGTATTATCAACTCGCTCCCACATATCATCAGTTTTAGCATGTTTAGTTTAGTACTTGGTAATTCACTCTTAATTCTCTGAAAGGGTATAGGTGGTCTCTTTGTAATCGTAGAGTCAACTATCTGACGACCAAGAACATGAACAATAATTCTATGGTTTAAGGTGTCATAATTAATTCATCAACTACTTAACAATGAAGTTATAGTATTACATACTATAAACTAGTTACTTTCGTTGTTATATATTCATTGTGTAAACTACGGAAAAACACTTGTACGAAAATTATTCAGTATTTATAGCTAACACCAACTAATATGTTTAATTTTTCTGGTCTTGGTAACCACTTTCCTCCCTATCAGTTTTCCAGATCGATTTTCTCTAAACAGAAAATGTTCATTCAATGTTAATCAGTGTTTTATAGCCTTAATTCCTTAACTAATATGAAAATTAATGATATGCTTCTTTTATATTAAGAAAACATATTCTATATATTATTGATCATAGAATTTATTTAGATCATGTGATATTTTGTTTGATTCCATCTTATTTTAAGTGTAGGCAAATGTTATCTTTTACACTTGTATCTCTTTTTATTATTTCTTTTTACTTTAGCGAAAGCGTAAAGCTTGTGAAATTCTTGATTCATTAATCGGACCATCTCTTTCCTCATTTAATACTGAGGTAGTTTACTTATTGTTCAGTGTTTTATTATTCTTAATTGTTTATATGTAATTAATTACCTAGTCGGTGGTAATTATTCAAAAAAAAATTGTAGTATGATTTGCTTGTTAGATTGTTGGGCATTTGAAATTGAACCAAACTTACAAAAAAAGAAACTTATTAGCTCAATTCATTATAATAGTAGTATAAAATGGAGAAATCTATAGTTATTGAGATTCAGGAAATAAGCAAATACTTTGTTAGCATATGTCCAATGTTTAGATTTAGTTCTTATCAGCAACTAGTCTGTTATACTTGATGAAACTTGTAATTTTAAGCCACCTATATTCTCATTCAGTACAGAATAATGTTGTTGTGTTACCATTCATATATAATTTACCAGACACATGAAAACATTCATCAGTTTTTGGGTTGTTTTTACGGTATACCAAAAGCAAACCATTGTTCCTTCTAGAATTAGTGGTAAACAACATCCCCTGTATATTAGTGCGTACATAATAGGACGAAACAAAAATAGTGACATATTTAACGGATACCATCGTTTTTCATATATGACATGTCTTCACATAATATTACACACCTGTTCAAGTTCGAATATGACACCTTAAGTTAAATTAAATCTACGGGATGTTTTTGTAGATCAAATACACCTATCAAAAGATATTTCGATCATATGTCCTGTGTGTTTATGGATACAAAATAGTGTATATACACTTTCTCTTTAAATCGACTAATGACAAAAGTGTATGTATATTTAAAATATTTAAATAATAACAATTCTAAAACAATAGGATTTAGAGTCATTCTTTACTTAATAATGTCAGTTAAATAATATAGTATTTTTTTTATTGTCTGTATCAATCAATACACCCTGGATACTTTTAAATGACATTCGTATATAATTAAATCTACGTTCTAACTCTATGTTTAGCTAATGTAAAACCCAATTATGACATTCAATGCTTTAATAGACAATTAATAATACATAGAAATTGTATACCACCTATCAGTTTATTTTCAATGATCAAGTAGTTAGTCAGTCATAATCAATGTCAAGCCTGAAACAAGTCTGTCACCCGAATTTACCTTATCACAGTGACATAACAAGATTACGTTGATTATGATGATCAGTGCACAGGCATTACAATTTTGTAGCTGTGATAATAAAGAAAGATTAAGCATTACGAATATTACATGAAATCACTGTCTCTTTATGTTATGATTATTTTTATATTTTGCTTTAAGAATATTTCCTATTTTTATTTTCAACTGTCTTTTCTATTTTATCTTAGAATCCTTGTTCACTGAAACGTTATCTCACTATTGTTCGTTTGTATAAATCGATGAATTTCAATCGTAAGGCTAGTTTGGCCTTATGGCTTTTATCGTCATTAAATCGATTGAATCATATTGAATTTGAAAATGAAATTTTATTAAATGGTTTAAAAATTCAATCAGCCTATTCACCGAATATTACTCAAATGATTGAAACAAAACTTGTCAATGGTAATGACAATACTATTACGAATAGCACTAATAATAACATCTCTAATAATAAAGATTTAACCTGTTTATTAAATGAAAATCAACCACCAGTCAGTATTGCTTATCGTTTAATTTCAAATCCTCCATTATGGAGTCCATTTGTTGTACTTGATCAATCACATTGGTTAACTCGTCTCACTACAACCATACCTAATTCAACAATACTATCAACCAGTACATTTAATAATATAATTAAATTAAAATCTATGGCTAATATTACACGTCTTATGAATCCAAGCACAAATTCCAATATGAATAATTTATATTCATCAAAATCATGTTTATTATTTCGTCCAATTGGTTGGTGTGATTTACAATTAAAAGTTATGCTTTATTTAATTGATGAGTATAAAGTAAAAATTAATCTAGAAGATATATCGGAAATTTCATGGGATATTGGATTGAAACTTATTGGGTAAATGAAAAAAAAACAAACAATTAAAAGTTGTTAAATTTTGGTTATTTATGTATACATCAGTCTAGTGTGCTTTACGCTTAGAATTTATTATGATCAAGTAGTCTAAACTAGTCCAATATACACTTTTTATGCCTGACATGTTACTTATAAAATATTATTATGCTTATAATATAGCTTTTCGCAAAAGACACCGTATTATCTCTCCAACTGTTACTATGATGCTAATGAAATCGCTAATCAAATATTAATTTTCTCATTGTTCTAAGTAATTCATATTAGGAAGTTTCAGCACAGAAATAGCTTAAGATTAAAGTTTTTCAACCTTTTTTAAAACGTTACACATTGACTACTCGGAAAATGTTTGTTCGTTTTATGTAGTTCATCGCAGAATGAAGTGTATTTTTATTAACCCTACTGTATACCTTCGATGTCACAACTGAAGGTGTATGCAGCAACTCCCGATCTCCCAATTTGTATGAACATTCCATGTACCTAAATTAATGGTTGCTCTGGTTGTCAGAAGGAGCATCAACCTCGTGACTTCCGAAGGAACTCAGCTTTCATCATGAGAGGTCATGACTCTTTTAAATGAAGACCTAACTCCCTAACCCTAACCCCCTGTAGAGTTGCAGGGATCATTGAGTTTCACTGAAATCCTGGACTCATCAATATTGAGGCGCGATTAAAGGCCGCTGGGCACTGGACGACCGTTTCGTCCTAGCATGGTAGTCCTTAGCAGTGTGGATCCACGGTGACGCACGTGGGAATCGGACTCAGGACCTTTGGTCTCATACGCAAGCACTTAACCTTTTGATTAATGGACTGGCATCCAACGGTGGTAGTGTATTCAATCAATCCACAACGTTCCGCAACCATCTACCTGAATTCAAATCCTGAGTGCGGGGTCTTCGATGTAAGCTGCAGAAGAGTCCCTTACTCAGATTCACGTTATACGTATGTTAGAGGGTTCCGATGTATCCCTCAGAAAAGTCGATGTAGGCCCATAATCGGTAGGAAACGTTTCATCCAATGAGCATTGAGCAGAACCTTCGCAGACACCTAAAAATGAGGGATCATGTGCCACCATTCTGGGTGGACATTTAGCCATACCGCTACTATATTTAGTATAGTTCTCGAAAATTCCGGAAGCCCAAGGTCATGAGTGACATAAATGCCCTCCTTTTCTGTACGTGAACTAAAGTTGGAATAAAGCCTTGTACTTAACTTTTCTCTTGTGTTCAAGCTGCAGTGTAGATTTAGTTTGGGGTTTTTAGAAGCGGATAGGAATTCAGATCTTCAGTTCGCTCAGCAGACTTATGATTATAAAGGTACTTATTAGCCTAATCGGAGAGTTTTGTCGACCTCTTGAAAATGGGTTTTGAAAACATTAATTACAACTGAAAAAAATATTTTAACAGGATTTTGTAGATAATTCCGTTCGAGTAAAGTATAAGTGTATTCTTTCTTGAATTAAGTGGTGAAATGTTGTATGGAAACTAATAACTATAATATTCAAGAACTATCATTACATTTCTCGTATATTCGACAAATAAATCAACAAATTAAACGCTTCATTATCCAAATCACTGCTGCTATGCGAAAAATATCATAGGGGTCACTGATAATTGTCAAGGTGATTTGTATTCATGATGTAAGGCTTTAAAAATGCTTTTTTCGAAACGTAAGCTAACCATGTAGAAACCATAATATCATCGATCAATCTGTTTGGTTTCGAAAAAAATATTGTTTCTTCTTGACATTACCCCGTGTATACGTACACATATTATTCACTGGTGTTATCTATTTTTTGGTTATCATCATAAAGTACATGATTCACTTCTGGTCATATATATACATCGTAGTTTGTTTTACATGTTTTTGCTCTGTTTCGTTGTTTTAATTCTTTAAGAAATCTTATGCATATCAATCTGATGGGATTTCCATTTTTCTCTTTCAAAAAACTTATTGATAGATACTGTTTCTCTGTACTGGACAGTTGGCCTGAATATACCGAAAAAACTAGTTGTATAACTTGTATGGATGATTTATGCCGTTTAGCGGTACTTCGTTGTTCTGATCAGCCAACTAATTTACCCATTATAAGTTTAGTGAATTATTATACTGGAGAAAATGTACATTTACGTAGATGGCCTCGTAATCGTCGTGTTGTTTATTCATCAAATGGATTTTGTTATACTTTGAATAATGATAATGATGAAGTACGAATGAAAGTTTTTGAGAAAAAAATGTTGGATTTAATAGAGATTCCAGTACATCAATTACCTTTAGTTAGGTAAGATATTTTTCTTAAAAATCATATCTGTGTAACAATGTGCGCAAAACATCTTGTCACCTAATATTTTTTGAAATTTAAAATGTATGCTCGCGATTATAGGATCGTTCTAACAGCCTAATAAAATTGTTTGATTACCTGGTTATAGTCAGTATGATAAGCGCAGTCAGTGGATTGGGATATTTTGTGAAAGAGCTCAAAATCGGTTTACGTGATGCGATTGCACTCGCTCTAGATCTTATGTTCCGATATTTCTTTATACATGCCTTTAAACTCTGTCTTTTCGAACCATATTCTTAATGCTCACTAGTTCTCACCAGAATTACTGTTAGATGTTGTCACGACTCCTTTCGCTGTTCATTTCGTTAGTTTTATTTTATTGTCCTGATATGGTTGTGGGGACAGGCTAATGCACTTTTATGTCAGGCGTCTATGTTGATCGTCGTCGACCAACTGACTAATTTCTTCTTTTGGTATCAAACGTGAACATTAATTTCTAATTTCATAGTTCTACTTTTTTAGTTATTTTACTCTTCGTAGTTTACTTTAAGTCAAATAACAGATTTTAATTTGTTTTCCATCTTCACAATGATTAGTATTTCTTACAGTGCCAGAAATTTTAGAATTCAACTCTCCCACATACCTACATAGAAAAGTTCAAAAACTTGGACTGGATAACTAAATTGTGATCGAAATGAAATTGTAATCAGAAGAGAATAAAGATTCCTAAAGTTTATTTAACCCCCATAACTCCTCCTGGAGCTCCTCTGTGGCTACTGCCGGTTCCAGGCTCAGATAAAGGGGGATGGTTGGTTGTGGGGTTGGCGACCCCAACCCTTAGAAAGCTAACTCGCTAGAAAAACGCTAACCGGAAAAAAATAACTTTAGCTACATAAGAATTGTTTAATACTGCGAAGTCGTTTACTCATATCAAATTTAATTATGTCGTAGTTAGTAAGTCGTTTTTCCGGTCATCCAATTATTTCTCCCTAATCACTCTAGGAATTCTAGAAACAATCAATTCTTATCGTCTTTCCAACTAGTTGTAAGCAGCATACTTCATTAGTAGTAGGCAATCGAAAATTGAATTTTTTTTTCAAAATATTTGATATACTTCTTAATTTCATGAGTAATCAATTCTATTTTCTATTCATTTCAGAGTGATCAATATACCTTCACTGCCAAGTCATCTGTTGCCACAAACGATCTCGAATAATGGAGCAGAGAATATAGTTTCATTGAGTAAAACTCGGACAGTTGTTATTCGATCAGATCACGGTCAACCAAAGGCAACTGAATCTAACAATTGTGTAGAATCATCAAAATCTACTGGTCCATTTGTTTATAATCCTTTTCAAATCGACAACTCTGGTGGCAATAAACATCCAGGTATATGTTGTTCTCTATTTGAATTGATTTTACGGTCACTTGATTATATATTTTTGTTTTTAATAACCACGACCTTCAGCATGTTATTCTTAGAATAGAAATGTTGTGATATACATGCAACCGTTTCGTCAACTAAGTCACACATTTAAACATCTATTGTAACTTAACTAATCCTTAATTGCTAATAATAGTAATTTTTGAAAAATTTGCATACCTCACTGCAAGTAAAACACAAAAATATAAATATCTGATTATTTAAGTATTGCATTAAAAATCAACATGATCTTTATGGATCAATGATGATGATAACCTTAAGCCAATGATCAGAATTCTGAATGTTATTTGTTCTATATGCTTAAGTTTTGTCTATTGTATTTTAGTTCTATATAATGAGACTTTTATAGTAGTTAATTGTATTGAAAAACTGATTTCTGTTGTATGGTAAAACTTATTACTATTTATGTAAGGAGCGTGTTTTTATTCACTGAAATAGCTGTACACAATCGTATTTCGTTTTTATTCTTTATAATACATTGGAATGAAATAAAAGGTTAAATTCTAATTTGTACAACGTTCACTTAAGTATTATTCTTCTTTTAACCTTTGTCATCTCATACACGAACCGACTTCATGTTATATTCTCTTATTATGTTGTAACTAGTCTACTATTGTTAAATAGTTCGACCTAAAATGTTTGCAGAAAAACTCCATCTTTCTTTGTCTGTAGCATACGGTTATTATCATAGAAAATACAATGTTGTTTGTTGTTTCTCATCATGGATTATTTCAATACAACACAATATTCAACAATTTGCACAACCCTTCCCATCTTGAAACATTCATACTATTTATTTGCTTAAGCATTAAAAGTGCTTGCTTTTTTTATTCATTCATGAATTTAGTCTTATCAATTATTCATTAGATGATTGAACATGATTTGAACATTTCTCTCAAGTTTCTTTTGATCATCATTAGTTGACGTGTCTTTTTCATTGAAACTAAATAAAATTACTCCTTGTTAATAGTAGATTGTTAATTTTTTTGCACACAATATCAATAAGAAAGGTTCTAATAAAATAATTGAATAAATTTCTCTTTTTGTCGCCTAAATAAAGTAACTAGTTTACACTTTACTATATTATATGATCAGTTTTTGAGGACAACATATATACAAGATGATGAATGAGGAGTATTCAATCTCATTAAATCTCAATTTGTTTATCATTATTATTCATTTGGAATGAATAAAAATTAATGAGAAATTCGTGTTTGAATTTTTACACCATATATAAATAGAATGATAAATATGATCGATTTTTCATAATTTGTTTCAATATATATATATATATATATATTGATTCAAATTTTTCTATACCATCATGGTTCTTAGTGTTGGAATTTAGAAAATCCAGTGAATAAATAAATTTGTTTTTAAAAAACGGATTGGATTTTTCTGTAGCCTTGAAGATAGTTAATACACGTGGTGTTACGTCATTGAAGTACTCGTGGAATTCACTTGAACTCAAATTTAAACTGTTTTTATCTCCCTAGTACTGAATAAACTTAACGACATGTGATTTAATTTGGCAGAATGATTCTCATCTGATATATGTCAACTATAGGCTTTGCAAGCAAATTCTTTTTTTTGAATGTAGGCCCCTACACCAATATTTCTCTATGTGAATTAAACTTTCATTACGGATTTTTTTTTTATGTTATAAGTTACCAGATAAAGTCGTAATGATGTTCATAATGTTAATATTACGAAATTCATACAAGTCACAATGAATACTGACTAATTCAATAATAGAAATCATTCCATACAGATATTTATGATAATGATAACTGTCATTGTTAACCCATTTAGCAGATAACCGTTTTGTATTTGAGTAGCGTATATATATAAATATAACAGATCACAGTTCTATTGAAATTTATCGCTCTGCAAATAAATCAACTGAAACTCATATCTTCAATTTAAGTATTAATTATTGTGAGATTTTCGTTTAGTTGTCTTCATAATCTAATCTCCAACGAGAAATCAATAATTTATCTGAGGAGAAAACTTTTATATCATTGTAAACTTTAAATTCATTCAATAATTATTTTTATAATTCTTTCATTACAAGTAATCGATTGGATTTGTGAAGAACCTGGATTCATAGAATTGATAGTTGATAACAAGCTCCCAATCGATTTAAGAATATCTGACCTAGTAAGTGTTTTTTATGTGGTGTATGTTTTTTTTTCTATGAAATGTATGCAGGACATTTTGATCATCAGAAACATCAAATTAAATATCGAGTACGTTGCAGCTGACTGGCTGAATATCGAGTACATGTCGTTCAGAAAACACACGTAATGAATGATGATGCTTGACTGCGGTCGCAGGATACCTGTTAGTGGGACACAGATGGAATTAAAGCATGACTACGTTGCTGCGCGCTGATTGGCTAATTTCCTATCCAATCAGCGCCTGATTGAATCTTGGAGAACAGGGTAGAAGATTCTCGTATTGTTAGCTGCGTGCTGATTGGTTAAGTCTAATCCAGTCGATCACGTGAATTTCTATCCAGAAGCTTTTCATGTAAATGCTATAAATAGACTAACGTTGTATCTATTTTTGCCTTCGCCTTCGCCATCACCCCTGGCTTCTTATTCCTTGCTATTTTGGAATATAATCTTTTCCTGTTCAACCGTGTTTTTGATTCTTGGGAACTTGTCCAGTGTATAGCGGTCAGAGAATACTAAGCAATAAGAATTATCTAGAATATATCCAAGCAAGCGTTACAATAATACCATTCATAAAAGTTTCATCGTTCATTTCGTTACGTTCAGTTCTGATGAACGTGGTGCCTTGATAGTCTAGAAATGATCAATCTTAGAGATTTGGTGAAGAATTATAGTTTCATATTTGATCGTCAATGTTACTAAGTGCTATATGACAGAATAAAATAATTGAAATATTGAAACGAGCATCTTTAGACCACTATTGGAAACCTGAAAGCACTAGACGGTCGTTTCATCCTAGTATGAGACTCATCACCAGTGCGCACCCACGACTCCTGCATCTCTCAGGATTCGAACCCAGGACCTTCGCGTATGCCTCACCTCTGGACCACTAAGCCGATGTCTAACGGTGTTAATGTCTAACTTCGATCAATCCACGTTCTTGCGCAACCTCGGGTATGAAGCAGTGCTCACTAGTGTGTACATTTATCATTTCAATGAAATTCAACAATGTCCATGAGTGTATAATGAAAATTAAAATAATGAATTATCATCAAGGTACGACAAACCAGATGTGATGTTCTAGTAGAGTGCAAAATAAATATAAATAAAAAAATTATTCAATTAAGAATAAATTTAGCAAATCTTTACATATTTATACGCTTAGTTTCTTATTCTCATCACCATTATTTCACTGACATCTAGTTGGATATCTAAAATTGTGAAAATAATTTCAACATATTTACACTTTAATTTGTATGTACAGACTTATCTGACATAAAAAGTCCTAGTTAAATATGTGACTATTTTTATTTGATCTAAAACTTAATTGACTTTTGACTACTAAATCAAAGCTTCAATACAGCCACATAGTAAAATTATAACAGTAATTTTTAAAAAAATTAATATTTTAAGGCGAAATCAATAATCATACATTGGTAAGTTAATTAAAAGCACTAGTGTGTTTTTCAGTTCACATATCAATTAATTCACTGTAGTGATTATCTACAATGAATAATAAATACAAAATAATCTATTTGTTGTTATCATGTATAATATTTGATAATGTTCTATTTTAAAATATATATGATGTTCTATTGTATATATGCATATATATATATATATATAAATTACTCTTATATATATAAATATTTCTTAAAATATATATGCCATGATATTTTATTCTTTGAAATATTTTAAAATTAAACTGTCAAATAACATTGATCATATTCATATAACTTAGTTTATCCAGTAATTTGAAAATATTATTCAATGAATATATTTTCGAAGCTTTAATAGAGCTATGCATATTCATCACAACAAATAATCAATTGTTCTTATTTTGTTTTTTTTTAACAATTAATCTACTTACAGCACATTGAATTAATACCAGTTAATGTTGGATTATCAAGTAAGGAGACATCATCGAATCGTGTTTCATCACTGACATCGGATTATGAATCATTATTTGGCCTTAGTGGTTGTACTGGGAATAATGGATGCTCAGATATTACATCAAGTTTCATTGATTTAGAAGCAATATCTTTAATTGTTGAAACTTCACAATCAGTGAAAATTCTGCCAACTACACAGTTAGATAATGTGTATCTTGAAAATATGAAACATCAAACAGCAAAGGTATCACTAAATCCACTTTATTTTCATTATTCAATGATGTGACCTTCTTTTTACTGGTGTTGTTGTTGTTGTTGAAAATACCTATTATATTTGGTCGAATTATTTACAGTGATTGTTTAGTGAAATTAAAGATTTTAAATATCTCCTTTTAGAAGATAGAGAGGGAGTATGTGTGTGGTTATGTCTTAATTCACTAATAAAATCAGTAAAGTGAATTAGTCGATCGATTGGTTAATTACCTCACAGAATCAATCTATAAATCTCATCTGTAGAAATCCCAAATGACAGGATAATTGATGTACTAATGAAATCTGAATTAGAGATTCGAAGTTATCACTGGCTTATAAAATATGCAATAAATATTATATGTTTATGAATTATTTCTTGAATAACAAAAATAGTTAGTCAATAATGGAGATGATAATAGCAAACCAAGCACCGAGGTTTTAATTCCTTCCATCTTGTATGAGATATTATTTGTTTGTAATGTTTCTGTCTGTTAATTTAGTAACAAGCAACGAAGTTTACTAATCAATAAAGCTGTTTTCTATCAAATGAAAATGAAGCGAATTGAGCGGTAAAAACTTTCTTTTCTGTGGTGGTACAATCGTAGTCTTTAACTGGATAGTAAAATAGAGGAGCCTTACAAAATTATGTGCTATAGTCAAACTTATTTAAGTGGAATACAATAAAAAAGAACTGGTGTTGCGTGATATTATTTAAAGGTTTCAGGTACTTTGTAACTAGAATGGTTTTATTTTAACTTTGAAAAGAAGTTACGTAATAATCCAAAAGTTTGAAAAATAGGGATATGACGTCAAATATATGATAGATAATTGTCCATTTGACAGATATGAAGAGAATGAAAAGCATCAAGGTAATAATAATAGTAATAATAATAATCATGAGACTTAATAGGACATAATAATTACCGTTTACTGTTTAAAAATACAAATAATAATAATAAAAACAAAACAAAATCAAAAACATACTGGAGAAGGGCATTAGGGTCAGGGAATGATGAGAGGTTGAACGTATGCGGAATTCGGGCTTGGAGTGGCGGATTGTCAAAGCCTCAGTAGTGGATAAGTTTATAGTCCGAACTCCATTTGATCCAATTCTCCTAACGATATATATTACTGTAAAGGACAAATCCTTAGGAGCAACGTGCTTAGAGTTGATCAGGTGCTCATGTAGCTAGCTAGTGGCAATTTTGCACTCCTTTTGAAAGCTGAACTAGGTAATGTTCTGAGATGCGCTTGGGGAGTGATCGCTCTATGTATCTAGTGTAACCTACCCCCCAGGAGTAAGTAAATTCATAGATGTTCATCAATGTGGTCCAAATAGGAAGTTTATCATCAACACATCCATGAATGGTAGACCGTCTAGAGAAGACAATACGAGATTTGACTGAATCAAACGTTTCATTTATGGATTTCGAAATCCGTGTATTCAAAATTTCTTCAGCCTTATCTCCTTTGAACTCAATATTCATAGAGTTTTCCTTTGAACTATCGATGATTATTCAGGATAAAGAGTAGGTATTAAGTTCCTTTTGAAAAATCTGAGTGGATAGCCACTTTTGATGAGTATTTGTCGAAGTAGAAGTATTTCATAATCTTTTGTGTCATAAGAACATATTCTCCTAACCCTCGGGAATAAAGTTTCGCTTTCTACCCAATGCTTCCTAGCCATGGAAATTTGTATATCGACCATAGCCGGTCGGCTTTCTATATAGATCTTGTTACAGAACCATCTGGCCTTCTTTTCACCACGATATCAAGAAGGTGAAATTCCTGATTTGCTTCTGCTTACGAAGTGATATAAATATTAATGTTGTCACTTTTCATATAGTCACATAAAAAGTATATAGTTTTCGTTAGTGGAACATCAGTAAAGAGTGAAGTGACACCCAATGAAATCATTTATTTACCATTCACATTGATGTTCATAATTGAATCAATAAAACCGAATGAATAGCAGAGCTCGATAGTCTAAGATGTTCATAACTGAGACTTATATTCTTTTGTGAGTAATCGACTAGTTGCGATATTTATATATCTCAGTGGTATCATTAAATTAAATAAGCCATTGAAGAAGTTGTACCTAGTTTTCTACCAGACATCAATCTTGTGTAATCCATTTTTTCATTGATTCAATACTAGTTGGTTAGTTTGTTAGCAGTTCTCTAGAATCTATGAGAAAGTCTCAGTGTTTTTAACGTTAAATGGTCTCCTAGGTAATCTAATTACATTACATTTAGTTATACAAGTTGCTCCTATATGCTACGGTACGGTCAATAGTGGAGAACTTCCATTCTCCCTCTCGAATCGCTCTCATATAACCATGCGTATGTAGTCACTGCCAGAGAAGTCCTACTCATTGCCTTCTCGTAGCAGGAGTGTCGTTTACGAAATAGGGAGGACGAAAAGTGAGTATCCGGTGGTAGGCGTCAGGGTTTTTGGTTAAGGAACATCTACGTAGGCGAGTTGGAAAACCCGGATTGCAAACGAATGATATACATGGGCTCCATGGTCCTATGGGAACGAATGGCATATGTGAAATTGAGCGTCCGAGCAGTATCCCATCCCACTCATTCAATAATTTGTGTGCCGCATAAATATTTTGGTGACATTTCATACCTGTATTCATGTGTTTAACTAAAAACTAAATATAACCTATATGTACAATATATTGCAGTAATATATACTTGTTAATAATACTTATTGGTTTCCCTAATATAATACAGAATGGTTTCTGTGGTCTCTCAGGGGTCAGTCTATCAGGACTGCAGCTCGTCCTCGCTTCAGATTCCTAAAGCGTTTTCAACTTCATTAAGACTAGGGGACTTAGGTCGATTTGCCATTCAGGATGACTGGAGATCGTGGGCAACCGAAGAGTGGCTGAAGGCCAGTTGAACTGATCCCTAAAGTGTTCTGCCCATCGGTCCAGTCTCCTGGATTGAGAATGGATATAAGACCATCCTTTCCGAGATAGTCTCACTCACATTCGGGTTCTTAATACCGGTTTCTTTGATAAGGCGGAAAAGTTGTCTAGTGTTACCGATCACCGCTGCCTTTCACATCGCTTTTGCTTTCGCCACCCACCACTGTTCGCGGTCGTTACGCAGACTTTGTATAAGTCTGCGCCTAAGTTGACTACGCTCTTCATCATGCTCAGAGTCAGGTGGGATGAGTTTTCGAGCATCCATCAGTTCGGTAGATGAGACTGATATCCACGGCTTCATCCTAGCCTTATGGTTTACCAAGATGCAAGTGTTTATTTAACAGTTGTCTGCTCACAATACTTCGGATTCATTGACCAGACATCATTATCAATAATCTACTTTGTGAAGGAACAAACCAGATTCCAGAAGAGGAGTAAATTAAGAAGAAGCGCCGAAGGTGAACTGGACACATTGAGGAAAGCACCAAACTGCGTCACAAAATAAGCCCTCACTTGTAACCCTCAAGATCAAAAGAAAAGAGGAAGACCAAAGAGTAAATTACGCTGAGAATCGGAGACAGACGTGAAAAGAATAAACGTCATTTGGATAGAACTGGAAAAGAGGCATGAGGACTCAGTAGGTTGGCGAAAGTTGGTCGACGACCGATGCTCCGTTGGGGTTTACAGGCACACGTAAATCAAAAAATTAAATAATATTATGTGTGTTTGCTTTGATATATCCACTAAATTTAAAAACATTTTTAAGCTTTAGTCGCTGGTTGCTAGTTGCGGAATCCAGGATAAGCGTTTTGTCTTAATTTGGACTCGTCAGCTGGATGTACGTGCATTTGAGAGTTCTAGTTCATTCAAGGACTAGAACTCAGTAATTTCAGCTTCAAATGTCATCGCGTTATCCACCTCGCCACGGGGCTGAGATAGCCATTGGCTTGTTCATTGAGGAGAATTTTAATTTATATGTATATGTATAAGTACTTATGGACTATGTGTATTTCTGTATCTTCATACTAAAGCTTGTTTGAAAAACTTTCCAATAGTTAATTTTAGAATTAGGTGTTAAGTACTATATCAGTCAAACTGTTAGAAAAATAGTTGTGTGATAAAAATATCTGGTGATTCAAATTTCAATGCTTCATTTCTATATAATGCACCACGTTTATTAGTAAGTTTGTGAACATGCGTCAACTTCTGTGGACAGATCATGTATTAAGGATACACATACATACTTAACGGGGGTTACAGGTTTGTTGGAAAATTATTATTGGTGGCAACAATAACATGTGCTAGACTCATTGTCCTTAAATTCCTTTGTATGGCCGTTAGTAGAGAGTCACCCTCTCACTCAAAATGTTGTCAAATGGCTATACGTATGTAACCATTGTCACAGAAGTCCCACTCATTGCCTTCACGTGACAAGTTTGCTGTTTACAGACTAGAGAAGACGAAAAGTGAGTGTATCGACAGTGGGTGTCCGGGTTGGTGGGTATGGAGGATACACCTTGAGGAGTTGGAAAACCCTGGTTAATAAGTTAATAATTTATAACCTATTAAATGGCTGTTATAAGGCCAGTTGGCAGATGTGAAAATGCCGATCGCAAAATCATTATTATATCGAAACTATTAACTATCTGTCATATATTTGTATGTTGCAAAATTTATAAGCTTAAACATCAAATATCAATTTTAAAGTTGTTGAGAATGTATCCTAACAACTACTGTCGTCTACCACTACATTATAAATATTAGTAATTCATTATATAAACACTTACAATCCAACTTATCGATTCACTTAAAAGCTTTCAACTGCATTTGCATTATTGTGGATATACTTTTCCTACAGCTATCCTTTTACATATAACTAATAGTAGTGATTTGCATTGTTATCATTATTATTAGTAGAGCCATATTCTTAATTATTTTTCTTTACATAAATTTTTCATTTTATGCAGTTGGATCTAACTATATATCCATATGAAACTAGGTGGTTACCTATTGAATTATATATTCGTGATGAAAATAGAGTTAATGTTTCAATCAATCGTAACAACATTCATAATTCAGATGATAATAATAATAATTTTGATGATAATTACTCAATTAAACGTAATCTAAACTTGTTACATGTGGATTTAAAGTCAGCTTCAATCAGTTCATCATTGTTAACCAAATTGAATTTAACACCAACAGATTTTGTTCAATGTATCGGTTTAGAAGATATTCGAAAAAGTGTGAGTTTAAATTAATTTTTCATAAACTGCAAGCAATATATGTGTTATGCTTTCTATGAATACTTTTTGAATAAGTCACTAGAAATTTTGATCTCAAATAACCATTATACTAATCAACACCTTAAATATAGCCGCACCGTGTCCGTTTGAAATATTCAATTTTTTTTGGCTTTTCAGTTAGATATTTCAAAACTTGTTTCACCTTTTGAGACTGTAGGATTCAGGTAATTAAATTAGACACACTGAGTTTGTTTACTATGTTATGCGTTAAAGTAAATCGAGTTTCCATGATGTCTCTTCAACTGGATTACCTTCAAACTTGCTGGAAGTATTTTGATCGGTTTATTCGCAATCGAGAATGCCAATGAAATCGGAAACAAATTAGCATCTACAAATTAGTATCATTCACTTAACAACTGTTTTTTATTATTTTGTTGTAAAAAACTGTACCTATATCCCACGTTGAAAAGCAATGTTGAAAATATTTATACGTTATTTACTCTGTAGTGTTTCTGTCAAATATACTTCTGGTTAGCGTTTTTTTAGCGAGTTAGTCTTTTATGGGATGGAGCCGCCAACCCTATTCTCAACTCCTCTTTATCCGGGCTTGGGACCGACAGTAACCCCAGACGGACTCCAGACGGTGTTATTGCCCTAAAATTAGTAAAACTATCATTAAACCAGTGAGTTACTGAACAAGATAGGTGGAAGAATTTCTGTTACTTTTTATGAAACCCGAAACACTTACACAAACTATGCGAAACTGTAGCTCATTGATTAAAGTGAGGTTTTGCCAGGTTTATTAAAGATAATCACTCCGTCAACAACGGTCGATATAATTCACTATTCTGACTTTAACCGTTGGAGAAAATTAAATCTCAAATGTTTTGTTTTTAATTTTTTCGTGATGAGCACTTTAGGAAGAAATGTGCATGGATGCAGTAGACTATTTTGCTTAAGTATTTCATTTAGCGATATCAGATGTATCGAGAATGAACACTTGTCATCAAAGACAATGGATACTCGTCGCGCTCTATCCAAAATTGATTAAAATTGAAATTTCACCAATCGATTCTAATACTTGAACACTAACTGTGGGACTTGAAGGTCGTAAGTTCGATCTGTGACTGAGTCGAAGATAAGCACAATTGAAGAGTTCCATACTCAGACATTGAAACTAACCGTTGGGCTATAACTTTTAACATGTATCTCGACTAAGATTTTTCTTATATTCATTGTTTTTTCTTTAAATTTATCTTTTTTTTTTATTAGTTTCCACTTCCAGTTGAAAATTCTGAAGTACCGAATTCTTTATTAAATATAAATTCAGATTATGATGAACGTTTTCTTCCATTGTATGCAACATATGTTGGTTTAATTTGGTTAAAATTTGATTCAGATAAATATTGGCAAATTATAACTAATCGACTTTCTACGGATTTTGAATTAAATGAATTAATCAAATCTACAGAAATACAATCAATTTATATTGAATTAGAAATTGAATATGCTCTTGATGCAATTAAACCGTCATCATTAAATGATCGTAATTCGACATCATCTCTACTTTTAAATAATAATAATAATAATAATCATAATCAATCCTTAGCACGTCGAATTTCATTAGGATTCAAATTAGAATTACTTTCATCAAATTTAGCTCCACTGAAATTAACTGATTTAATGTTAACTTTTGAAGATGAACCATTAATAAATGAATTTTGTTTACCGAAACATAAACAAATGATAAAATTATTTGGTGAAAAAATTCAAACTGAATCATTTCTATATGGATCTGTTGAAACTAATTTATCGCATACATTTTTACCTCAGGTATGCTCATAGTTACAATTTTTTCGGAACAAAATCGTAGTCATATCTTTTGGTGTTTTAATTGTTTTTTTTTTCCCGAATAACTTTTCCTTCATCTCAAAAGGTGAATGAATCGTGCTTTTTCAGCTTTAAACTCTTAAAACTACCATTTGGAAATATTTAGCGGATTATACGTCTATGTTTTTTGTTCAGTCATGTCTTTTCTTGCTTCAATTCTATTGTTTCTTGTTTGATTGATGTTTTTTATTGTTTAGTTAAGTTAATGGCCAAAGTACTTGAGTTTCAATTACTTAATTCTGGACTACAGAATCAAATTAATTCTTTGTTTGCTTCTCATCAACTATATCCCATCCACAAAAGGGTGTAGCTTAAAATCAAGAATAATAACTTGTACTAAATATGAAGTAATCACAATAACTATTGTCTGTTTGTATTCTGTGATATTTCCGATTTTCATTTCTGCAATTTTTTTTACTTAAATACACAATTTTTTTAAAATAGATATCAATAAAGTCTGATCATCTTCCACATTATCGTCTTGAAGTAGAATTAAAAGAGAATTGGTCCGATCAACAACAATCCACATCACCAGTACAAATAATCAGCCCATGGTTATGTCATGTGTCTCCTGAACTATCAGATAGTAGTTTTAAACGAAAGCAATCATTATCTTCTACTGAACTAACAAAAACCATATCTGAAACAACGTCAAGTTCATCGACTTCTTCCGTTACAAATTCTTATGCAGAGGATGCCTTGGACAACTTGAAGACTGCACATCAAATTCGTTTACCACTTATTGGATTTAGTGATTTAGTGTTCAACAACCAAATGACAAAACTTGTAAATTTAGAACATTTAAAGTCAAATGAAATAGGCATTCCAATACCAGTAAAAAGTGAAGTACCTGGAAGTGTTCTAGAATCAAACGTAAAAGTAATGTCACTTTCTGTAATGAATATTATTTCAATAATTCTCTGTAATGTCATATATTGAAAACAGATTTTGTCAAATGTAGATTTCGAAATGGTTTATTGTGAGAGTTATTTTGTAAAAGAAGCGTTTGAAAAATGTTTTGTATGTAACCGAAATTTGTTCAATATTCCTATCAATAACATGCATACATCTCAATAGTTGGCTTTGTTCAGCTTAGTTGCTATAAAGTTCGGTCGTGGAGAATAAAGAACTTCGTAAGTTACTTTTACTTAATGGCGAGTTAATTCGAAACTAATCATGAGAACATTGACAAAGTAATTCTAAAGCTAGACCAAAAGATACATAGCAAAGATTCTGAATTGACTGATTTATCCGTCAGTGTGCATAATTGAGATATGTGTCACACACTTATTTATCGTAAGATTATGACTCTTTTGTCAAAACCCGTTCGATAATCGCGAATCCACAGTTGAAGATTTAAAACTTTATGCATCAAATTCACCTATACTGATGTAGTATATTCAATTTTTCGTAAGTCTTGGGCTTAATACAGTTTCATACGACTGTATTCATACCTTTTGTAACTGTGTTTACCTCCCCATTCAAATTAGTGATTTACCTCTCATTGCCTTGATGCGTAACGTAACTTGACAGTGTCCATCAACTGCAATGTAGAAATTCATACGTACAAACGTACATCAGTTCAAGTTGCTATACCATGTTAACACAGAGAGATGGAATTATCAGTTCAAATCACATAGCGGTAAAGATTGTAGCAGTACTATCGGTAATAAAAAAGATTAGGGATAGAAGTTTTGATTCGAGAGGTATATCCTAGGAAAATAAATTTAAAAAGAGGAAAAAGATCTCATTAGGAATTAAGAAGGTTAGAATTTGAGACGTGAAAAAGAATGGATGCATATATATATATACATATATATATATATATATATATATATATATATATATATATATATAACCTTTGGTTACTATTATTATTTATTTTATTCGTGTTAACCTTAATTATGTTTTTTTTTACAGATATTTTGGTCCTCCCGTGTTCAAGCACGTTGGGTATCTGATTGTAAATTGGAAAAGTCTCAACCATATGAAAAATCTTACTTGTGTTCTTACTTTCGTCGTTATGGTCGAATAATTTTATTTGCACATGAATGTCGAATTGATCCAAAATGGTTTATTAATGAAGCCTCTTTTGTGCCATTATTTAAACCTTGGTATACATATCCATTCCTTAATTCTGGTTCTGCTGCTGGTCTTCTTTGGTCAAACAATATTTGGATTGGTTAGTGTTTTATATATATATATATATATATATATATATATATATATATAATTTGATTTACACTGAGAACAATTTTGAAATGCTTGATTAACAATAATGAAAAAAACTACTGAATACATTGATTCATGGACAGATTCTTTATTTATCTGAAACAAACTGTTTGACGTCTTAATAGGTATTTTACATGCATAGCTAATGAATCAAATTAGCGTGGATGCTTATTTCAAATTACTGTATTTCTTAGTCTCCCAAATTGAAATCTCTACACCGTCACGATTTTTAAATTAGGTGTCATTGTTTTTAATTCATTGATTTTCTTCGAAAGCATATTGGATAAGCAGGGACGCACGTTCACAGTTTAAATATAATAAAATTTTTAAAAAGACTACCAGACCAAAACATGGCAGAAATCCATGAAGTCGCTGACTAGTGGACTGAGTCATGTTGGTAGGTGTCAACTACCTGGTTGGAGCCCGTAAAATGATAGTAATTGATGATCAGAGATCCTGAATGACATGGCTGAAAACCGTTTGCAATGGTGCAGGTGCATTCATTCTTTGTATTCTCTCAAAGCCTATCCTTCTGAATTCCTCATCATCTTTCTTCTTCTTTTACGTTTCTTTCACTAGATTCTACTTCTTGAATAATATCGTCGAACCCCAATCATCCTATTAATCATCATAGGCAAACTAATGATATACAATTTATCGAATACATAAAATTATTATAAATTTTTACTGTTTACATTATTTCATTGAATTTAGGTTTTACATAAAGAGTTACATTAAACTAACCTGTGTTTATTGTATCATGTTTTATTGTTTAAAAACAAAAACTATCTAGATATGAGTCTGGATCCACCCGTTCTTGATAATTCATCAAATGGTCGAATTAATTCACAGAGAAAACTTGATCCTCAAAGTCAATTATGCTTACAATGTCGTCAAGATTATTCTATTGCACGTCGAACTACTGTTTGTACACAACGTCGTATTTCATCGATTTCCGTATTATTAAATCAAGAATTATTAACCAATGTCAACGCTAATGACGCTAATCTAACAACAAAAAATCAATCAAATAATTTAAAAACAGAAGAATCATCATCATCATCATCATCATCATCATCATTGGAACATCGTAAAATATCTATGCCAGATTTAAGAGCTTCACATAAATCTACCCTGCCTATTGATAATGATGATCTTCATTCATCGTCACGTATTTGTACATATCTTTTCAATCCTGTCTCGATTTCTATTCGATGTGGTATAAGGCATAACTTTTTACAAAATATTTGCATCAAAAATGAGACAAGTGGTGTGTAGATAAGTTTTTCATTATTATTATTATCAAATCGAAAGTTTTTTTTCAGTGTACTACGTTTGCATAACAATCAGTAGTTTGAAATTTCAGTTGACATCACTCAGAATCGATCACAACGGTATAAATGCATTCTCTCCCACTTCCCTCAGCTCTTGAGTCCTGAAATATTTTATTTGTAGGTCTATTCTTTTCTACTTCTGCTACTTTTAAATTAGGTTTAATAGTTACATTTCGCGGTGCTAACATGGTTTATTCACATTAAACCCATGCACATGAGTTGTTGATTTTCGATCTTGTCGTTGTTTTACATATTTTTATTATGTCGAATTTCATGATAAATCTCGATAACACTCCTAATTAGTTAACTTGTTATAAAATTGCATCACTAAAGAATTTTCTGCTTCTACTGTTCCAAGTAACATTGCATTGTCTGGATACGGTCTGAATGTAATTGTAATCTTTCCTGCATCAACGATGGTACACAGATGACCTATTTGCACAAACAACATCTTGCTACTCTATACATTTTCATTTACAACAACAGTTTTATCAACCAATGACGCTTTATGTTATGCGAATATGTAATCTTTTCATACCATAGTAGTTTGCAAATGAAATTACTTATTCTCTATAAGACGAACAGGTTTTCGAATTCATGTATTTTGACGGACCATTTCTATGTTTAATTTTTTTCGAATACCACTTTTGATTCTCTGTAATGCATCGTTTATTTACAGTACACATTTTTTTCTATTATTTAAAGACTCTACAACTCAACTAATGAGCCAATCCTCTAATTCGATTGATACCACAGACTCAACGCAGGAATTTCGAATCGAACGTGTTTGGATGGGTCCTGCTGTATATAGACATGTTCAACACATTGGTAATGATGAGTATGGATCAACTCAATCAACTTTATTGGGACCATTAATCGAAGGAATAGATTATGTTTTCGTTGGTAAAGCCTCAGGTAGTATTGGGGTAGGTGCCTGATTTGTAAATGTTAAAAATGTAAATGTTGAAATTGTTAAAGCCTGTTAAATGTGAATAATAAGCCTTTCAGAAACGTTGATAATGATCGTATATGTTTTTTTTTCATAAATGTTGTTTTTAGTTCTCTACCCCTCAATCGTCGCCATCTTCATCGTTATCATTATCTAGTCAAAAATCTGAAACATCCATTAGTTCTATCATATTTCTACGCCCTGGAAAATTTTGGGTTTGTGGTCTATTGGGTATATTACCGGAGTCTTCTATTTTCACAAAAAATGGTCCATTCCGTTTACCATCAGTTCACAGTGTTGAAACTATTCGTTTTTCACCGAATGGAATCTACATTCACGTACTTGATTCACATATCTGATAGATTTTTTTTACACTTTTTTTTATCGACAAGCCTTTCTTTTTATGAAAAAAAATAGTAATACGTTCTTTCAGTTTCTTAGGTTAGGTTTTTTTTCCTTCGGTATGATTACTTTGTTCAACGTGACCGTGTCTGTTTGTCGTTGTTGTGCAAACGCAACCGGTTCCAATATACTTTTTTTCCTGCTAATGATTGTTTGACCATATGCTTTAAAGAGATTTGTGTATTTTACATAATTTACCTTGTCGTTTAGATGAACAACTAACACCATTCAAATCATCATCATCATGTTCACATTTTTGAACAACTGGCAAGATAAATGTTGAAAAAAAAGAGAGCGAATTATTATTCAACTCTGATGTCTTCTTTTTTTGGGGGGGGGGATTATTTCTGTGCTCATTACTGCAAAACGTAGATTGCACAACATGGTTTTTAATAAATCTTTTTTTGTGTACGTTTATTATTACTTTCCTTTGATTGTGATATTTTATTAATGAGCATTCTTTCAATTGCATTTATCCAACACTGTAATCAATATTCACAAGTTGATTACATCATTGACATGTAGACCACCGATGTATATGTTTGTTTGTATAAAAATAGACATTAGACAAAAATTAAGGTGACTATTTATTTCGTAATAGTAATAATAATAATAATGTTTGTTTTTATTATTTATCTTTTTTCTTATTTATATTTTCACTCAATTTCTTTAACCGAAAAAAAAAAATTGAACATTATACATATCATAAAAAAGCCCATTTATTGTAAGAATATTTTCTTGGTTATTCTGAAAAATAAAATTAAAAACATTGATTCAGAGTAATCATGTATTTTATTTAATCAGTGATTTCCTGTTTATACATTCCTTCCTTTATCAAGAATAACATGTGTGCAATTGAATAAAACTTATTTTTGTTTTCCCATTTAAAAGTAACTTAAAATGGTTGTGATTTATCAAAATTAATTGTTCACTAATTTTTTTTATACTTTTTAAATACAACATTGTGTTATAATAAATTATTTGTAAAACAGAATGTTAACATTCATTTAGAAGTAAATGGGTTGTTTTCTTTCTTGATGTAATCATATATAAAATGAATTAATGCTTAGTTGAAATATGTCTGCTGCTAAATGAATTGCTTTCAACCATGACAAAAACAATGAGGCTTCAGATTACCGAGTTATAATACATTTGAATTGTGATCGCGATAAGATAACGTATTGGATTTAAAACTGGCAGCTCTTGGATTTGTAGTGTTAATATCAACTCCGGGCACAGCTTCTAAGTTCCAGATGGGACAAAATGTAATGTCATGAATTCCACTACTAATTACAAGCAGTATATATATATATATATATATATAACAAGGCTTGGTTCCAGTTCTCTATATTGACAACGAAAAAATTCTAATCCTCACATAAAGAAACTGAATTCTAAGTATTATTTCATCTCCTGTAAACAGTACAAACTAATTTGCATAATCAAGGCTTTGACAGAGTAGTTCTTAGGTTGTTTCTAGTTGTACTCACTTCAGTGGATATCTTGTGTGATCAGCGGTCGTAGATAGGCAAGACGGTACTTACGAATTACGAACCATTATTTATACTGTTGAGAAAAACATGAAATCCTTTTTACAGACTATTGAATGAATGCGCAAAATAATATATGATTCGTCACAACCAATCAATAGTTACTAAAAGGATTCACATAAGATGAAAATTATGTATCTTTTTATCAAACAAACGTGGAAATCCACGAAGATTGCAACCATATTTTAGAAAATGAGAACATTTTAGACATCAGCGAATCACTTACGAAGACTCCCATTGTTTCAACGTACAACCCAATGATCCTGTTGTGCAGGAAATAATTTACATGCTTTGCATCTCAATACATTACCACACGGTAACTAGAATTACATAAATTGCTTAGGTGTTTAGTTTTCCACTTCTAGACTATGCATACATATTCGGTTTGCTGACTGCTCCCATTTATATATCGAAGGCTCAATATTGCTTATTCTATTCTTTGAAGTAGCAATTTTAAAAGCAACTGACGTAAAAACTTATTCACACAAGGATAAGTAACCTCATAGTAACACATGATCTCATATTTATTTTTTACATTGTTAAATCTACCTTTCAATACAATGTTTTATTTAAAAATCCAGCACGTGGCTGAAATAAACATTCGGCTGTATCAATCCGTGAATAGTTGCGTGGAATATGGATCTTGAAGCTAAGTTTCATCAGGTACAACTTGGTGATCTTAGTTCTTAAAATTCTTGAAGAACGTATCGGTTAGTTAGTGTAAAGTACCGTTAATAGAGGTTTCTCCATCGATGGTAAATGAAGGAAATCGAAATTTCAACTATAAATACATAGTCATCTTTCAGCGCATAAGAGTCGGCTCACTTCTGAGATTCGCTTCGCTTTGTTTGAACGCTTTTCATTCTCATGTCTGTATGTTTAGATGTATACATGAAAAAAATTTATCCTCGGAACTATTTGACTTCTTATTACCGTCATCGCGCGAATAGGGTTTACCTAAGTGTGATATATGGAAATGGAGAGGATGATTTATTTCATTGCATACTCGATCATTCGTCCACAATTGAATCAAGTCAGTGTTCACTAAATTGGTGAGCCTTAATCCGAATCTAAAATAAGGTACGTAACAGAATTTTTTTCTATTAGGTCATACAAAAAAATGACAGGTATTTAAACGCTCATTAAGCAACTACTATCCCTGAATATCTACGTAGTTATCCAGCAGAATAATAGTAACGTAAACGTAGCTTGTTGATATCAGAAATTGTCTTCGCTTCATTACACCGAGTATCCCATTTGCAGTTGTCTTTGGTTAATTTCTCTGAGATGATCTAACTACTAACAAATGTCGAAAGTAGTCATCTTCAACGTTCTCAAAATAACGAATGCTGACATTATGACTATCGACAGTTTCCTGGGAAAACTAAAAGTTTGTACTTAGGCTTCCATAGTCAATTTAAAATTCGTTTGACTCACTACACAAAAAAATTTCTTGTTTCCAGTATTTAAGCGGAATCACATCTATAGTGAAATCTTTCGTTGTTAAAATATCGGAAAGTGACTACATAAGGGTTATCGATCATTGTCCTTTTCATAAAAAACAAGAACAACAAACGTAGCAGAATAATATTAATTAATTTTATTTCATGGTTTCTCATCAGGTGCTTAAAACCTAAACGTAATGGTTGTATTAATTGGTAAATTCAGAGTACAAAGTTCATATAATCAGATCAGAAATGTCATCTATGAGGATTAATAAACAATGATCAATGTGAAAGAATTATAAAGTGTATTCAAATTATAGAACATTTAAATGACAAGTAATATGAAACTTCCATAAAATCGAATGATATTAAAAGTTAAGTAATAATAATAAGATTATGTGACAATAATAGGAAGGCGATTGTCACGTAGTAATAACAACAACAACAAATATAAGTGGAGATCAGATAACACTAAGGGAGTTAAGTAAACAAATTAATATCTCATTTGTAAATAAAATTGTCACAAACATCAATCAATAAGGCAAATCAAGAGTGACATGATAAATTTGAGCGATAATGAAATCTTCTCAGCTTATGTCTGCTATCGTGTAGATGACTAGCAGTCGAACAGTTGAGAGCAAATTCGCCTCTCAGTTTCAATTTTTGAGGAATATGCTAATTAAAGCGAATATTTCTTTCTTTCTATTTTCCAATGTATATGCTTCGGCACGTACATGTAAATTGGTATACATAATTGAACGTAATGTGGGGTGAATATTTATCCAATTTCGAATATTTGAATAAGCACTCCGTCGGTATACTGAGACCAGTTTTGCTGCTGGATAAGTCCTTTCCCATGCAGCTCTGAGTTTACAATCTATCTTACAGATAGTCGGTCACCATTTAATCTAAATAGTATGAAAACAGGTTTCTTCTCCACTGTAGCAACACTCTCTGTTACTTTTACTTTCATATTCACGTATTTATTGATAAACTTTCGAGGATAACTATTATCCTTCAGGCACTATTCAACAACGATTAATTCCTCCTCAATCCTGTCATTTGAATAGAATTTTTATACTCGATTGAATAGAGTTCTAACTAGAACTCGTTTATAACTTATCGAACAGAAGTTATCAAAATCCAAGTGAAGTTCATTCCATCAATCAATTCGATGAATAAATCTTTGAATTCGACCATTTTCACTATATTGTAATAATAAACGAGACTTATTGTTTTTCTCATGCACCATTTCAAATTGTACGTTTCGATGTGCATGACTGACAGAACTCAGCATTTTGGAAGAATGCTTGTGATTATTGCAGGTATCAAGCGTGCAATCAACATACCTGACATACTGGGCTGCTTTACTAATTAAGACTAGAATTGTATATCTTTTGCAAGTATTAAAAGAAGCTGTTTAAAGTTTTATTATCGCCTAAGAATGATTTGCGGAAATGAAAGTAAGTATTTACTTTGCAGCAAATTTAAATGTTTTGAAAATTGCTGTCAGATCCCAGGCCAATAAAATGTCACGGCGGTCCCAAACCCAAATAAATGAGGAGGGTTGATCATGGGGTTAGCGAACTAACTCGCTAAAAAGCTCTCATTATAAAAAATAATGCATGCCATATAAACTCTCTCCTGGTAATTAGCTCTTCAGTTAGAAGATATACGACGACTCATAATGCAATCCAATTTTCTTCGAAGTCATGAAGCCGATTCTATTGCTCACAACCATTAATTTAGGTTCACGGAATTTTCGTACAATGTGGGAGACGAAGAGAATCATTCAAGTTGCTGCGGAAATGAAAACATACAACCTAAAGCTGTTTGGAATCAGTGAAGCACATTGGACGCAAGTTGGACAGCTGCAACAAGTTTTAGGAAAGATGCCATTATGCTCCTGCCATGAAGAAGAAAATGCTCCATATGCTTAAGCAGCTGCGCTGACGCTATCCAAAAAAGCACGATAAGTTCTGATAAGATGGGAATCTCATGGACACAGGATCATCAAAGCATCCTTCGAAACAAAGAAAGAGGACATTACAATGATCGTCACCCAATACTGCGCACATACCAACAACCACAATAAAGATATTAAGGATCAATTCACCGAAAGGCTGCAGTCAATCGTAGAGAAGTGCCTAACAAAGGATTTGAACCTTCTGATGGGAGACGTAAATGCCAAAGTTGGCATGGACAACACAGGATATGAAGAAATCATAGGACGAGATGGACTGGGAAAAAGGAACGAAAATGTTGAGAGATTTTCAAACGTATGTGCCTTCAAAAAACTGTTCATCAGCGGCACAACGTTACCACACACACATTCACAGAGCTACATGCATTTCGCCACATCACACGCTCAGAATCTCTCCCAAAATATCAAAGCAACACAAACGGACGTGTTTATCAATGTTGGCACGCCAACAATATTAAGAGGTCAGCATGGCCATCAAAAAAATCGAGGGCGGCAAAGCAGAAGGACCAGATAACATTCCGGCTGAGGCAACAAGATCAGACTTGATAGTAATCTCGAAAATACTCCAAATTTTCTTCAGCTGGATTTGGGATGAAGAACAAGTACCGCCAGACTGCAAATAAGGGTACCTCATCAAAATAAGAAAGAAAGGCGATCTCAACAAGTGTGAGAACTACACAGGCATCACTCTTCTCTCAATACCAGACAAAGTCTTCAGCAGGGTGTTGTTAAAATCAGGATAAATGACTATGTAGATGCCAACTTCGAGATCAATAGGCTGTATTTCGTAAGGATCGATCGTGTACTGACCAAAACGCAACATTACGGATCATTGTGGAACAATCATTTGAATAGAACACACCACTCTATATCAACTTCATTGACTTCGAAAAAGCATTTGATAGCTAGGACACGACACCAATATGGAGGCTTCTTCGACACTACAACGTGCCTGAGAACATAGTCAACATCATACAAAATTCTTATGATGGATTAAACTGCAAGG